ATTGATCTCTATGAAATTTTACCATAAGGTTCAATACCACAAAAGGAAGGTTGGGATTGATTTTGGAGGTTATGGTACCAACGGTTAAGGAAAAAGGGGCCAAAAATAAGCATTTTTGTAACTTCCAGACATAACTTGTGTGTTAGTGTATGGATCTCTCTGACATTGTACCACAAGGTTCCATCTCACAAAGGGAATGCTGGGATTGATTTTGGGGGTAATTGCCTCAAAATTTTAGGAATTAGGGGCCAAAAAGGGGCAAAAAACAAGCATTTTTCTAGTTTATGACAATAACTTGTGTGTTAGTGTATGGATCTTTATAGAATTGTACAACAAGGTTCCATATCACAAAGGGAAAGCTGGAATTGAGTTTGGGAGTAATTGCCCATAACGTTTAGGAATAAGGGGCAAAAAATAAGCATTTTTCAAGTTTCCAGACAATAACTTGTGTTCAATTGTATGGATCTCTCTGAAAGTGTACTACAAGGTTCCATATCACAAAGGGAAAGCTGGGTTTGAGTTTGGGGATAATTGCCCTAAACGTTTAGGAATTTGGGGCCAAAAAGGGGCCTAAAAACAAACATTTTTCTAATTTCCAGACAATAACTTGTGTTCAAGTGTATGGATCTCTCTGAAATTGTACTGCAAGGTACCATACCACAATGGGAGGGCTGGGATTGAGTTTGGGGTTGATGAATCATAAGGGGGTTCAAAATTGGGGGGGGGGGGGGGGGTCCTTTTTTTCCTTTAAAATTTTCCATTTCAAATTGGTTATTTCTGATTTATATATAAAAGCAAATAATGATATGGTTTGAATAGGTAAATTAAAATTTTTTAAGTTCTTAGACCACATTCATTCTGTGTCAGAAACCTATGCTGTGCTGTATCAAGCTTGAATGTTGTGTCCATACTTGCCCCAATTGTTCAGAGTTCGGCCTCTGCGGTCGTATCAAGCTGCGCCCAGCGGAGCATTTCATTTATATAGATTTAATAGACCTTTGGTTTTCCTGTTTGAATTGTTTAACATTAAATTTTTTTTTGGCCCTTTATAGCTTGCTGTTCAGTGTGAGCCAAGGCTAAATGTTGAAGGCTGTACTTTGTTTAATTAAATTGTATAACTGTTTACTTTTTACACATTGTGACTTGGATGGAGAGTTGTCTCATTGGCACTCATACCACATCTTCTTATTTCTATGTACACTTTAAAATAATTCCATACACCAAATATAGTTGACCTATATATACTAATATAGTATTTGAAAAACAGACCAAAACACAAAAACTTAACATTGATCAATGAACCATGAAAATGAGGTCAATGTCAGATGAAACCTGCCAGACTGATATGTACCCCTTATAATCATTCCATACACCACAGATACATTTAGTTTACCGACTGCTTAAAGTGTCTGCGAAACAGACCTAATCATGTAACTTTAACCTTGATCACTGATCCATGAAATGAGGTCAAGGTCAGTTGAACCCTGTCTGACAGACATTTCAAGGAACCCATATACCAATAAAATTTAGAATGGAAATGGGTAATGTGTCAAAGAGACAACAACCCGACCAAAGAGCATAAAACAGCCCAAGGCCACCATTGGGTCTTGAACACAGCGAGAAAATCCTGCACCCAGAGGCTCGCTTCAGCTGACCCCTAAACAAAAATGTGTACTAGTTCAGTGAAAATGGACATCACAATAAACTCTGAAACATATAAATGAACTAAAATTAAAAAAACAAAGGCCAGAGGCTTCTGACTATGAACAGACACAAAAATGCAGTGGGGTTAATCATGTTTTGTGAGATCTCAACCCTCCCCTATACCTCTAGCCAATGTAGAATAAACAAACACACAGCAACTTCAAAATTTAGTTATCCTCCTTCTCTTAATAAGTGAGAAATACACATGACAAAAATCTATAATTAATTTTCAAATATTCGCTGAACCATGAAAATGAGGTCAACAACAATGGACTTATGAGGGAAGGAACTTCGTAACATAAGGTATCTACTTTATTGTATGAACTTACTATGAAGCATCTAAGTCTTCTTTCTACCTTCTGAAATATATAGCTTTATACAAATCTTCTTATATCTTTATACAAATAATTTAAGGCCGCTGCTGGATAGTAATCCCTATGTCATGTATGTCTCACTCTGCGAATTTCTTCACAGGCAAAACAATAACTAGAGGCTCTAAAGAGCCTGTGTCGCTCACCTTGGTCTATGTGCATATTAAACAAAGGACACAGATGGATTCATGACAAAATTGTGTTTTGGTGATGGTGATGTGTTTGTAGATCTTACTTTACTGAACATTCTTGCTCCTTACTATTATCTCTATCTATAATGAACTTGGCCCGGTAGTTACAGTGGAAAATACTTAGTAAAAATTTACAAAAATTTACAAAATTTATGAAAATTGTAAAAAATTGACTATAAAGGGCAATAACTCCTTAAGGGTTCAATTGACAATTTTGGTCATGTTGCCTTATTTGTAGATCTAACTTTGCTGTACATTATTGCTGTTAACAGTTTATCTCTATCTATAACAATATTTAAGATAATAACCAAAAGCTGCAAAATTTTCTTAAAATTACCAATTCAGGGGCAGCAACCCAACAACAGGTTGCCTGATTGGTCTGAAAATTTCAGGGCAGATAGATCTTGACCTAATGAACAATTTTATCCTCATCATATTTGCTCTAAATGCTTTGGTTTCAGAGATATGAGCCAAAAACTGCATTTTACCCTATGTACTATTTTTTAGCCATGTCAGCCATCTTGGTTCGCGGGCGGGTTCATCGGACACATTTTTTAAACTAGATACCCTAATGATGATTGTGGACAAGTTTGGTTAAATTTGTCTTAGTAGTTTCAGAGGAGAAGATTTTTGTAAAAAATTACAAAAAATTACGAAAAATGGTTAAAAATTGACTATAAAGGGCAATAACTCCTTAAGGGGTCAACTGACCATTTTGGTCACGTTGCCTTATTTGTAGATCTTACTTTGTTGAACATTATTGCTGTTTACAGTTTATCTCTATCTATAATAATGTTCAAGATAATAACCAAAAACGGCAAAATTTCCTTAAAATTACCAATTCAGGGGCAGCAACCCAACAACGGGTTGTCCGATTCATCTGAAATTTTCAGGGCAGATAGATCTTGACCTGATAAACAATTTTACCCCATGTCAGATTTGCTCTAAATGCTTTGGTTTCAGAGATATAAGCCAAAATCTACATTTTACCCCTATGTTCTATTTTTAGCCATGGCGGCCATCTTGTTTGGTTGGCCGGGTCACCGGACACATTTTTTAAACTAGATACCCCAATGATGATTGTGGCCAAGTTTGGTCAAATTTGGCCCAGTAGTTTCAGAGGAGAAGATTTTTGTAAAAGTTTACGGACGACGGACGCCAAGTGATGAGAAAAGCTCACTTGACCTTTCAGGTCAGGTGAGCTAAAAATGAGGAGATGGGTATGATTGCCAATTTGCCAATGACACAACTATCCAACAGAGTTAAAATGAATGTTAACTGTAAAGGCAACAGCCTGCATACGGAGTATATATCTCCCAGGGCTTGTATTTCCTATCATGATTTCCTTGATAGAGGGTTGCTGCTCACAAGGAAGCTATTAAACCAAGAGTTCCAATTGGTGAAGTTGAAATCATCCCTTCATAAGTTTTACAGACGCCATTACGAGTTGGTTGACCGTTATGGAATATCCGTTTCACAGTCTTTAGTTTTCTATGTTGTGTTTTGTGTACTATTGTTTGTCTGTTTGTCTTTTTCTTTTTTAGCCATGGTGTTGTCAGTTTATTTTCGACTTATGAGTTTGAATGTCCCTCTGGTATCTTTCGTCTCTCTTTCATGTGACCATCAACTTATCATGCTTTTTACATGTTTTATACATTGTTAAGTTTATGTGACCATCAACTTATTCTACATGATTAGTTAATCCAAAAAGCACCTGCACACAACATAAGGTGACAAGGTATATATTATAGTCCCTTTGAACTTTGTTTATCTACTAAAAATGTTGAAATAATTTAATCAAAACAGCACACACTGTTATCATGGACATGACTGAAATAATACTGTAAATTCAGAAATTATTGTGAGGTTTTTATTAATGCGATTAATGCAACTTGGTGATTTTTGCAATAATAATTACTCGCATTCTGATAACTGATACATATTTCTGTATGCAGATTTTCCTGCAATTGCAATAATTAATCTCACAATTTCGTCCATTCTTCAAAAATCGCAATAATAGATGCATGCAATAATTTCTAAATTTTCGGGTAAGTCGCCTATAATGGGTGTATAGAATGATTGCAAGATGTACATGTCTGTCTGACAGGGTTGATCTGACCTTGACCTTATTTCATGGATCATTTAATAACATGTAAAAATTATGTAATTATACTTGTTGTAAACTTTAATGTAGGTCAATGAACAATGAAAATGAAATCAAGGTCAGATGAATCCTGTCACATACAATGCACCTACATGTAACAATCATTCTACAATGTATACAATGAATATACATGATATAGAACTAGCTGAAATATAACTTTACCACAGAAACTTAATGGTGATCAACGAACCATAAAATGAGGACAAGGTCTGGTTAACCCAATCTGATGGACAAGTATACCTTGCAATGTCTGTCAATTTTGTGACTTTCATCGCAGGCGAGACAGAAACAAATAAGGCAATTTAAAAGATAATAGTTTTAAATTAGTAAAGCTGTAAAAAAACTATCAGCGTACAATTAAACATTAATCTTTCCTAAAGAATGGAGTGGAGAAAAAATTTCCTAAAAGCTGAAGAAAATTTAAATTAAGAAATTCCTGAGTCTTGATTTTACTTATACATGTTATGCATGTACAGTAGGTTGCATGTACATGTAAATTCTGTTTTTCTGAACTGAAAAACAACTGACCCTGGTATCCCCAAGTCCCTTCCAAATAAAAGACTACATCACTTGCAAAATATATCATATATTCTCCTTTATTTCTGTAACTTTTATCATTGGTGAATCACCTACTGCATTTTCCACCCTCTGCAAAACAACGTTTCCATAGTCAATTTGAGGAATTATAATTGTTCTCCCTCCTCCTGAGTCCATTAAAGCTATATTGGAAATTTCTGTGAGTTGATAATTCAAGGCATTTCCTTCCGTGTCTGTTGTAATTACTAACTGACCACCAGACACAGACTCCTGTAAACAAGTGCTTTCTTCTGTCGATTCTACTATAACATTGACTGTAGATGTGTCTTTTTCCTGTAATTCATTTGTATTTTTTCCTTCATCAATACTCTGTATCTTATTTATAGTTGATGGTTCTGACTCAGTTTTATCATCCATCTTAATAGGTTGATTTTTTATACCATGCACTTGAGTTTCATGCCTTTTGACGTGATGTTTGTGTCGAAAGACATAACCACAATGTGAACATTTAAATTTTCCTTCCGTGTCATGATTTCTTTGATGTGCCCTGCACATTACTTCTGTTAAAAACCGCCAAGTGCATCCTGGGTAATTGCACTGATATGGACGAGTAGGATCATGAACACGTTTGTGTTTGGTTAAAGTTGATTTATCAGAGTATGCATTACCACAGATATCGCATAAAACACACCCGTTGTTATGCTGTTGCCTATGTATATGTATTAAGGCAGTATTTGATGATGAAAAATCACATTGTTCACATTGGTAAGACTTCTTGGAGTGTGAGCGATGATGTATAGTAAGGTAGGTTTGAGTCTTAAACGATTTTCCACAAAAATCACAGAGAAAAGGTTTTTCAGGCTTATGGAGTGCAATATGTTTTTTCAAGTAACGTAATCTAGTGAATATTTTTCCACATTTTGCACAGGGAAATTCTCCTGCCTGGTCTTGTATTTCAGTATTTCTGTTCTTCCTGCTAGATCCAGTGTTATATTTTAAGCAAATCCTTTTATATTCAGAAAACTTCATCAGCTTTATATTGTCACTAGTATTTTGCAGTTTGAGTTCTTCCTTGGTATTCATATGATCTAAATGCTGATCAGACATGTGTTGATACAAGTTTGCCAATACCATATCTTGGTAATTACAATATATACAGCACAAATTTTGTCTTTCATAAATAATAGTTTTTCCAGCATTTAAATTTGTCTTCACACAAAAAAAGAAATCATTTCCATCTGTTTTATCATCATTTCTATATTTTAAATTTCTTTCTGGCGATTCATCATCAATAAAAAGATCATTACTGGGTTCATCCAAGCTAATTATTTCAATATTGCAGGTGACAACATTGCTTTCTCCATGTGATGAATTTGGTTGGACAACTTCCTGACTATCTTTGATAGCAACTGGTCTTGTATAACATAATGACAGTTCATTATTAGATTTTAGCTCTAAATGTTCAATCTCTGTTGTCCCACCACTGTGATCCATCTGCAATGAATCTTCAATGGGCGGGTTAACAGTTGCTGAGGCAGGAATTTCTTCACAATAATTTATAATATCACAATCAGCTGTATCATTTTGAGTCGCATCTGTTGGACTGCCTTTTTCATAATCAGGATCACATTTACTGTTGTCAGAACCTTCGCTGGTTAATAAACTGACAACATCAAGGTTTTCCATATTTACAATTTGAAGATCATAATCATTTCCTTTTTCCTCTATAATATTTGTTATGTCTTGAATATCTTCTTTCTCATGAAAATTATTTCTTCTTTGTTTCCTATGAACCAATGACACTTTATGTTTCACTCTATAATGCTGAGAGAGGGAGGAGTCTTTAGTATATGAAATCTTACATAGCTGACAAACATAACAGTTTCCTGGTCCACGGTCTGAAATAAAAGAAAAAAGGCCCTTTAGTCGTATATGAAGCTTTACAGATCTTTAAAATGTATTTAACCATAATTAGAATATATAATTTTGCTTTATTGGCATGAACATGGTACTGATAATGGGTAGAAAAGAATAAATTTAAGCACTAATACTCCCTCCTGACAGGCTTGCACTTTCATGGTACCACAATCTGTCCATACCTATATTTTGGCATTGCACAAGGTCATGTTTTTCTCTATCTGTTAATGACGTCTTAACACTAAATCCATTGGATGTTGGATGTGTACTGATTTATATTTTAGTCTTAGACACATGATTTTTTTTATTACATTTGTAGTTGTTATTGGCTTTGAACTAGCTGTCAGTAACTGTGAGTAATCTCAGATCTGTACTTTGTGTCTTTCATGCTGTTAGGGATGTATAAATCACCTGCCACATCCAGTTTTCGTTTTTGTTAGATATTTTATGCTTTATATCGTTCTGATGAGTTAAGCCCTTTTCAACTGAGATTTATAGCTTGTTCTAATGTTGTGCAGTAACACAACTGTCTCATGTTAGGGGAGGGTTTATGTGCCTGTCCCAAGTCAGGAACCTGTAGTTCAGTGGTTGTCGTTGGTTCATGTCTGTCATATTTTTTACCCGTAAATTGTTTTGTTATGAATTAAGCTGTTAGTTTTCTCAATTGAATTGTTTCATATTTTTCATGTTGGGCCCTCCATAGCCAACTATTCAGTATGGATTTTTCTCATTGTTGAAGGACAAATGGTTGCCTATAATTGATTACATCCACTTTATTTGTACTTTGGTAAGTAACTTTGATTAATTGGCAATCATACCACATCTCCTTATCTTTACCGTATATTGTATGCAAACTTTGGCAAAACCACAAAATCAAGTATCAACGAAATTACAATTTTTTCCTCTATCCATTAAAATTGGTACCCACAAAAATAATTGATTCCACAGTAATGCACACCAGAATAATTTTTGAAACAAACAACATATCGTTTAATAGTAAAACAAAGGATATGGGGTATCCATCCATGACACAAAATCAATTCATGCACAGCAAAAAACACACAAAAAGCAAAGGAACAGCGCTATTATTGCTGTTCTTCATCTCAAAGTCAGTCTCAAACATAGCATGTGTACATATATGAGGTGTCAAGATAAAGCTTATTGAAAACTTAATAAAAAACAAAGTGGTATCTCTAACAACCTTGCAACTTCTGAATGCAGAAACTTTTCTAAATCAAAAATATATTTAAAGAATGATCTGTTAAGTAATGGTACAAATCATTTAATTAAAAGCTCATAATGAAATTTTACAATATTGATACTTAAGTACTTACGTTGTATCTTGTGCCTCAAAAAATCTATAAGGTTTTCTTCATTATGCTCACAAATACCACAAGTGAAAAGATCTGTATTTTGTACTACAACATCAACTTGACCATGCTCACCTGTTAAAATTTATGTAATATTTTTAATTAATAAACATATGGTTATCTACAGATTAACAGACAAAGTAATTTGTCGGATTTACAATTTGCAGTATCAACAACAAGAAGTTTCGTATATAAATTTTTGTAAAAAAATTTGAAAATATTTGTGGAGGGCAATAGTTTAAAACTGAAATTGTTTTAATGAACTAAAATTGCAAATGCAATAAAAATAGACCATTCAACATGCATCTTTACATTCTGAATGTAATCTGGATGTATTAATTTTATTGTAAACTATGAAATTTCTTCAGATTGTCAAGTTGCAGTTAATATTCATGTATTGACTTTTACACTTGCAAAGTGATGCAGTTTGATTGATAATTGATGTACATGTACTTGTGTTATTTGGCATGAAATTATGTTCTGTTTTACGATTTACAGTCTAATCTTGAACTCTTTTAAAAAGGGGGATGCAGATTGTGTAAGTTAATATTAAAGTATATGTTTGAAGTGCTAAAACTTTTTCTTTGTTGTTGAATTTATAAATTTTATTTTTTAATCTTAATTTTCAGTAGCATTTTCTGAAAAGTAATCAAGTGATCACTGATGCAATTAATCTTGATAATTTTTTTCTCCTGCCAGGTGTGTCGATCTACCTGTACAAGTGATTAGTGATCATTAGCCTGATATCCCTCAGGGCTTTAAAACAATAATCAGGAGGTATGTGTTGATGGTCTCTATTTCATCGAATTAATATAAAATTAATGTAAAATAAGGGTTTCTATAATTTCATAAAAGGAATAATCATCTATTCATATGAAATATATACCAGTGTCATTCGTAATTCTCATGAATAATATAAAATATATGATCAAAATATTTAATGATATATGAAATGAAATATTTTAAGATGATTCCTTCAAATACATTGACAGACTGTATTTAATGCAGCTGAACAATAGCGTGTAGTGCATATCCAGTATACTTTATCATCTAGTCTGGATTGGTACCCATTTTAGATTACCAATCTGGTTGCCAAATCTTTTAGTAACCCACTGAATATCTAAGTGTGAATTTGCCATACTGACTTAAGAATGATGGATTTCCATATTTAAAATAAGTGACACAAAATGTATAATTACTTTATTCTAATTTAATTATGAGTTAGAATCATTAAATTATTTATTTTAAACATATTACAAGCAAGAAATATATGTTACGTTAAAAAGATATAAAAAGAAAAGCAAGACTAATTTCAGCTAATAATGAAAAGTTACCACTTATTTGTCTTTTCTTTTCTCTTATTCTGATATCCTTTTTAAAATTATTTATCATTTGATTGAACTGGAAATATGTCATTTTATTGTTGACACCTTTTTAATCACCTTAATCATGTTTATTTAGACTAATAACTGGCATTTGTACTGTTGACACCTTTTTAATAACCCAAGTGATAACATAACTACCTGTAATTACATGAAATTGTAATTAACCAAATATATGATATATATGTATCTGATCATGTTTTTAGTGATTGTGTCTAAGTATGATTTATTTGTAATATTAATTAATACAAAACATAAAGTTTACAAATTTTAATCCAGCAGATGTCAAATACCATATTAATGCTTTCACCATTCAATAATATTTATTTATTTGATGAGAATGATATTGTATAACTTTTTTCGTGTTCTTTCATAGAACTATTTGGTAAGATCAAAGAAACCTCAGTTTTTTTTCAAATTTTACTCCAAATCTATTTTTAGAAATAAGTACAATAAATGTTTGCCTCAAATTGCCTCTACAAACTAGAGGCTCTCAAGAGCCTGTGTTGCTCACCTGTATTTACTGATGCTTTGGAAATCATGTAAAATAAGGTTAAAATCATAATTAATAGTATTAGATATTAGATATTATAATGATATCTAAGATAATAACAAAAAACTGCAAAATTTTTGTAAAATTACTAACTCAGGGGCAGCAACCCAACAACAGATTGTCGGATTCGTCTGAAAATTTCAGGGCAGATAAATCTAAATCTGATGAACATTTTTGCCACCTGTCAGATTTGCTCTAAATGCTTTAGTTTCGGAGATATAAACCAAAAACTGCATTTTACCCCTATGTTCTATTTTTAACCAAGTTGGCCATGATGGTTGGAAGGCTGGGTCATCGGACAAATTTTTTGAACTAAATACCCTAATAATGATTATGGCCAAGTATGGTTAAATTTGTCTCAGTAGTTTCAGAGAAGAAGATTTTTGTAAAAGATTACAAAAATTTACAAAAAATTGTTAAAAATTGACTATTAAGGGCAATAACTCCTAAAGGGGTCGACTGACAATTTTGGTCATGACAACTTATTTGTAGATTTATTTGTAGATCTTACTTTGCTGAACATTATTGCTGTTTACAGTTTATCTCTATCTATAATAATATTCAAGATAATAACCAAAAACTGCAAAATTTCCTTAAAATTACCAATTCAGGGGCAGCAACCTAACAACAGGTTGTCAGATTTGTCTGTAAATATCAGGGCAGATAGATCTTGACCTGATAATCAATTTTTCCCTATGTCAGATTTACTCTAAATGCTTTGGTTTCAGAGATATAAGCCAAAATCTACATTTTACCCCTATGTTCTATTTTTAGCCATTTGCGCTATCTTGGTTGGTTGGCAGGGTCATCGGACACATTTTTTTAAAGTAGATACCCTAATTATGATTGTGGTCAAGTTTGGTTAAATTTGGCCCAGTGGTTTCAGAGGAGAAGATTTTTGTAAAAAGCTAACGATTACGACGACTAAGGACGCCAAGTGATGAGAAAAGCTCATTTGGCCCTTTGGGCCAGGTGAGCTAAAAAATTGTACCTGTTTGATGTGACAATTAAGTTGTAATTACTCTTTAAATCAATGAATCCTTTAATAATGCATTCAGTGTCAATCAAATTTCTCTTTGGTTGTATACCAATTGTGAACACTAAAGATTTAACACATTACAAACATACACACACTCTGATCATTAAAACACAATTTATCAATAAAACAACATACTGTCAACATTTAGAAGTATTAAATTCAAACTTATATTTCAATTAAACTGTATTTAATATAAAGTCATATTTTATCTTATGGATCTAAGTTTACTTTAAAACATTGCAATGTATCTCCAAAATTTGTATATAAAGTTATTATAAATCAAGTAAAATTGAAAAAAAACTAAAAAAAAAAGCAGTAAATAACACAATCTACAAATCAAAGGCTGAGTTTGTTTACTTCATTTCTTTATATAACAAATGGTAGGCAAAGTTTGTGATAGTCTGAGTTTGTGACAGTACAAGTTTGTTTTAGACCGAATCATCCAGCAGCGCCTGAACAAGTACCACAGGAAGCTGATCCCACTGTAATATTGTGTATAGAAAGTATGAGTCCTTGGATGTCTTTATGTGCCTGTAAGTGTATAGTTTTTTCCAGGTTACTGAGTCTCCTTGTGTAAGTGTGTCAGATGGAAATATGCAACAAGATGGTACATGTATGATATCTTATACATCATTACCACAGTTCTGCCAACTATTCATGAAGCAAAAAGTAAATTACAAAAATACCAAACTACGAAGAAAATTCTAAACGGAAATTCCCCCTTGTCATGTAAGTAAATAGCAAATTCATAAGCTCAAACACATCAAAAGAATGGATAACAACTGTCATATTCCTGACTTGGTACAGACATTTTCTTATGTAGAAAATGGTGGATTAAATCTGGTTTTATAGCTACATTGTACATGTAGCTAAACCTCTCACTTGTATGACAGTCGCATAAAATTCCATTGTATTGACGATGTGTGACCAAAAAAACCGACATAAAAGGTAAAAATGTCAAAAAATAGGGGTACAGCAGTCAACATTGTGTTATAATCTTAATCACTACAAAAAACAAGCAAATATGTCAACAAAGACAAACAAAAAGGCACATAGGCAAAGCACATAAGCAAAAACGAAAGACAAGAATACTGTATACAAAAATGTACCATATGATGATACCATCAAATGCGTGAGATTTGGCTAAAATTATAAAGAGAAATAACAATAGATCAAAGGAAAATGCACCCAAATAAGCATGAAAATGAGACTTGGCAGCCCTGTTACCAAACTTGTGCTCAGCCTATGTTCTGCTAGTGCTAGTGGTGGAAATCTTAATGTGGTAAGCATGTTTGTAACACTACTTGTACTGTGATATCTATTGCAAATATACTGAGCAGCTCGTCGTTCAACCATCTCAATTTTGGATACCGATTCGGATAAATGAGGGTCCCAAGCTGAACGAAATTTTTATGCAAGTTTGGGTTAGACAGTGGATCAGAGTGCTTGGTATGCCCGGTTTTTATATGTGGATACCAATTGTCAGGCGATGTTAGCCTATATTCTCTGTAATTAAATCCTTTTTCATTGCATTGTACTATGATATAACTGACCATTGACATTTTCTGAGTTAATGCAAATAATTCCGGCAGTGGAGTTCATACCGGAAATGTATTGAGTACACTAAACGGTATGTCAGTGATGGTCGCTTTTCCGCTCTAGCTCCATGTCAACTCGTACCCTTTTTTTACTATTTAACGATCGGAATGACCTCCGGGGTTATGGCCCGATATTATCATATCTACACATGCATATAAGCACACAGACAAACACGTGACATAGTTTAAAGACGATCTTTTATAGGTCTGTATCTTTTAAAACATATTTTATTCGGATTCACTTAAAGGGGCGAACCGATCCAGGGCAAAAATGTAATTGGGACGAAATAAGCCTCGACCTTTCCCACTTATCAACATGTAAACAACTTTTATTACACTTATTACTGGGTGAAAAAGAAGAAGAAGGGTTTTATACTTCTCTCACTTGAATCATTAAAAAACCAGTACCACACACAGCACTATAGACCTACAGAACTATACGCAAATGTAACCGAAGAAGAAGATTAGCTACAACGATTCTCAAGTTCAAGTTAATTGACAACGAAAAAAATGAATTTTGATAAAGGCTTATTATTATTCAATAATTTGAAGCAAATAAAGTAATGGATGTCGTGAAAAATCACAGAAAGCAGCTTGCAGAATATCTTACCAACAAACAAAAGCAGACCACAGTTAGGTATAAATAAAGGCAACAGTACAGTCAGTAGCATACCGCTGTTCAATAGTCATAATTCAATTAAGATTACCTATATCTATACTTTGCAACAAGAGTGGGAAATTGTTTCAAAATTTATCGAGCGCTACGGTACAACGATTTCCTCAGAACTCCCAAAAACCTGAAAACTTTCCTGGTGTTTATGGAGTATATAATTATATATAATGATGGTTTTCATAATGCACAATCAGAGACATATATGTGTATATATGTCTCTGGCACAATAAAGTCTTTAATTTTGAAATCTATGTCACTTTTACCCAATAAAAGTACAATTTAACTTCATGAAATCGATTTGTGTGTCTTTTATGCAAGTTCCCTTCTGGACTCCGGAAGACTTTAATTATTCAAACTTGATAGCTGACAGTGTAAGGTATGCCTGTGCCTTGTGAAGGGTACATTTGTAGTTTAAAATTTTCCTAATTAAAGTAAATAGCTTTATTTTTTCTAAAATTTTTAACATATAGATAATAATAATCTACTTTTTGAATAATTACGTCCGCCATATTGTTATACATGGAACTTGCATACAAGACACACAAATCAAATTCCTGAAGTTAAATTGTACTTTTATTTTGTAAAAATGACAAATATCTCAAATTTATAGTCATATTTATCGATAAATGCAGTATTATTAAAATAAGAAAATGTGTGATCATCATCATGATCATGTGGTACATGTATGATTGTCAATGAGACAACTCTCTACCAGAGACCAAATGACAAAGAAGTTAAAAACTATAGGTCACCATACAGCCTTCAACAATGAGCAAAACCCATACCGCATACAATGTAGTAAGCTATTACACCATATAAAATCGAGTTTTCATTTAATATCTATCGGTTCTCAGGTTCATATTGAGCTCGTTTTAGAATGATATAAATGGCTGTGGTCATTGTACACCTTCTCAAAAAAGTTACTTGTCGTACTATAGCTAGGCATAGATGAACGCATTGGTACATGTATCGATTAGTTTTGAAAATGTTAACTAGGCATCATGAACTCAATAAGAAAAACAAAGGCTAATTAATCTTTATTTTTGTGTAATTTCATTGAATTTGTTTATCTATTATCACTTGAATACATACATTGTACAATCATTGACAACGCACATGTATGTAGTAGGCATAGAAATGAAAACAAACGTCCACAATTTGATCAACAAATAACATTAACAAAAAATTCTCTAAAATTATTACAAAGTGATTACTTATCTTGAAAAAAGAAAACAACATATCAAAATTGGAATTTCTTACAGTAAAGGAGATCAGATTTTTAAAGAAAGTATACCACAAGGGTCGATACCATACCTGCCAACTTTTCAAAATCTATATGGGTGATTTTAAGTGCAAGAGGAGCATTAATATTGTCATAAAAGTGTGTAATCTACTACCATGACTTCTACATTGTTTGAATGAGTATGTATGTTCTTAAATACCCTTTTTACTCATTTCAATGCCTGTATAGATTTCTTCAGTTTATACAATAAAGAATTCCAAAATTCAGGTCGCCACCTCTCATGGGGGAAATCCCCCATGAATTGTGAAAGTTGGCAGGTCTGCAATATTTGTTCAAGTGCTTTTAATGTCTTCATAAATGACATATTTATTTTTGTACAAAAATGCTCAATTTATAAAATTTATGCTGTTGATAACACTGTAGTGATAACATGAAGTGATTATGACATACATGTAGATAAGGTTGTTGGTACTTTAGAAACTGGTAGTTTAAATCTAATAAACTGTAACTAAGTGTTGTTTTTTTTCTCGAAAATTCAAAGAAGTATAGTCCTGACAAATTGCAGGCTATTAGTAACAATTGGAAAAAAAAACCAAATAAACATATTTGACATTTAACCAAAAAGATCTGTTATGAATGGAAAAAATTCAAGATAGAGCTCTTAGATTCATCTATGATTTATGAAAAACTGCTAGAAAAATCAAAATTATCTTCTTTAAAGATAAGAGGAATAAAAACTTTTGCCACAGAAACATTTAAAATAGTTCTTAAAAAAATCCAAGTTATCTACAGGATTTAATTGATATTAAAATTCAGAACTATAATTTTAGATCACAGGAAACAGCAGTTCTCCCAAGAGTCAGAACTACCAGGTATAGTTTGAAATCTGCTAATTTAAATGCTGCACAAATCTTGAATGAGCTGCCTAACCATTGTCACATGGAAACATCTTTTGACCAACTTAAAAAAAATACTGGTACAAACATGGGATCCAAACAGTTCATGCCGGTGCAATGATCATGTAGTGCTTTAATGCTTGTGTTTTTTATTTTGTTTGACTGTTTGTTTTGTACAGTTTTTTTTTGCCCAGCTTAATATTCTAATTTATGCTATGTTTTATATGTTTTAAAATACACTTTAATTTGCATGGAGTTTTCCTAAAATACAACTGAAACGTTAACTAAGCCTATAACTTTCATTTGACATCTCTATCATGTTTATGATCTTACTATGCATTAAATGTTTTACATACATACATTCAAATATTGAAAACAATATATGTATACACACATTCAAAAGTCATGAAAACAACACAAAGGAGTTGGTTCACTAACTCATAATTTATGCTCTCAAAAACAGAAATTTTTTCACTGTGATTATGTGAGGAAAAATTGATGAAAACATATCTTAAAATGTCTAATTGTTTCAGGTAAAATATATTCTCACTAACTGCGTCATTATAGAGACGTATTTATGACGTCACCCTTTGTCCACAAATTTTTTTGCTGAAATATTCTTTGTATACCACATTCTTTGCTTGTCAACATGAAGATGATAATGGTTTAGGTTGGCATAGGTACTGCTTTGCAGTGGTACGAGTTGACTCTTGAGTGATTACATGGCAAAAGACTAGTTGACAATAGTACAAGTTAACTTACTTCCAGTGTTTGACACCTCCTGGGATGTGATAAACTGTTACAATAAGTTGATTCAAAGAATCAATAAGTTTACATAGCCCATAATTATTAACAACATCACTGTAAAGATTAGGATATGATTTTCCTGATTGCAATAAGTTGCTACAGGTACAGCCAAACTTCAAAACTAAATCTTTGTTGTTTAAATCTTAATATGTTTTATAGAGTACCAACCAGCAGAAAGACTGCAGTGAAAACCAATACAGGAAGACTTAAAACAGCAACTATATATGAGTAAGTTAATTTTGAATTAAATAGTACATTTGCTTTTTTAATGCATTAAATTGAATCTAGTCTTTTTGCAAAGAAAATTAAACCCTTCATGGGAATCAGTTGGTGTTGGTCATTTAAATTCTTAGAAGGTGAACTGTCTGATTGACAATAGCTCTTGTATTCTGTTGTCTTCATTCTTCAATATGAACTTTAAATTTCTCTTTGAAAAAGCAATCATTCATTCATTAATTTTGCTGAACACAAAAAAATAAACTCCTAGGAGAAATTAAGTTCCCATTGAATAACTCAACAAATTAAGTCAATAGCTATTGTATTTGTTCAATGGAACAGTTCACCTTACATAGATTAAAATACCTTAAAGGGAAACTTCGCAAAAAAATGAAAAATTCATATTCTGTTCATTATGTATAAAAAAGCACATATTCATAGACAATAAAGTTTTATTCTGCAAGTTAAGAGATGACCATCGATTTTAAATTTAGAGTATCAATTCTCCGCATGCGGCCATTTTGACATCCTCCCCGAATATTGACCACGATATATCTATAAACCACAAAGGACCAAAACAAGCAGTAACCTAACGTAGCCGTAATTGAGTGTCGATATCTTGTCAAGCGTAAGGTTGTTTTATCCGACAAGGAAAGCATAAACAGTTTCCCGGGTCACAAAAAAGATTATGATAGACATGGTTGTGCAACCTTTCCTAACTAACTTGATACGGAAAATGTAATTTTATATATATTATTTTTTAAATAACTAGTACTAATAGTATGGTCTGTTGTTTTGAAACTGTTTTGTTTACGAAGTATTTAAAACAAGAAATTGAAATTAGTTAAAAAGTCAAAGTTATAAATAAGTGTTCCGCGTAAAATTGTTTTTGAAAATCTAGTTTGTTCATAATTGTTTTATGTAATAAACTTTTTAAAATAAATTCGGACCTTCCCTTATCTGATCACCAGAATGGCTAAAGGAATTGTTCCCAGAGGTATTTTGAGGTGACACGTACAGGTATTCAAGCGATTTCCTGTCGGGCTTTAAAACTGTTATTACACAATTACATAAAACAAGTTCGTGCATCACTTCTTTTCTGGGGGTATTGATCAGTGTACACGGCCGATAACATGTAACTTCCATTTTGAATCTATCAGGTGTAATATACAACTTTGTATAGCGTATCCGATAGTGATATACTAGTCATTGCTAAACTCATACGCTTGTTTATAAATAACATTTTTGGTGTAAAGAATGATATTTAAGAAAATTTAAATAATTAAAAAAAAAAAGATTTGATGAAATAAAAATCTATTTACACATTTTCCAAGGGTAAATTGGGGAAAATGTAAGTATATACTCGTTGTCAATAATTATGGACATTTTGAAACATACAAATATTGATTTAACAAAATGTGCGGCACTTGTCGATCATTGGTTTATACGCCTAAATGGAAGGTTTAATACGATACTATGGATAGTCACAATATAGAACTAATATCATACAAGTATATTGAATATACGAGAGAAACATCCAGAACCAATCTGATTTAAATACAGGTCGATATCTAACTTGCTTTGGTTCATCGAAGCTATAGACATAGTAAAATCACAGATTTATATTTCAATAAGATTATTTCGAACAGTTTAAGAAATTCGTCATCATCACATTTTCCTGGTCCGACATGCATGTTATATATATATATGCCACTGGACGTGCACTAATGATCCCCAAAAGCCTATTTGAAGAAATAAAGAAACTTCACTCCGGATAGACTGATGGTAGTTGTATTAACGTCTGGTCAGCTAGAGGGTTGATTTATTTATTTAGTTAGCTTGTAGGGGATTTAACCACTCTTAATATTGCACTTATGCATTAGATATTAAATGACAGTACCGGTAATATCTGAGAAAATATAAATACGAAAAGTCGCATATTTGATAGAAAAGGACTCACCATGAACTATAGGATTGTACGTACGATTGTCATTCTAAATCGCATAACGGACAGTCATTTAATTGCATGCATGTACGCTGTGATAAAAAGGGGTGTCGCAGTTGCAAAGTATTCATCATAAATCTATTTCAAGTTTATTATTTCCTGTTATTTTTATAAGTTAACGCAGAGACATGTATAAACTAGATCTCTATTTAACGACAAGCAACTATATAAATATCTGAATCTGATGTGAATTACCGTTCATCTCTTTCTTTTTTCTCATTTTATTTTTATTTTTGCAGGAATATACACATTGTAAGATATACTGTTCCTCGATTTGGGGGGGGGAGGGGGGGGGGTCTGAGGTCATGTCTATCTATCTATGATTAACCTTGACATTTCCGGGTATAACAGAGCTATTACCTGAATGTGGTTAGGTGACGTCCCATGAGGTCTTACGTATACATGTTCATATTTATAATGGTTTCTGATATAACAATTAGGTTTTATAACATTCACACTTCTGCATGTTCTGTATAACAAATTCGTATCTTTTTTTCAGACCGAATGAGGATGTGAATATTTTCTAGGATCAAATTCATTTCGGGATTTTTTTATTTCTTTGTATTAAATCTCAGAAATTTACAGAATATACTGCTTGTCCGCTTTAGGAGTTTTCTTGTCAGTTTAAACAGACGTATATATGTCTCTGGTTTAGAGTGGGTTTATGAATGAATGATAAGTCTTACAAAGGTACAAGATATCAAGCACATTGAAAATTGATTTCGCCGTTCTGTCTCCATTTAAAAAAGGAAAGTTGACGTTAGATTGATTCTGTTAATTTTTTTAAACATCGTTGGTCAAATAGCTTAAGAATTATATAAATACGTTGTGAGATTTATAATATTTTAATAAGGGCATTTCTGATTAGGTAAATGAAGATCGCTTTGGACGACAAAACTATATTTTTGTAACTGATAATTTTCTCTGCACATTTAAATATTCAAGGTTACCGATGATAATTTAAAATAGTACTGTTTTGATTTATACGCTCGTTTTCGTGGGCCATTTATAATATTTATATAATTATTTTATTAAAAGTGATTCAGAATTTCGATGTTACAACAAAATACTCACCTATTTATTTAAAAACTGAGCAAATGCAAAATGTTAAAAAAATATATATATAATGGCGATTAAGGTATTTTGCCACCATATTCCTCCCTTAATAATTAAAAAAAATCTGTCTCATACCTGCAACGGTGAACCCTTGAGGACAAACACCACTCTAGTGAAGATCAAAGGATTAAACTTACATAATGCTAATCTTTTAAATACCGTGAATTTAACCACGCCTTTACCAGGTGGTGTCAGCATAATACACATGCATTGTATTTACACAGTACTAGACTGAAGAAGGATATGTATAGTTAGACAAATCCTCGACTGAAGTAATAGGGGAGAATACAAACGTGAATTTCTATTATACTATCAGTTATATATGTTGTTCAAAATATCCGTCGAAAAAAAAATCATAAAAAAATTCTATTGTATGATTTGCTTTTATTACTATAATCATATCAGAAATCCTTAAAATATAAATCGTAAATTTTAATTTAAGAAAATGCACGGCTGATCACTTTTCTTTCTGAATTGTTAGTTGGTTAATAGCTACACCAAAAGTCGTTGATGCGCTTTAAATCGCGTTATTAGATGATTAACGAACAAGACTTTAAATGAGATTAATCCACTCCCGGCATGCAAAAAGACTTAAACTACGTCACATAAGTCAGGAAGTTTGAATAAATAGAATTAATAATTCCCAATTTTCTTCTTTATTAGTTTTCATATCCAGATAAAACTTGGTGAATATGTTTTTAATGGTATTATGAACATAATAAGATGATAAGTAAAAAATCGCGAATTTTCCCTTTAATAAACACCAACTGATTCTGGGGAAAAGTTTTATTTCCTTTGCAATAAATAGGAATTACCATTGATAATTATATAATTGATTTTTGGTTTGCATGAGCATCTTAATATCTCTTTCATAATATGGAGATCTCACTCAATAGTCATTCTTTATTGATCGGAAATCGAAGTTACTTAATTTTAGTATCTGTATTTTGTCTGGGCCAAGTGAATTTAGCAATACTTGATTAATAAGTAATACATTGTACATGTATTATCTCACATATAATTATTCCATAAATGTCTGTTGTAAAACTGGTTTCAAAATAGTTGTGTCTACCTGATTTTCCTTTAACAAAATGGTGTACCGGTAATTTTTAACCAGTAATTAAAATTCATTCACTAACATAATGTTATTTAATTTTCAGTTTACCAAATGAAATAGTACTAAAGATCTTTGGATATCTGTCAATAGGAGAATTGTTATCTGTGGCTCAAGTCTGTCATCTGTGGCACCAGCTTTCATCTGACAAGTAATTATTGATATTTGCTGCATGCATATTTCTTCAAACAATTATTTTTATCCTTTTATGAGATCAGTTTACATATTTTCAACATTATTTTATCTGATTTATGAATATTTGTTATTTTGCATACACTCACAGAATAAAAATGTCTTTTGTCTAATGATATTTCTATGTATCAAAAAATAATTATTAATTCCCCTGTCTAGATGTGAGGCTATATTGCATTCACCTTGACAGTCTGCTCTTCCAAATCACACTTTTCTCTGGACAGAACGACTTTGTATTCGACCAGCAGCATGACAGTAATAAGTTAAAGTTGTAACATATTAGCACTTTTAAGATCTGTCTGACATCAACTTCCTGTTTCCTGAAACTTTTATTTTTTCAATATGTTGAATGAGCATAAAAATTGTCAAATCCTACTTGAAATTGAATATTAGAGAGTTCATATCTTATACTTAAAATAATGTTTCACAATTTTACATATTTTCATAATTTAGCAAAAATTTATTCAGTGCGACATGTTTATGTATTGATACAAAATTGCAAAACTTTTTTTTTGTTAAATTTTACATCAAATGACATTGCTTACCAAATCATGAATTAATTTGTATCCACTCGACAATATACGAATGTATAGATGTACTTCCTATATCAATATTATGTAAAATGAAATCATGATAGATTCTGCCATTTTTTGTTTTAGTTTGTTATGGAAGCCATTGCTACAAGCATGTGTACCTTCACAGGCAGTCAGTCAACAGCTTGGAGACCTGAAGTCATCTAATCTGAAATCTAGTTTTATGCAGAGGTTGTTACTTTTAGTATTATTCAGGTTTTAAAAGTATTTTATAGTTTTTTTAATTTTCTTAGATATCATATAACAGTTGGACCATGGGAGCAATTGACATCACTTGACGTCTGTGATACTCATACACTTTCTGAAAATCTGTTCTAAAACCACTATACCAAGTTATATCAAACTTGGCCACAATCATCCTTAGGATTTCTTGTTTAAAATTATGAGTATGCCTGCTGACCTACAAATGTACTAACATTGCTGCTGTTTCTATAAGTAAAACATAAGGATCGATCAAATTCATTTACTTGTCAATTATTCTGAAGTTATGGAATAGAAATGAAGGAACTGTTTTTGACAAGGTCCTCTAGTAGTGCCTTTGGGAATATTTAATGATATGACTGTTGGCAACTGTTACTAAAACTTGAAAATTTGAAATAGATATGAACGAAAATTCTAATAAAAATCAATAGCTTCATTCAGAATATTTTTTATTGAAACAGTCTTAATATGAAATTCATGCAGAATATAGTTTATGAGCCTGCCATCAATTTCTAAATAGATACATGAAGGAAAATAAATAAGCAGCTTGAAAAATCTTGCCCTTTTGACAAATTTACTTAAAGCGTAGCCACAATCTTCCTTATGGGATGAATATTACATACACACAAATTTCCAAAGCTCACACTACTTTAGAATCATCGGAAGAAGTAATTTTTATTTTTGAAACTGATAGGGAGAACTGGTGAGACTTAAGAGAGAAGTGCTTGTGGCACTATAATGGCCCGAGAACTCAGTTATTTCGTAGTGCATTTCTTTTAGAAAATAAAGTCAAATTAAAAAAAATTGCACCTGCTCTATCTCAAAAAGGTTTTACAGTGTAGTGTACTACTATTGGGACAAATAATATCTAAATTATAGAAAAGTCTACCAGCTCTAACTCAAAATATTGACAATTCTATGTTAAGGGGGTCTAAAATTCAGTTTGGCAGCTTCAGACATACTAGTTTTTGACTTTTTTTAACTGGACCAAATCACTACTTAACATAAAGATTCAGCACCCAAATTTTTTTAACATGTAATTTCATCCCCTTACTTAATATTTCATGCATAAAATATAAAGAAATAAATTTGGAAAGTGTATGAAAAAAATTTGCAAGTTATACACTGTCCACACTAGGGACTATATTCGTAGACAACGAAAACCAAAGGACGATAACTGTGTCCTTGGACCTAATGTTTTGTTTTTACAATGATATTTCTCCCTATTTGTATCCTATTTACTTTAATTTTTTTTGTATTCCTCAAACTTACTTTTATTTCCTGCCTGAAAATACAATTATAGTTACAGTTGATAAGTCTAAAATGGTCATTTATAGTTACATGATTTTATCTTTCCACTTGTCAGGAACTACTAACTACATATCTAGCAATGTTGCATATTAAAATAAAAAAGGAAAAGAAAATATCATTTATCGATTCAAGTTCAATGATAAAAAAATTATTGAGTATTTTGTTTATGATATTTATTGTTTCTCATTAAAACAATGTGTAAATTTAACAAATAATATTCTTTTATAAATGATTAATAGTTTAATCTGGTACAATTTTCAATAATATATCTACCACGGATATTATAACATTTGTAATTGTCCCTATCAGGCTAATGTTTGGTTTAAGTTAGTTTACCATAGAGTTGTGGTCGAATCAACTTTAAACTTACTACATGGTATTAAGATAAGGAGATGTGGTATGATTGCCAACTATCCACTATTGACCAAATGTTGAGGAGATTTATGTCAAATTAGAAATTTTATCTTGATTTCTCGGTTTACTGTTCATGGAAAAGTGATAGTGTCGGCAGAGCACATCATCCCAAGGACACAAATTCTTCCGTTATTTTATGTTTTTTATTTTAGGTGTATTGAGCTGAGAAACAAAAGAGTTCTAAGACTTCTGAAGAAAAAGAATCCATATACAGGTGTTATTCATTGCAAGGATGTCGAAAATGCTTTCAAGTAAGCAAAAGATAAATGTAAACCAACTAATTTTCACTAGTAGTTCATTTTCACAACTTTGGCCAGTAAGACAATAACACAAATATAACCTTGCGAAAATTTAAAACTAGACTCTTTCCTCAAATAAATACGTCAAGAAAATAAGAAAACCACTTAGAAAAATCAACATGAAGTTAAGACTGAAAAGGGCTTAATGTAAAATAAAGAATCCAAGTAAATAAGTTAGTTTACAGTTTTTTAAACACATGATACAACAGTCATAAACTGGTGGTAAGACTGATTTCTTTATAATACATAAAAAGAGCAGGATTTACCAAACATACTGGACAGTACAATAGAATACAACCACCATCAATATTTATTTTAAGAATATACTATAACAGTCTGCTGTGGATTTATTTATTGCTATGGTAACCAACTTTCATGGAATAAGAAAGAAATTTTCATGGATACTTTGAGGTTTTGACAAAGTCTCCATCCAGTCCTACAGGAAATTTTATCTTTTAACTTTGTGAACGCTTAAATTTGTGGTTTATCCACACCACAAAATCCAGTTATATTGGTAGCCAAATAAAAATGATGAATCTACAGTATAATTTATTAGCCTTTCATTTCAAAATGTTGACAGTAATGCTGACAAATTTGGAAAAAATGGGTCAACTATTTTTGCAGGAGTTATGCCCTCCAAAATTGATGTTTTTTTGGAAAATTGCATAGTTAGCAATCTCAAGCCTACATTTCTTCTAGGATATTTAAAAAAATAAAAAGAACCTAAACAGGATATATTGGAGTTATTGCCCTTAGACAAATAGAATATGTGCATTGATTGGGGACATTGGAACACTGTTATTTTATTCTCATTGTGTTCCCTTGCCTGTGTCGAGTTACTATGCCAGTGTTGCAACACCTACTAAGGTCCAATAAGTACTCTTGAAACAAAATTGATATTACACCCTCACTGTAGGATAGGGGTTCTGAACATTATTTCTGTCTCACTTTCCTATGGAACACCTGATTCATGTTTGGTCAACAGTTTGACAGTGATGAGTTTTAAATTGTGAGCACTGCAACTATCATACAGTACAGCAACTTCATATTTGTTGATGCTTAAAAATTTTCAGTTTGTTGAATGAATACTAATATTTTCATCACACTTTTCTAAGGACATGGGTCTTGATATATTTACTAGATCTGTTATTTCAATATTTATTTTATTGTAAACTAACAGAAAAATTTGTATCATTAGGACGATGTGCCCTGCTGACACTATCACTTTAATTAGGTTTTTTGTGATTTATTTGTCAAATGCTTATTTAGTTTATTTTAATTTGAAAGTAGAAATTAATAATCTTAGAAAGAAGAAATTTAATTTCAATAATTTGACTTTAGAACTGAGCTTATTTGAAGTATTCGGCTGATTAATTCAAGTGTTAGTATAATATAAATCTATACACCCATCTCGAGTTGTTTTTTATGAATGAGTTACACCGGTTGACTCGAGGACAATCGGTGTAAACGACGTCATCAAACAATCGGTCCTTACTGTGACGTAATAACAAAAGCATTGTGACATAGGAAATGTATGGGAAAGTGCACAAATTCCAAAGTCGTCTACAGATCTGGTAATAAAGTTAGAGGGATCATTCAACCTTAGCGCCATTTTGATATTTTGATCCTACTGATTATAATAAATTTAACTGTTTTTTCTTGTTATTATATTAAATAAGATTATAAAAGGATTAAGTTAATTGTTAAGTTGGAATCATTACTCTTTATATATTACTAATGATTATTGAAAATATCTTGCATGTATCTTTATGGTGAATGTTTTTTTAGTTTTTTTAATTTTGACACTTTCATCTTTAGGTGCAAAAAAAATATGACCACAACCAAAATATTCCAGTTTATGGTAGTTATGTTTTTAAAAGATGTATCATATGTGATTTTGGAATTTTAAAGATGTATCATATGCGATTTTAGAATTTTGTGTTTTTGGTTTATTTTAGGTTTGCTGGAATATCATGGCAGATAGTTATGACAGACACAAGTGGGAATGAACATTGTTTACAGAACCAGGATATTAGTTATCACCTTATGTCTGTGTCAGTTCGATGGTTCTCACTACAGATGATACCTGTCAATAATGTAAAAAAAATCTCACTGTATTCCTGTAACCCACTTTTTCATGACAGTAAAACTGGAAAAGTAGTCTCCAATGGGTAATTATTTTGTTATCAAAATCTTCAAAAAATTGTTTTAAAGGAAGTTTGTGAAGACTTACTTCTGGTGCTTCATTAATTATTATTATACTTCCTGCAGACAAAGTTATGGGATGGATATATTGGTATCACCCTGTTTGTTGATCCGTCTGTCTACAAAAGTATTTTGTAAGGAAAAAATCCTCATATACAGCAAGACTGAAATTTACATAGTTTTCATAAGCACCAAGTCCTCCTAAATGGATTGATGCATATTGATGAAATTTCACACAGTTGTAGAACATTACTTCATGATGTGTCTAAAGGAATATAACATAAGTCCTACATATGAAAGAGGATCAGATAGTTAACTTCTTACTTCAGTATTGCAATAAGTGGTAATACTGGTAGTCTCTTGTAAGCAAAACAACTATATTTTTGTTCTACATGTATTTTCATTTATTTAAAAATCTTACAAGACATTTAAATGAAAATAAAAAGTCATATTCCCAATAGAAAAATATATGGGAAAATGATATCAAATGAAAAAGTATAAATTTGAGAGTGGTTTGGTAATATTTCACCTAGTCTAATAACAGAGGTAAATTAATTGGGGTCATAGGATTGGTCAGTTAACTGTTGTGATGTAATCAAGAAAATTATGTTTTACTTTTGATATTCAACAGCTTGATTTAGAACAGTTTAGTTTAACAGTCTTCTTATCAATATTATCTTTTCAGGCCATACCAAAGGTCACTTTTATACTCAATGGATCAAAAGCTAAGTTCAACACTAGACAAATTAAAGCCTGTTGGTTCTGATGAAAATTTGAAAGTGTTTGCACTTGAAGATGGGATTATAATTGGTGTATGGAAGGTATAAAAAAGTAAAAAATAAAACAAATATGTCCGGACCACTACCCATTGAATATTTACTTTTAACATATAGGCATGTAGATTCATCATCTCAAGTAGAAGTGTCATATACCATTTTGCCTGAACTTTGATTTATAGCCTAAATGTGGGAGATCACTTTAAAAGATGTAGTGTTGCATTCCATTGGACCTTTGTTCCTCAGTTCTATCTTTTGAATATTTTAATTACATGAAAATATGCTTCATTCAATACATTTGCACCCAAAATTCACATTAATAAACACAGGGTATAGGCTATAGCCCTACAGTATTGAAGGGGTGAAATATGTTTACATTAACTAAATAAATTTAGCTATTAATTTTTAATTCAAGTTAGCCTGAATGGACATTAAACATCCAACATATCTCTTTTATGTGTATGTCTAAAACATCCATGAAATGTATCAAGATAGATGTTAAGCAGATCTATGCTTAATATACATTAAATTTTTTGTGTGACAACAATATATGTTAGAAATTTATTAATGACTAAATTTATAAAAACATAATTCTGAAGTTTATGTGGTATTTTTCTTTGTAGGAAGGTGGAGAAATTGCCTTTATTGCAATAGCTTCTGGGCTTCCTGGTTTGGTGAAAAAATGTATCATGGGAACAGCAACAAAGTTAGTGAAGGTTTTTTTTTTATCTAAAGATAATAAAATGCTTCGCTGGGACGCAGCTTGATACGACCGCAGAGGTCGAACCCTGAACAGTTGGGGCAAGTATGGACACAAAATTCAAGCTTGATACAGCTATGACTTTGGATTGTCATTAAATATTTGACACAGCATAGGTTTCTGACACAGGATGAATGTGGTGTAAGAACTGGAAAAAATTTAATTTACCTATTATGGTGGAATATCCATAAACTAAATTGTTTGTTAATTTCAATATATCAAAGAATATGTAGAATTCAATGTTTGATGTAATGTAATAAAGTTGAAATTTGGACCCTTTTTGTTCAATGTGGACCAATTTGGTAACATGTATAAATAATCAAAAATCTAAATACATGGGAGCCCATTTAAATACATCATAAAGGTATTAAAAAAGAAAGTGACATCATAGGCACAGCTAAAAATAAACAAAAATCCTTAATCAGCAACATTTAAAGTAATATCTAAAAATAAAATCCCTTTGTAACTATAAAAGCCCATTTAAATACATCATAAAGATATTAAAATAGAAAATGACATCATAGTCATGGCTAAACATAGCAAAAAACCCTTAATCAGCATCATTTAACAGTAATATCTAAAAATGGAAATTACATCATAAAGGTATTAAAATAGAAAATGACATCATAGTCATGGCTAAAAATAAACAAAATCCTTAATCAGCATCAGCAACATTTTACAGTAATATCTAAAAATAAAAATCCTTTGTAACCATAAAAGCCCATTTAAATACATCATAACAGATATTAAAATAGAAAATGACATTATAGTCATGGCTAAACATAGCAAAAACCTTAATCAGCATCATTTAACAGTAATATCTAAAAATAAAAATTTCTTTGCAACCATAAAAGTAAAATAGAAAATGACATCATAGCATAATCATAGCTAAAAATAAACAAAAAAAAATTTTATTGGCAAATTTTAAATGGAGTTATACTAAAACAATAAATTTGCAACCATAAAACCCCATTTAAACACATCATAAAAGTATTAAATAATTCAACTACATCATAAGGCTATAAAAATAGAAAATGACTTCATAGTCAAGGCTAAAGGTAAACAAAAAACCTTCATCAGCAAAATTTTATATTGGCAAATTTCCAATGAAGTTTATTATACTAAAATTGTTGGCAAATTTCCAATGCATTTATTAACAATAAAGTTATTGGCAAATTTCCAATTTACATAATTTAAAAGCAGTGTAGGTGAGATATTTAAATGAGTTTGAATTACCAACCTTACACTGCTTTTAAATAATGTTTTGTACTTAATTGTCTATTAACCTGGAAACCCTAGTTTTTTCACCTTTTTTTCCCTTATTATTTAAAGTAATGTATTATTTAAAGGTTTGAGCCATAACCCTACCCCAAAGCCAATTCTTAAATTCCAATGTAACCTAAATTTACAATATACATAACTTAAATTTAAGTTTTTGATAAAATCAAACCACATCATTATTATTTGCTTTTATATCTAAATCAGAAATAACCAACTTTAAGTGGAAAATTTTCACACATCACGCCCCCCAAACTCAATCCCAGCCTTCAATTTGTGGTATGGTACCTTGCAGTACAATTTCACACAGATCCAACTAAAAAAAAAATGCTTATTTTTAACCCCTTTTTTAGCCCCTTATTCCTAAACATTTGAGCAATTATCCGTCAGTACAATTTCACAGAGATCCAATTACTTGAACACAATTAATTGTTGGAAACTAAAAAAAAATGCTTATTTTTAACCCCTTTTTTAGCCCCTTATTCCTAAACGTTTGAGCAATTATCCCCCAAACTCAATTCCAACTTTTTCTTTGTGATCAGAATTAACCAACTTAAAATGGAAAATTTTAAAGATAAAAAAAAGGAAAACAAATCCCCCCCCCAAATTTTTTGACTCACTTCCCTTTGTGGTATGGTACCTTTAAGTACAATTTCAGAGAGATCCATACACTTGAACACAAGTTATTGTCTGGAAACTAAAAAAATGCTTATTTTTGCCCCCTTTTTTGGCCACTTATTAATAAATGTTTTGGGCAAACATTTTACAATAATATTTAAAACTGAAATTCCTTTGTAACCATAAAATTAAATAGAAAATGACATCATAGTCATAGCTAAAAATAAACAAACTATTGTTAAATTTCCAATGGAGTTTATTATACTAAAACAATAAATTTGCAACCATAAAAGCGCATTTAAATACATCATAAAAGTATTAAAAAAAATTTAACTACATCATAAGGCTATTAAAATAGAAAATGACATCATAGTCAAGGCTAAAGGTAAACAAAAAACCTTCATCAGCAAAATTTTATATTGGCAAATTTCCAATGAAGTTTATTATACTAAAATAATTGGCAAATTTCCAATTTACATAATTTAAAAATAGTGTAGGTGAGATATTTAAATGAGTTTGAATTAACAACCTTACACTGCTTTTAAATAATGTTCTTTACTCAATTATTTGTCTATTAAAATGGAAACCCTTGTTTTTTAACCTTTTTTCCCCTTATTCCTTAAACATTAGAGCCATAACCCCCCCCCCCCAAAGCCAATTATTACTTTCCAATGTAACCTAAATTTCCAATATATATAATTTTAAATTTCAATTCCTCATAATATATAACCGTATCATTATTATTTTCTTTCATATATAAATCTGAAACAACCATCTTTAAATGGAAAATTTTAAAGAAAAAAAAAGGAAAAAAAAAAATCCTACCCCCGACACATTTTTTCAACCCCCTTTTGATTCATCATCCCCCACCTCAATCACAACCTTCAATTTGTGGTATGGTACATTGCAATACAATTTCACAGAGATCCATACACTTGAACACAAGTTTTTGTTGCAAACTAAAAAAATCCTTATTTTTGACCAATATTTGGCCCCTTATTCATAAACGTTTGAGCAATTAACCCCAAAACTCAATTCCTACTTTCTCTTTGTGATAAAAAATAACTAACTTAAAATGTAAATTTTAAACAAAAAAAAAAGGAAAAAAAATAATTACCCCTTTTTTGACCCCCCCCCCCCCCTTATGATTCATCACCCCCCCTCCCCCCAAACCAAGCTCAATAGCAGCCTTGCCTTTGTGGTATGGTACCTTGTAATACAATTTTAGAGAGATCCATACACTTGAACACAAGTTATTGTCTAGAAACTAAAAAATGCTTATTTTAAACCCCTTTTTAGGCCCCTTATTACTAAACGTTTTGGGCAATTACCACAAAACTCAATTCCAGCTTTCCCTTTGTGAAATGGAACCTTGTAGTAAAATTTCAGAAAGATCCATACACTTACACACAAGTTATTGTCATGAAACTAGAAAAATGCTTGTTTTTTGCCCCCTTTTGGCCCCTTATTCCTAAAATTTTGAGGCAATAAACCCCAAAATTAATCCCAGCATTGACCCTTTGTGATATGGAATCTTGTGGTACAATGTCAAAGAGATCCATACGCTAACACACAAGTTATGTCTGGAAGTTACAAAAATGCTTATTTTCGGCCCCTTTTTGGCCCCTAATTCCTTAACTGTTGGTACCATAACCCCCAAAATCAATCCCCACCTTCCTATTGTGGTATTGAACCTTATGGTAAAATTTCATAGAGATCCATTCACTTAAACTAAAGTTAGAGTGCGAAAACCATTGTGTCTTCGGACGACTACGCCGGACTACGAGGACGAGGCCAACGTCATACCTATATACGACCGCAAAATTTTTTTGCGGTCGTATAAAAATTAGGTGGAGTTTGATGCAGGGTAAAAGGCAAATTTATCTTATATTTTACTGTTTTTAGATCAAAGAAGAAAAGAGATATTGAGTAAACTACTGGACTTGAACAACACAAATTAACCTCACATCTTAGTCTTTTGTAAATGACTTGACAATTTACAAATGAAAGCTGCATCTGACATCATAAATCTTTTTACAATCAACATTACACTTTTACAATGACAGCTGCAATTGCAGGCAAGACACAATGTTCCGTGGAACCCTTTATAATATTTTATTTGTGAATATTTCATTAGCATGAGAAAATGTATTTTGTTTGATAAACAATTGATATTTTTTATTAAAGGATGTATCAGTCACCAAAAGAAAAAAGATCTGCCTGTTTACCTGAGTCTACATATGGTATGTTAGATAGTTGTATTGCCTTGCATGTGGAGAGTCGTTGGAGGTTAGAAAAGAGGTGTAATTTTTTATGTTGCAAACAGGAATAATTAAAATATTTTCTTAGTCTATTCATGGGAAGACAAAAAGTTGGTATTACTTATTGGTGTAACTCCTTCATTAAAAGGATCTCAAAATTAAAAACCAAGAAAAAATCAGACATATAAATGTCTTGTTACATGCAGTCAATTGAACAGGAGACATACAGCATAAAATAACATGTCATCTGCATCCATTTGATAGAATGTCATTATATTTTTTGTCTGCCTACAAAAGGTAATGCAGTTTTCTTTGTAGCCTGCATGTGCATCTTTTTCATGTCCATGTCAATATTATTATGCGCCTTTAATTCAATATTTTAAAGGTTGTAGCAATATTTTTTCTGTCAAAGTCTATTGCTTGGCATTGTCAGTTGGTTTTTAAAATGTTCATTTGCAGCACAATGTGTCCATTGGTTTCAGATATTCTTTTATCAAATCTATTCATTCTTTATCTGTTTTACTATACATGTATGTGATAATGTCAGTTACAAACACTGTTTCAGTAAAGAGGAAATATCAATGATATTTATAAATCTTTACGTAACCGTTTTTGCCTATCAAGACCATATGTCATAAAAGTAAAACACACAATAAAAAAATCGCACAGTCCAGCTATCAATAGGATGGCCACTCAAGGAAACAAAGTATTGAAGAACAGCACATTCCGGTAATTTAAAAAACAGGGTCAAAATATGCTTGCTTCAGCAGGAAGCTAGCTAACATAGCCACTGCTGTTAGTTGAGTATTGCTGGTCAAGCAAAAACTAATAAAAGCAGCACTCCTAATGTTTAGTTCTAGTACATGTTTGTTTCCTGGCAGCATTATATATAAGATAATTAGTTCACACCATATGAAAAATAATTAAAAGGTCTTCTTTGAGTTCCTGTTGCAATTTAAACAGATCTATATGTGAAGTAGAGTCGGGTGATTTATTCAGGCCCTTGAAGTCTCATGTAAATTTAGAATTGGATGTTTTAATCATGTTTTATTTTATAATTTTTCATTTGATATTTGTAATTTAACAGAATGTTTTGTATTTTATGTGTGTTTGATTAACAAAAGTATTGAATATGAACAGGTTTATATGGCTACAGTTGTACGATACAGCTAAGAACAATGAAGCAAGAAATTTGGGACCAACAGTTTAACAATGTAGAATGTCCAAACTCAAATATCAGTAAGTTTATTACAGTTGAAGAACACACATAGTGAATAAAAGTCAGATTATTGTTTGAAAAAAATATGAATGACTTTCCCATGCTGAAAGGGGAATAGCCTGTAAAGAAGGGATAAACTTTATCTTTTATGTATGTGTGTAGTTTTTTTCAGCCTGCATGTGCATCTTTTTATGTTCATTTCAGAGTATAATGTGACTAAAATTACTTATTTCAGAAGTCATACCATTATTTTTTCAGGCAAGGAGCTATTGCTTGGCATTGTCCTTTGGTTTTATTTGCAGCACAAGTTGTCCATTTGTTATTAAATCAATTCATTCTTGAAGTGATGTACTAAACCTATGCCAGTTACACATACTTTTATAGTGAAGAGGAAAAAATCATTAAACTAGAAAGCTACCTTGGTGTTATTAATATAAGAATAAGGAGATGTGGTATGATTGCCAATGAGACAACTATCAACCCAAGTTCAAATGAAGTGGATATAGGCAACCGTACGGCCTTCAACAACGAGAAAAATCCATACTATATAGTCGGCTATAAAAGGCCCTGACATGAAAAATGTGAAACAATTCAATTGAGAAAACTGAAGTTTTTTTAGGTTTTTAAAACTTAATACTTTTTCCTGTATTTTCTTTTGTAAACAGCTTAAATGAATCTGTATGTTTAAGGTTGTTTGACCTTGTATACTTTTGCCTATCCTTTCCCTTTTTGGTATGATACTCTTAAATTATAAATTTGATTCAAGCTTTTGGTCTTGTGTGTACTGTATATGTTTTTTTAGAAACGTGTCATAGGCAATGAAATCAGTTTCATATATTTATGTTCTCCTTGAGAAAGTGGTTTTCTTTTATAAAAAAGACAATACATAAAGCTGTTATAAGCTGCAATCTTTTCAATTCTTAAGTTGATTTTGAATGGAACCGAAAATTTATGAAACAAATGAGACATGGGATCAAAGCATCAAATTAGAAACCATCAGAAAAATTCTTAAATTAAAAACTGTACTTTTTCAAATTTCTTAAACATTAAATCACTGTGATGTCTCCTTTTTGTGCTAAGGTAGCGTAAATCAGACCCCAATCAAGCAATAAAACCTAAAACATTAGTACTTCTTTTCAACTTTTTCCCATTAATATAGTTTTGTTTAATTCAAAGAGGATCCATATATCCTTTTGACTTTCAGTCTTTCTGTTTGCTATTCACTTTGTCTACAAACAATTTCATATGTCAAGTCATTCTACATTTTAATAACTTTAATAATTTAAGAAGGGATTTTGGATGGATGTTTTATCTTTAGACCATAAGAAAGCTGCAAAGTCCCTCAAAAATTGTATTTTAGAGTTATGGCTATAGTGTAAGACAAAATGCAATATCATTCTCTGTATAACATAAATGAAGCCAGAAAGAAAGATGTTTAGTATTATTTTAATGTACATTTTAGGAAATGGTATTGCACAATTTCATCTTATGAAGGAAACTGATAGACAAATACTTATAAAAGAGATTGCGTTTCCATGGAAGACTGATGCTTTTAAAAGTAAAATTAAGGTTTGTTATTTTTATGCCCTATATCAAGTTTCCAGGATTCATTATTGAAAAAAAAAAAAAAAAATTGTATTTATTTGATGTATTTGAAGTTGACATGAATAAATTTTGCCCATGACAGTAAACAGGAATATACTACCGGTAACTTTATAATTATAAGAAGAATTGGTATGATTGCCAATGCAACAGCTTTCCACCAGAGATCAAACACGTAAATGACAGCAACTAAAGGTTACTGTACCACCTACAACAATGAGCAAAACCCATACCACATAGCAAGCTATAAAAGGCTCTGACAAATGTAAAGCAATTCAAACTAGAAAACAAAAGGCCTGATTTATGTACAAAACAACAAATGAAAAACGAATATGATATACTCAAACAAACCACAACCACTGAATTACAGGCTCCTGACATAGGACAGGCACATACAGAATGTTTGTAGCAATGCAATTTTATATTTGACAATTTTATGGGAAATAAAGGATATTTGACAATCAATGGGGACGTACATCATCTACACCCTCCCCCTGAATCCACCACTGACCGTGATATATACTTTATTGAATTTTATAACGTCACTACAGACATGGAATGAGTTGGGAAATATAAAAACTGTAAGATGGTACCAAAAGAGGAATAGAAAATGAAAAAGCATCCCTTTTGTCATAAAATTTAGTTTACTTGATTGTAACTTAAAAAAGAAATTGATTGGATTTCATTATTGAATGTGTTCCATGAAAGCTCATATTTGCACATTTTTCAATGCAAAGTTCTTGATCAGCACTTGAATTTTTAGAATAAATATTTGCAAACAATGTATATGTAACAGTAAGTTAAGGTATTTATGCATCGTTGACTTAAACTTTACTGCCAGGAAAATTTGAAGAGCAGTTCTGAGATGTTTGCTGTCTAGTGATTATTTGAAATACCCATTTTTTTATTTAATAATTTTATTTGAAGTTATATTGAAATCTGTAAATATTCCCAACTTTTTCTATTGATCACAAAACCAGTGGAAGATTAATGTTGGGGCATAGAGGGTGTTTGTGGCATGAAATAGTCCAAAAAGATTTGCCTTGCTATGCTCTGCATTATTTTTAACATTAAAGAAGTTCCTAGATCTGCTCCTGAAAACCACATGCATAAGGATACAAATTAAAAGAAAAGAAAGGATATGGGGTATCCATCTATGACACAAAATCTATACCGGCAAAGCAAAAAACACAAAAAGCAAAGGAACAGCTCTTTTATTACTGTTCTTCATCTTAAAGTCACAGTAAGGACTTCAACACATAGCAAAATAACTCTCCCCTCACTGCAAGTTTAAGACGGCCCCTAGTACTGGTTTGAGCAGTTATATTACTATATTATATGTTATTACATTTAACCCATAACTGTGCTATATGTAGCAAATATGTTCTTGGTATGCTTACCTTTTTTGTGAATAAACAAGTCTTTAAAATCATTGTAGAAAAATATATTTTCTATATTTAACTGACTGCTTACAAAATTACTGTAAAATATAGTACCAGTAAATGAAAAATATTTAAACTCTTTAGAGACAGTTAAACAATTCTTTTATATGATTTGAACTTTATATATTTTTATTTATACATAGGATGTGTGCTGTCTAGATGCTTTATTAACAGATAATGAAGGAAAGGTTGTATGGAATTGTTCGTAAGTTCTATTGTTAGTACGGCAGCTTTTCAGGTTTGAAAATATATTTTTATTTATTGCAAACCAAATGAAACTTTTCCACAGATTCATCTCCTATTGTTCAATCTATTTAAACTTTTGTCAGTTCTATTGTCCCATTCAATAAATACAATAGCTATTATTCTCTGTGTAGTTTATTCACTGGGACCTTTAAATTTCTTCTAAGAGAAATCCATCACTCATTGATTAATTTACCTGAGTAAAAAAATCATCTTCTAAATAAATGAAAATACATGTTTCAACTAAAAAAAAATGCCTGTGATGTTGTATTTATTCAATATCAATAATATATTTTCACTCTGTTCTATATAAACACGGATTTAATCATAAAAAGTTGATTTCTGACAAAATTTTCAACATTGTTCCTATTGAAATTTGTTTTTTTGTGTGTTTGACAAATTAAAACTGGAAAATGACAATATTTTAATTAAGGCCTTCTTAAATGTATTCTGTAACTAAACAAAAACAAAAAAAATGCAAATTTAAATAGGAACAATGCTAAAAATTTTGTCAGAAATCAACTCCGTCTGTCCGGCTTCAGGTTAAAGTTTTTGGTCATTGTAGTTTTTGATGAAGTTGAAGTCCAATCAACTTGAAACTTAGTACACATGATCCCTATGATATGATCTTTCTTATTTTAATGCCAAATTAGAGTTTTGACCCCAATTTCACGGTCCACTGAACATAGAAAATGATAGTGCGAGTGGGGCATCCGTGTACTATGGACACATTCTTGTTTATCATTCAAAATGTTCCCATAATCCTAACATGAAATTGGTTCACTGTTAGCACCATAGCAAGAAAATGAGTACATTAAAACTACAATGAAAATGTGTCATTCATTGGCTTCCACCTTTGTGAATCTCCTGACAAAAAATATGCAGCACAAGTTGAAATTTAAAATTTTTGTAATTCGACAATTGAGATTCTGACAAGAGTCTCCTTTCAGTGGTGTTGTGATGAAGCCACAAAATACTTGTGACTATCACTTATAACAAGAAGTCTTTTGGCAGTTCCTGTGTCATCCGTTTTTTTCCTAGAGGATGTACTATATGCTTGACTAATTATAACTAAACTTCGTATTGGACTCTGATCTGTACCAATTAAGCTTCTCGAAAAAGAACACAATTAAATCCCCCTGTAGTGGGCCTCCTATAACTGATCATTAGACACTTTGACAGTCTTCAGTGATTTCTGTAAAGTTTTTCTCAGAATTTCTTCACACAATTCAAGACAATTTACCCCAAGATACTTTTTTTTATAACATTCTGAGAAAAAGAAAAGTAGAAGAATTCAAATTATATTGAAAATAAATGCAATATTTATATTTATTTTAGTTCTGCTGTAACTGTGAAGAAGGAGGGAAGTCGGAAATTCACATTTGACAGTAAGTTCAAGTTAGATTTAAAAAAATAAAATGACATGATATATAAATTCATCTGTAAAAATTAAGATATAGCCTTTTTGCACTGATGCAGCATTAAACAATCATCAATCAATCAATGGAATTTAAATCTACTTAGAATAGCAATAATTGAATGGAAAACAGCAGCCACACTGCAAATTCCTATATCATTGATAGTATTAATTTAAAAGCGGAAGATGTGATATTGAATGAATGTCACAAAGCCAGTCATTAGAATTACTTTTCTTGTGACTTCATTGATATTTGGTGAACAGGTTGAATCAGCATTCATTTATCTCAACTGTATGCAGAATAATAACTCCTGCTTCTCAGTTATCTTCCAATGGCTTATTAGGACCAAGAATATATGTATTTTGTGAATGTCAGCTGGTATCATTCTTGTTTTAATCGAATTTATACTAATGAAATTATTTGATTAAATTAAATTTGATTAAAGAAAATAATCCTAGATATTTTGAACCTCCATTTTAACCAGTAACAACCATATACAAAAGCCTTCACTCCATGAAAACATAGGTCACACAATCCATGTAACAAAAATTTTATGCAAAATGGAAAAATAGATTTAGTTATAGACCAATTTGCGAAACTTTGGAGCAAACTAAATAAGGAAATTATGTGGTAAATGCTATATTTACCAGAATAATGTCTATCTTAAACATACAAGTGAGAGGTTTAGCACTTTAAAACCAGGTTTAATCCACCATTTTCTACATAAGAAAATGCCTGTACCAAGTCAGGAATATGACAGTTGTTGTCAATTCGTTTGATGTGTTTGTGCTTTTGATTTTGCCATTTGATTAGGGACTTTCTGTTTTGAATTTTCCTCGGAGCTCAGTATTTTTGTGATTTAACTTTTTTTAAAAATACTTGCAAAATAGCACTTACATCATGGCAGTACTATATATTGTCCATTAAAGGGTCTACAAATCAAGTTTTGCTTAAAATTCATGTCTAAAAGCATGTTTGTGAATATACAATAAATATATGAGTACCGGTACATATATGACTGAGTGAAATTACATTCTGAACAAAATTCAAAAGCCCTCTCAAAAATCTGATAGAATCTGTAGTACCAAGAAAAAGAGCAATATAGAATTTTAATCATGATATACAATATTTCTTTGAAGTGGATTTTGACTACTGTAGAGAACAGTCCAGATGTATAGAATATTCAGATCAGAAAGGACAAATTTTCATTCAGATTGACAAGGTACATGTACATGTATGTGCATAAATAATTATATTATAGTTTATATGTATGTAAAAAATGGATTTTGATTGGTTGACTCAGGTGGTACATCTTTCAGTCATTTTTTTTTATATTTATATTTTTTTTAATTCATATATCACAAATATGCATGCTTTCCACAACTTCTCATAAACAAGCTTACACTTAACTGCTGGTATTTTCCAAAATTAATTTTTCTGGATTCTCTTGCAAGGATCTTCCTGCCATATGTATTTCAGAACCCAGGGCTCACGCTACCAGGCGACTAGGGCAAAGAAGTCGCTTTCCCGTCCGTCTCTTCGCTTTGCCCGACCCTCAAAAGCGAAAACAAGTCGCCCTGTTGTTTACGATACTCGCTTTCAGTTGCTTTCGTCATCGGACATTTTCAATTATTACCAAGTTGATATAACATCAATTTTTTATTGATTATTAAAAAAATTCAGACATAAACGAATCATTTTCTTAAGAAAAGAGGTTTAAGCATTGACTTTACAGTGTGTAGCAGGTTATTTAATAAAAAGACAACTTTTTATCACTGCGTGCACCTCCGGTACTTGTTACTCGGAGAGCGTATATCAATCTAACTTTCGGCAGCAAAATAAGTTTGTTACTTCATTTGAAAGTGATCAAAGTTGCCTCCAGTAAATGTTTAATCCATTTATTGCATTAAACACGTCATATTCCTTTCCAAATAGCTTGTCAAACATGGTTACAAGAGCGCAATTATTTGTTTACATTTTACCGGCAAGTTTTTTACCCCAAGATGGTACTCAGAATAGAATCCTATACGGCTTCTGATTGGATGATACAGGATTGGAATTACATTTAATCGAAAGCTTATCCAATTAGGTTTAAAAATTGCAGAAAATCATATTCACATTTTACGAAGTATAGAAAATATCCTCCATTTCTGCACGTCGGAGCCATTAAAAATATGCATTTTTCATTAAGCCAAAAAAATAGACGATCTTTTTCAACTAAAATTGAGAATGGAAATGGGGAATGTGTCAAAGAGACAACAACCCGACCACAGAACAGACAACAGCAGAAGGCCACCAACAGGTCTTCAATGCAGCGAGAAATTCCCGCACCCGTAGGCGTCCTTCAGCTGGCCCCTAAACAAATATATATACTAGTTCAGTGATAATGAACGCCATACTAAACTCCAAATTGTACACAAGAAACTAAAATTAAAAATAATACAAGACTTACAAAGGCTAAAGGCTCCTGACTTGGGACAGGCGCAAAAATGCGGCGGGGTTAAACATGTTTATGAGATCTCAACCCTCCCCCTATACCTCTAGCCAATGTAGAAAAGTAAACGCATAACAATACGCACATTAAAATTCAGTTCAAGAGAAGTCCGAGTCTGATGTCAGAAGATGTAACCAAAGAAAATAAACAAAATGACAATAATACATAAATAACAACAGACTACTAGCAGTTAACTGACATGCCAGCTCCAGACTTCAATTAAACTGATTGAAAGATTATGTCTTCATCATATGAATATCAGGCACAATCCTTCCCGTTAGGGGTTTAGTATCATACCATCATAACATATATGAGAAGAACATAACCCGTGTCATGCCAACAACTGGTTTTTAAATAAATGTGTTTAGTGCCGATGCAAAGACCCTATAAGAGAATCAATATTAACGCCAAAATATGCAATCTTTAATGACCTGACAACAGTATCGTAACTATATCCCTTCTAGTAAGTCTATTTAAAGGTTTTGTTAGTTTCAGAGGTGAATACTGACATTTTTGTGCTTTATAAAGAATATTTCCATAAAAAATTGGATGTGAAATACCTGAACGTATAAGAAGTCTGCATGTTGAGCTATATTTACGAATGATGTCCTTATACCGATGATAAAATTTAGTAAATGTTTTGACTAGTTTGTGATATCGAAAACCCTGGTGTAATAATTTTTCAGTAATACATAAATTTGTCTCGTTAAAATCTAAAACATTGTTACATACACGAGCGAATCGTACAAGTTGAGATATATAAACACAGTAAGATGGTGACAAGGGAACGTCACCATCTAAAAATGGATAATTAACGATAGGAAATGAAAAATCATTTCTTTTATCATATATTTTAGTATTAAGCTTTCCGTTAATGATATAGATATCAAGATCGAGGAAAGGGCAGTGGTCATTGTTAGTATTAGCTTTATTTAAAGTAAGTTCAACAGGATAAATTTCTTTAGTATACATACTGAAGTCGTCATTATTGAGAGCCAAAATATCATCCAAATATCTAAAAGTATTATTAAATTTGTGTATCAGATGTTGTTTCTATGGGTCTTTACTGATTTTTGTCATAAATTGTAACTCATAGCAATACAAAAAAAGGTCCGCAATAAGTGGTGCACAGTTAGTCCCCATTGGAATTCCGATAACCTGACGATATACGGAATCTCCAAAGCGAACAAAAATGTTATCTAGTAAAAATTCAAGGGCATATATAGTATCAAAGCATGTCCAATTGACATAGTTTTTTTGTTTATTGCTACTAAAAAATGACCTAAAAGAGTTTGAACATATATATTCACATTCTGACTTTTTAAATGCCCATTTAATTAGGTGTGTGAATTTTTTCTTAATGAGAATGTGAGGCAATGTGGTATATAGGGTAGAAAAATCAAAACTTTGAACAGATTCAAAATCACCAATATATGCATGCAATTTATCAAGTACTTCCAACGAGTTCTTGACACTCCAAAAGTAATTAATTCCACTATTTTCGAAGGCCTTATTTGAACAATTTGTTATCAGGTTTTTGATTGTACCAAGTGTACTGGTAAGAAGAATAGACAATTTAGTAGTGGAACAATGGCTTGAAGACGAAATGAATCTATATTTGTAAGGTGTTTTGTGTAGCTTCGGAAGCCAATACATAGTTGGGACTTTCATTGTATTTGGTTCTGCTTGTAAAGCGGTAGCTAAAAGTTTATGTTTGTTACAGATGTCGTTTTCTGAAAATGGAGTCAGTTGGAATGTTGGTGAATTGGTGATTTCTTTTTTCAGAACCTCAATGTAAAATTTACGTCAAACAATAATAATATTATTAGCAGCTTTATCGGCCGGGACAAAAACAAATTCCTTGGCTAGTTCTTTTAGTTTATGTTTGATACGAGAAATAGGTTTATTGTGGTTATTGTTAAGAGTAAAATGTTCTTTAAAATGTTGAATACGTATATCAACTATGTTCATTACTGATTTAAAAAAAGAGTCCAAAGATTTTTTGTCAGCTTTTTCCCGTTTTATCCATTTCAAACAGTAAGTAACTGCATTTTAAGTCAATTTCTGCCGCATGACCCTATATATTTTTTTAGCTGTAATGCAACACTGGCATTTCTAGTAACAGGAACTGCAATCCGTTTTTCCCTAGTTTGTGTAGTCTTCGAGAAAAAAAATACGGAACACCAGTGGTACCCTATGGAAAATGCATTACGAATAATTGCGCTCTTGTAACCTATAGAAAAAAGACATTTTTTTAAAATAAGGCTTTGAAGAATGTTGAAAATAGTCATTTTGCTCGGAAAAAATGTAAAACAGCGAGAAATGGGGTCAAATGGACTTTTCATCGACGTGAATTCAAGCTATAGTCTGTTTCCTATTTGTGTTGATTTCCATATCTAAATCTAGGGTGGGCTCGAATGTCGACAAAGTATGAAGGGAATAGAACGGTTTTGTGATATCTACTGTTTTTATGGGAAAAAGCATGAGTATATCTTGAATTTGAAGATTCATTTTGGTTTTTAACCATAATGATCGTGACTCAGTTGCTGTTCTAGCAAAAAGCTAATTTGGTGAAAATTGACCAAAAGGGTCCCTAAGCAAACAAAACGATTTAGTTAAATTGCAAAGTAGAAAAATTAATCTTGGCATTGAATATTGTAGTCCAAGAATAGTTTCTCTTGCCAAAGTAGTAATATTATCATATTTTCAAAATTTGGAAAAACTATAGTCTGTTTCAAAAACGTGTTTTTTCAAGAAATGGTTTCATTTCAAGCCATTCTTCAAAATTTGATGTAGCTTTTCCATATCAGAACGGTTTTGTCGACAATATGATCAGTGCTGGATGACCTTTGAAAAATGAGGCCAGTAAATAAACTTTATCTTCATGTCTTTTTGAACAGTACCGTATTTGGTGAAAAAATCAGTTCAAATTTTTGGGCCGATCGGCGGGCAAAAACTAATTCTCAAAATTCAGAGAGTGATCAGATAATGTTTTGAAGACGTGATTTTATCTAGATAGATGCTAGCGCTTCATTTAGCGCGGGCGCTTAATTTTCGGAATTTTTTTTCATTACCGTATAGGTTACAAAAGCGCAATTATTTGTTTACATTTTACCGGCAAGTTTTTTACCCCAAGATGGTACTCAGAATAGAATCCTATACGGCTTCTGATTGGATGATACAGGATTGGAATTACATTTAATCGAAAGCTTATCCAATTAGGTTTAAAAATTGCAGAAAATCATATTCACATTTTACGAAGTATAGAAAATATCCTCCATTTCTGCACGTCGGAGCCATTAAAAATATGCATTTTTAATTAAGCAAAAAAAATAGACGATCTTTTTCAACTGCATTTTAAGTCAATTTCTGCCGCATGACCCTATATATTTTTTTAGCTGTAATGCAACACTGGCATTTCTAGTAACAGGAACTGCAATCCGTTTTTCCCTAGTTTGTGTAGTCTTCGAGAAAAAAAACACCAGTGGTACCCTATGGAAAATGCATTACGAATAATTGCGCTCTTGTAACCACATCATTTATTTTTGTAAATTTTCATCGTCCGCCATTAAACGTTTACTAACTACGGATCGGAAACGGACCAGCTATGACCGAAATCCGTATTTTTACAATAATAACAACAAAAGCTGACAGAAGAATATTGATCCCAAAAGGAAAAATTACGCATTCCACACGCATTAACAGACTTTTGGTTAGATCTAATTGATTAATGTATATAATTCCATATAATTTATATGGATTGTTTCAAAATATTGATTAAAGTTGCTTAACTACTAATATCAATATATTATGGCCCAGCTTAACTTTGTATATCTTTTGATGAGAAACACTGAATTTCATAACATGATAAACAAGATAGTTTTTAATTGAATTGTAATTCATATATATTATAATTTCTTTACCTTTTTGACATAAAAAAAAAATCTTTTTAGTGCTAGATATTTAGTTGGTAGTTTCTCACAAGAACCTAAACTTAAACAACTTTGAATTTGAACTGTTAATTTAATTGTATACTCAGATATGAATTGAACAATATAAAAAGAACATTATTTACATATGACCCTTTATACTATAGTAAAATCAAAACATTGTAGCGCAGCGCACGAAGGACACTTCTCTTTCAAATCTCACCACTTCTCCCTATCAGTTTCAAAAAGAGAAGTCACTTCTCCCTATGATTCTGAAGTAGTGTGAGCCCTGAGAACCTTAATTCTGTATAGATGCATTTTCATAGCAGCATGATTAATCAAAAATGATTGAGAGAAGTAATCTGAATACACAATAAACAATGATGTCACTCTAGGAAGTCCACTAAGCCAAATAAGACTGTCAGATCAGAACTATTTGAGTTATTGTCCTATGGGATCATCAGAATCAGCTGGGACTCACCATTTCAAAAAGTGCTGAGTCCCAGGAATCACCTTCAAAGTATCTTAGTGAGAACCCTGAGCTCAATATCTACAAGAAGAGATTTTTAAAGTTTAATTTCAAAAGTGCTAAAGGAAACAATTGTATTTCGGTTCTTACCTCGAAATATGTATGGATGGGTGAAAAATTGAAAACAAATGAGAAAGTTGTCACTTCTCTAAGTTTAAAGGGGCATTAGCTGTCAAATTATGTTCACTGATTTGACCCAAATTCTCATGTTTAACTTATGAAATACTAAAACTTATATTAAAATTACAAAAAGTCCAAAAGAAAATAATAAGAAATGCAATGTATAGACATGTTATAATGCATCAGCATTTCGTGTGTATTTTAGACTAGATGCCATCTAATTACTCATCAAGATGACCTGTGAAGACTGTCGACGGTCTTATAACCCGACATCAACATAAATATATATATAAATAAACATACTATGTGTACATATAACATGTGCCGTCGTATTATGACAATATCTCTAGGTCTATTTGATTTCATGTTATAGATTAAAAACATATGTCTTATCTATGTAGGACTCTAAAGTGCGATGGCCACGCTAAAGTCAGATGGTCTACGCTAAAGTGCTATGGTGTCAGAAGCTAAAGTGCGATGGTTGTTTGTTTTTTAAGTGCGATCAGATAACATGCTAAAGTGCGATGGTATGACAGGCTAAAGTCCGATGGTGTAACAGGAATGTGGTTCAGGCAATGGTTTTCGTTTGTTGCTGAGGTCATATTACTTTTTCGTTTATTGTTTTATTTATACATCAAGCCGTAGTCTTTCTCTTTTGAATAGTTCATACTACATCTTCTTATTTTTATTTTACAATAGTACAATAGTTATCCAAAAAGTGTAATGGTTACATTGCAGTAGTTAGTTTATCTGGAATTTAGTGGTAGTCGTTTGTTTATATATTTCATATTTGCTGTTTGTTTATTGTTTTGTATTTAAATGACGTTGCTTTTTTCTCGTTTGTACTGTTTTACACTGGTTGTTTTGAGGCCCTTTGGTCTTTATGGAATACTATGCGGTGTAAGCCACTGCTTTGTGTTAAAGGTCATTCTATAACCTAAAGTTGCATACATTAATGACATAAAGTCTTGGATAGAGAATTGTCTTATTGGCAATCATATGATGATACTACACATCTGTCTAGTTGACGTATATTCATTATTTAACAGGAATAATAAACCATATTGTAATTTTTTTTATAGAATTATTCAATTAGAAGGTAAAAAGAAGACTTTTTTTGGCACCCCAGCTGTTTTGTTTAAATTTCAATTTTACAAATTATAAAGTTAGCCTCTTCCAGCAACGACCAAAAAAGATCTAGATTGTGATCAGTTTGTTTCTCTCGTCTTTCTTTTCTTGTGTAATAAAAACCCTTAATCTTGACAAACATTCTCGTCATAATGCTGTTTAACATTGCTAACATCGATACTATTGTGAAAAAACGCACTTTAGCGTGTTCAAATAAATAACACAGACCATCGCACTTTAGCGTATCAAACCATCGCACTATAGCATATCAAACCATCGCACTTTAGCGTGACCATTGCGTTTTAGCGTCCCCATCGAACTTTAGCATAGGCCATCGCACTTTAGCATGACCATTGCGTTTTAGCGTCCACATCGCACTTTAGAGTCCTACATCTATATCATCGTTTTTTCATTATCACTATCGCTATTCCTGGTGTCTCCCTTGTTTCACTTTTCATTCATTTCTTTTTAATGAACGAACAACATGCTGAACACATGCACAACCTTCTTTACTAAAGGTCAAATTCCAAGTTGCATGAATATGGATTCAAATGAGTTGAATTATTGACTTGCAAGCCAATACATGTAATACATCAGCAATGTTTTTATACGCCCGTTTACCGGACTTATGATTGTATACTGTTGTCCGTCTGTCCGTCCGTCCGTCCGTCCGTTGTCAACATGTCGGACATTAATTCAAAAACGCTTTAACCAATATGCATGAAACTTTGGTGAATTGTTTATATCTATTGACGTGAGCTCCCTTTTGTTTTTTATAAATTTGAGATTTACCATTTCCGAGTTTTGGGGTTTTATTCATTAAAAAAGGGGGGATTTTCCAGTTTTCGGACAATAACTCAAAAAAATTTCACCAATTTGCATGAAACTTTTTATGAATTATTCATATCTATTGATGTGAGCTCCCTTTTGTTTTTTATAAATTTCGGATTTACCGTTTCCGAGTTTTGGGGTTTTATTCATTAAAAAAGGTGGGATATTCCAGTTTTCAGACAATAACTCAAAAACAATTTCACCAATTTGCAAAAAACTTTGGTGAATTGTTTATTTCTATTGACATGAGCTCCCTTTTGATTTTTATAAATTTCAGACTATACGTTTCCGATTTATGGGGTTTTATTCATTACAAAATGGGGATTTTCCAGTTTCAGACAATAACTCAAAAATGCTTTCAGCATTTTTTATGAAACTTTGGTAAATTGTTTATATCTATTTTTGTAAGCTCCCTTTGGATTTCTTAAAATTTTCGAATTTACGTTTCCGAGTTATAAGATTTTATTTGTTTATAGTCTGACAACAGATTTACTAAGTATTGCGCAACAGCACAGTGTATTGCACAACAGCAAGAAATCTTTCATATAACCAATTTCAAGTTCTTTGACTACATTTATTCAGAAACCTATAATATATCAAATATTTAATTACAATCCAAATTCAGACCTGTATCAAGCTTGAATATTGTGTCCATTTTTGCCCCAACTGTTCAGGGTTGGACCTCTGCGGGCGTATCCAGCTGCGCTCAGCGAAGCAGTTTATTTTAGCTTATTTTGACTGCTAATAGCGAAATATTATTTCTATATTCTACTAAAAATTTTTGAAAAAAAGGAATGGCAGTAATGATTTAACATTTTTTATCTGTGTTACTCATGTGTTTTATTTGTAGTAATGGCAGCCATGTTGGTTGGTTGCAGGAGATTGTAAAGCTTGCATGATGACTAAATACATTGTAGTTTTGCTCTGTTAATTGTTTCAGAAATTTAAGATATTCTTTTGTTTTACAATGTTGTAGAGACATTAGGGATCCTTTTGTTATCCTGGATTATCTATATTTTGTGTGCACATGACCTTTGGTCTGAGGTTTCCATCTGGTACATGTCTTTTGTCCTTGACCTCATTTTCAAAGTATCAGTGAAAACTTAAAAAAAACAAAGTTTTTTTAATTACCTTTTTTCAGTTATTAGGAGTAAAAGGACAGCTATATTTGGTATATAGATTCATTGCAAGGAATACATGTCCTTCAGACAGAGTTCACCTGACCTGTACCTCCATTTCATGCTTCATTGGTAAATGCTAAGTTTTCATAATTATAGGTCCTGAATAGGTAAACTATAATGGGTGGATAGAATGATTCCGACCTTGAACTCATTTTCACGATTCATTGATCAAGTCCTAAAGCTTTTGTGATTAGTGTCATATTTCAGAAGCAATATTAAAGTAATAGGTCAGCTTTATTGTGTGAATAGGATTTGTACATGTTTGTCTGACAGGGTTCATCTGACCTTGACCTCATTCAAATGGATCTTGGTTAGTGTAAGTGATAAATCTAAAGATCTGAAAAGCTTTAACATAAGGGGTAGTCATCTGCAGTAAAACAGGCAAGAACTTTCAGTATATACACTTTTGTTAATGTTTTACATGTTTTACAGGATGAAGATAAAACATATATTACACATATAGCACTCAGTGTTCTTATGGAAATGCTTCCAACACAGGGACATGACATACCCAGCAGTGGAGTTTAAGAAGTATAGCATGGATCTTCTAAAAATTGTATTTCACAAGACAGATCATGATGAAGTCTAATAGTACTTGTCTTATATATAGATTTTGCACAATGTGTTTATACTTATATCTCATAAACTGTTGATACTGAGATATGTCTCGCTTTTTTGTGATTTTTATAGTATTATACAAATGTTAAATTAAAAATGCAATATTTAAACATGTAATTTATGCAATATATTCAAAGCCAATAAACCATGACTGAAGGTGCATGGCCAAATAACCTCCATAGAAATGAGAAATGCCAATGCTTATAAAACTGAAAACAAAATACCAATGACTAATCGTAAGTGGTTCCCTTTAAACTAACCTAAACACAATCTTTATCTTGTAAACTATGCATATATAACAATAATAAACCATGAGGAGGGGGCAGAGCCATATAATCTCCACGGAAATGAGACTTGCAAATGCTTATACCAAATATCATTGACTTAACACTAGTGGTTCATCTTAAACTAACCTAAACACAAACTTTAACTTGTAAACTATGCAAAATATTTCAAGTCAATAGACCATGCCTAAGGGGTGGAGACGAATAATCTCCATGCAAATGAGATGTGCCAATGCATACCTACCACTAGTGGTTCCCCATAAACTGACCTAATCACAAACTAATACATTGTTGACACCCCAACATTGGAATTGTACAAAACAAAAGCAGTTAGAGCAAATCCGACATGGGGTTTTAATGATCATTAGAATTTTCAAAAATATGAGACAACCATTTTGGAGTAATTGGGGCAATATGCGCAATTGTTTCTCCATAGGCGGTAATGGTAACATTTTCTTCTGTAGCTCAGTCAATATCGTAAACTTGGATATGTATTATGGCTCGTTTCGAAGCTGAGACATTTTTACATATGAGGTTAAATTTTCGGGGTACGAAGTGTGATTCAATTTTCCGTAAATTAGCATACCCCGAAAATCTTTTCGTGATGCGGCTCTTCATGGTAAAAAGTCCCTTTTTTCACACAATAATTTCTTTGAAAATTTAATACTTTGAATACATATAATAACTCCATAGTTTTTACACATTTATTCTATGGTCCTATACTTTCCAGATCAACACAAATGGTTAAGCTCAGTCACTTGTTAAAAATAGAAACATGTCCAATATCACTACACAGAGATTTTTTGTTTACACACAACTTTTGTGTTCCTCAATTGGAGGCGCATTAGGGATATTGACCCAATAAAATTGGGGCAATATGCGCAATTGTTTCTCCATAGGCGGTAATGGTTACGTTTTCTTCTGTAGCTCAGACTTGGATATGTATGATGGCTCGTTTCGAAGCTGAGACATTTTTACATATGTGGTTAAATTTTCGGGGTACGAAGTGTGATTCAATTTTCCGTAAATTAGCATACCCCAAAAATCTTTTCGTGATGCGGCTCTTCATGGTAAAAAGTCCCTTTTTTCACACAATAATTTCTTTGAAAATTTAATACTTTGAATACATATAATAACTCCATAGTTTTTACACATTTATTCTATGGTCCTATACTTTCCAGATCAACACAAATGGTTAAGCTCAGTCACTTGTTAAAAATAGAAACATGTCCAATATCACTACACAGAGATTTTTTGTTTACACACAACTTTTGTGTTTCTCAATTGGAGGCGCATTAGGGATATTGACCCAATTGTCCTGATAACGTTATTTTTAGTAAATTTCAAATATATTGGCTTATGTCTCAAAAAGTATACAGTTATAGCAAATCTGACAAGGGGAGAATTGATCAGTCTTATCTCCTGCGAAATAGTAAAAAAATTCAGACAAGGGATTTTGGAGTTATTACCCCTTAAATGTAAATTTGTATAACAGATAAAGAGAAATTTTAAACAATGAAAATGACCAAAACAATAAGATTTACAAAAAAGTCAACCTTGCGGAAATTGTCAAATGACCCCTTATAGGAGTTATTGCCTTTCAGTGATGAGTTTTACTCCTGTTGCATTTTTTTTTTTATGAAACCCTAGTTTGAAAAATTGTTCAACAAAATGTGATCTCATTTTTTGCAAAAACTAGAATAGATAGAGGGGAATTGTAAATGGTCATCAAAATAAGATTAGCAAATGAATGAACTTGGCTGAAATTGTCAATTGACTGCTTATAGGAGTTATTGCCCTTGAAAGATGTTTTTTATCTATTTTTCCATTTTTTGCAGAAATCATTATAGACATAGAAAAATTGTAAACAGAAATGAGGTTAAGCACAATAAGATATACAATTAAGACAAACATGGCAGAAAATGTCAACTAACTCCTTTTAGGAGTAATTACCCCTGAATGACCATTTTTACATCGCGATGACCTTGAGGTCATTCCGATGTATTGCTATCGCCTAGATTTCCATTATGTAAATTAATTTTGAGTTTGTAACCGATCTATAAACATGATAAATATGCGCACATAAACGAGTGCAAAATAACATTCCTGATCGTTTGATATAAATACATCTCTTCAATGAATATTGATAAAAATATTTTTGTTTACAACATAAATTAATAATATGAAAATGTTTTGTAGTTAGATATATATATATAAGTAAAAAATCATTGATAATATCAATGCACACGTACCGAAAAAAATTGTGTTAAAGCATGCGGAAGAATATCTCAAAGGCAAGGACCGGTAACTCTGTAATTATTTTTGCGGGAAAATATGAATGCCTACTCGTATCCAATCTTAGAAAAATCGAATTTTTACAGAAAAATGTCCACCATGCACTTGCATTGCACTATTATTAGAATAGTAGAATAGAATGATATACAAATGGATGCAAATCATATATATATGTAACTGTTATTTTAATATAATATATAACAACAAATCAGTGTATACTGATTTGTATCACTACAATATAATAGTTATTACGGTGAAGTTGAATTTCCTATCATTTATTCATCATCCACGCACGAACTTGTCTCAGAAAAAATATATCTCTGTACATTAACCTCAGTTTCAGGTAAAGAGATATGTTGTTTTTTTCTGAGACAAGTGCTTTTGACCATCCTCAAGAACTTGTGGTCATCCTATGTTCAGTACTTCAGTACTTTGATTTCCTATTTCAATGAATATTGTGCAGAAACAAAGGTAGATAAAGAGCAACAATTCATAGCAAAAATGTTCCCCAAATTAGATCTACAAATAATTTGACATGATGGAAATCTTCAGTGAAATCTGAGAGCAGTTTTGCCTTTGAAAGATGATTTAATCCTTTTTTTCAATTTTTGCACCAACTATTTAAGATAGAGTGAAACAGTAAAAATGCAAACATGTTCAGCTCAATAAGATCTACAAAATCAGTCATCAAGGCTGAAATTGTCAACAGAACCCTAATATAACATATTTCCTCTGAATAATTTATGGACCGCATTTATTGCAATTTTGTCAAAAAACTATAGGACTTAGAAACTTTAAAAAGCAAAATAGATCAGCAAAAGTAAGATCTACTAGTAAGTCAACATAACCAAATTGTCACACTAGTTATAGGATTTATTGCTATTAAATGATGATTTTATCCCAAAAACTTTAATAGATAGGTATACGTATAAACTGTAAACAGTAAAAATGATCATCAATACAAGACCTACAAACATGCAACTAAATAAGAGCTACAAAATAAGCAAACATAACTGATTGTAATGAAGGAAAAAATAAATATCAAAATGTCATATTTATTATCAGGTGGGCCATTCAGACTCTTGGAAGTCTCTTGTTCAATCCTTTAAGCATTGGAAGGCAGTATAATGAATTAGAGATATCTTTCTTTATAAAAATAAGATGTGGTATGATTGCCAATGACACAACTCTCCACCAAAGATCAAATGATTTAAAGGTTTAAAACAACTATAGGTCACCGTGGGGCCTTCAACAATGAGCATGACCCATACCACATAGTAAGCTATAAAAGGCCCCTGGCCTGATTGATGTACAAGACCATAAACGAAAAAAAAGTACCATATGATATACAGCAAAAAAGGACAACCACTGAATTACTGGTCTATGTAAGTACCCAACAAAACACCACCTGATGGATATTTTTAACATTAAAAGCCGATACATGTATTTAGATGATATATTCTCTTGATTTTGTGCCTTCACCAAGTCAGGCTATCAAGACCATGTGTTGCTCATTGTTGTTTGGCTTTTGCAGATGAATAAGTGGCTGATGTGGTCTGTTGTTCATATTTTTATGGTGCTAAAAAATCTGAATTGTATCACCTTGTTCTAGCTTTTAACTGCAACTTATAATGCCTCCAACTGCAGTTTAAAGAATTCTGACAGGTTAGAAGGCACTGCAATGAATAGATGTGTACTAGACATTGTTTAATGATTATTTGACATGTACAAGGATTAAAATAAACACTGACCAAGTTCAAAGGAATACGTTGATAATAATGGTCTGAACTGATCATCTTAATTGAGATAGATAAATGTTCAAAAACTATAAATGCAGAACAAAATAGAGCAATCAACTTAAAGAATGTATCCTCATTTACATCAGTTCCTTATAATAATAAAATTTCCTGACAAGATGGGCTATAAAAATCTGTAGTAATTTCTTTTTCAAAATGGCTCTTAAAACAATACTTTTTAAGTTTTTAAATTCTTTTATTTTCTTCAATAACAGGACATAATATACATATATATTGCACAAATAATAGTAAACAATGTTACATACATTAAAAATCCAACAGCATATAGTCACCATTTCCTTATTTTTTTATGCAAATTTTCTTTCTGCATATTAAGTATACAGATTGATATATGAATTTCTATAAAGAAATACAAACTTAATACAATGTACATGTAAACTTCTTTCAATAAATAAGTAATTTTCAATGCTACTTAAAGAATGGACTCAATATTTTGGGCAATGATCATGTTATGAAAGGTACTTTCAGAAAATCAAAAGAAAAACCTGAGTCTGCAATGTGTTTTCCATGGTGCACATACAAAGTAATAAAATCAGCATGTATGTGACAACTTAGCTAATAAGTTATAAAAAGATATTCAATATATTTATGTTAAGTTTTTTTTTACAAGTTAATTTGTGAATACCAGCATATGTATAAATCTCCTGTACTTTCAAAAATTGTGCACCCTCTTATTCTAAAACTTTTTTTAAAAAACAATGTAGAATGCCAAAATAAAAAAACACCAAACATATACAGTACAAAACTAGAGGCTCTAAGGATTCTGTATTGCTCATCTGCTACATGTATTTAAACATAGAATTGATGTTGGTAACTTAAAAATGCAGAACACCTCCTTTGATCAGAGGTTTCCTAAACCCAACCTAACATGGTTCGTCTGTATATTCATGAAACTAGAGGCTCTATATCACTCACCTTGACTTTTGGCATAAAATTAATACAATGCAATAACAATAACAATATTTGTGTTGAATGGTAACTGTGTAGGCAAAAATTTTGTTTTGCTGATCAACTGAACTATGCTTCGATCTGTCTATCAATTAAAGGGGCACTAGCTACGAGATACATACAAAATTCAAATTACGATTTTTTTTGTTCAATAGTTAATGAAAGTGAAATAGTGAAATAATAATTCGCTTTTAGCAGCCAGTACAGTTCAATTTTGTCAAAATAAGCTAAGAAACATTGATGATGAATTATTCACTTGCAAGTGAATAATTCGACCTCATTGAATCCGGATTCATGTGAACTTCAATTTAACCCCTTAGCTAGAGATGGATTACACATGATTTATGCGTGTTTGGTTATTAATACAAAGAAATGTCAACATGGAAAGTGAAACAAAGGTACATCATTTGATTGACTGGTTCGATCCACAAAACAATCATTCTTATGCAGGTAAAAATCGAAAATTAACTTATTTTTTACCTAAAACACGAAATCAAACAAACATAGAAAAATCCATTTGCACGAGGACCATTTCTATTTATATCTATGTTTATGTTAAAAACTTGATATGTGACCGTTTGTAGTTTTCGGGGTCATCTCGATAGTTAATTAGATGGTGTCTAGACTAAAATACACACGAAATTCTGATATATATTATCTAGTATATGCATTATTAACTGTTTATTTAAGACATGTTATAATTTGGATATGTGTTTTAGTATTTTATAAATCAAATATGAGAATTTGAGTCAAATCGGTGAATATGATTTTGACAGCTAGTGCCCCTTTAAATTCAAGATAATAAGCAAAAATGTAAAAAATGGTTAAAACTGTTATTCAGCTGCAATAATTCTTGTTAGTATACCATTAAAGATTTCATTCATATGACATTTTGTAGACCTTCTGTTGCTGTTCGATTTTGCTATAATTGGTAAAAAATCATTGCCTTACTCCTATAAGTAGTCTACAGACAATTTCAACCATGTTGAATTATTTGTAGATCTGATTTGGCTTGTTTTTGCTATTTACAGTTTTTTCTATCACTAATTCTACAAATGCAACTAGAGGCGCCAAGAAATCACTCACCGGAGATCAGCATAATTTGCCACCTAGGTAATCAGCACAAAATCAGGAATTTTTGTAGAAAGTCTCCTGATCATCATGACATTCCAATAAAGTTGGAAAAGATATGGCATTGTAGTTTCAGAGGAGAAGAAATTTGGAATAATCAGAAACTAGAATGGCTTCTGGCGAGGAATTTTTTAGATACCCTTCCATACATTATTCCTGCAAAGTTAGGTTAATATTAACCATCTGGTTTCAGAGGGGGTGATGAAAATGTAATTTCCCATAGGCCTCAATGGAAACCTATGTGCCACTGTAGCCACCAGGTATGCCACCCAATCAGCACGAAATGAGGAATTTTGTAGAGGGTATCAAAATCATCATTCCTATAAAGTTTGAAAAGATTTGGCACTGTTTTCAGAGGAGAAAAAATTTAAAAATCGACCAATCAGAATCCAGAATTGCCAATGGCTGTCATATTTTAATCTGATCAGAATGAAATGAGCAAATTCAAACACACCCTTTCAATATTATTCCCGCAAAGTTTGTTTATTATTGGCCATCTAGTTTCAAAGAGGATGATGAAAAGGTGATTTCACATATGCTTCAATGGAAACCTTATTGCCACTATAGCTGTCAGGTATGCCACCCAATCAGCACAAAATGAGGAATTTTGTAGTCTAAGAGGGTATCCCAATCATCATTCGTATGAACCTTGATAAGATTTGGCATTGTAGTTTCAGAGGAGAAGAAACCTGAAAATTAACCTATCATAATCAGGAATTGCCTCTGGCTGTGATGTTTGAATCTAATCAGAATGAAATGAGGAAATCTTATAGACACCTATCCAAACATTATTCCTGCAAAGTTTGGTCAGCGCGAAATGAGGAATTTTTGTAGAGGGTCTTCATATCATCAATCCTATAAAGTTTAAAACGATTCGCCTTGTAGCTTTTTTAGAAGAAATTTTAAAATTTGACCAATCAGTATCAAGATAGCCAATGTTTTTCATCTGATTGCAACAAGATGAGGAGTTTTCATAGACACTCTTCCTGACATCATTCATGCAAAATTTGGTTTAATTTGGCCCATCCGTTTCAGAGGAGATGATGAATTGTCTAAGGACGGACATAGGCCTAGTGAGCTAAAAGTTGGGATAATGATGTCATTGAACAATCTGTTCTAACTGTGACATAACAACAAAAGTCATATGTTCAGCGCCTATTACTCCTGCAAAGTTGACAGACGATTTTTGTAATGTTTACCTTTTTGTAGATCTTGTCCTGCAGATCAATTTTTTTTATACTGTTTCACTATATATATGTATGTTTTAGTTTTCAAGATAATTAGACCTTTTTTAATAAAATAAAGATATGTGGTATGATTCCCTATGAGACAACTATTCACCAAATGAAGTGGATTTAAGCAACTTAAGGTCAATGTACGGTCCTGTAGGCAAGCCATAAAAATTTAAATGTATATTTTTTCAGTTAATTGCCTAAGTTAGCATATAAAAATACTTAAATTATTATTTTAAAATTGAAATTTTCTACCATTACTTATACTAATGACCATTTTTAGGCGTTTCTGGTTATCAATAATGATTCTTAAAGAGGATCATAAGTTTATCATTTCCCTTGAGTCTGGTAGCAAATGAGCCTTTCCAGCATTTTTTTAGGTTTTTTATTGATTTATTTTGGTGGGGGTAATTTTATTCCTAGGTTTTATCTTGAGTAATAGCAATAATGTTGGTTTATCAGATATTCTTTGAATTAAATGCCATTAGGACAATTTTGTTTTGGGTCAGACTGGCAAAGCAATTTCTGATATTTTATGAAATGTTAAAAATAAATTGATAGGCAGATATACAACCAATGACAATGGCAAAATGTCTTGAAATAAGCTGAAAACTTCCAATACACCACTATGAATTAATACAGTGGTAAAACAACAAATGCATTTAGGACAAAACTCCATATATTTCAACAGAGCTCTAGAGCATTTCAATTGTTCATTTTTACTGAACTGAGTTAATTATTATTTTTCCATTTTAACCATGGAATTTAAGAAATGAAAAGACTTACTTTTGAAGGCAAATTGCTGCTTCAGAATTAAACTGGTTTATATATTTTTTTTCTTAATTAATGGATAAAGATAAAGATAGTTCAATAAAAGAAGAATGTGTCTGAGGACATGAATGCCCCTGCTCAAGTTTTGCAACAAAAATGGGACAGACGAAAAGACAGAAAGACGGAAAGACGGAAGGACAGAAAGATGGACGGTCAAGGGTAACACTTAATGCCCCCATCACCTACGGGGGGGGGGGAGGGATAATAACTACCTAGGTCTGTTGAGATTTTCTGGATTGCATGAACTTTCAATCACATGAATTGTTTAAACATTTTGAATTTCCACTGATTCTTTACATTTTACAATTAGTTTTGAGCACTGATCAATCAGGTACAATTTTATAGGATGAGAACAAAACAAATTTTTTAGGAAAACTCACATGATATATTATGCAAATTTATGTAAATGCAGATTGATAACATAATGTGTATATCTATTGTTTTCAGATATATATACTTTTACTACAAAAATGTAGTAAAATAATACTTAATAAAAAAAAGTTTCCTGAAAGTATTGAAAAGTACATAATCCTAAGATTTACATCGATGTCAAAATTCCAGCTACCCTGTAATAATAAATTTTCAGAAATCTATTGTACTGCTCACAAGATTTTTGAATAGAAACTTTTACTAACAGAATGTGTAACTCATATATAATATTCAAGCTCTATAACAGAAAAGGTGATAACAGCATTCTAGAGACAACAAAATGTTCTTTGATTTGAAATTGTGAAAAAAAATTTTAGCTTATAAAATTGGAAAGTAACAAATATATGCTACTTAAATATATAACCAGAACCACAAACAAAAGTTTAGAGTGTCTCTTAGTTCAATTTTTAAAATTCTGAACAATTTTTATAGCAATTTTAATCTGTTCATGTTTTCTTCATTTCTTCAAATTTCCTCAGAAGAGAGAAGTGATGCCTCCTTCTAATTCTGATTTATAGAGAGCCTTGTATCTCTACAATGCTGTTTACTGATAAATAAAAACATATTTCCTACAACCTAATACATCAATCAAATTCTCTGTAGGTATTAATAATGGCCCACATTCCAGCAGTCATTAATGCTACAAACGTCCACAATGTTACTTTAACTAGTACATTAGAACCATTTTGTGTGAACAGCTTTGACAGGTGATATCTCTTGGCTTTCAAATTCTCCTTCTGCTTCTGTATCCTTCTTCCTTTAATTGTGTCACTGCAAAGATAATACAAACAGTTCCAGGTTCAAAGTTTGAAGATTTTCATATTTAAGAAGAATAAAAAAAATTTAACACAGGTATAATGTGCTGTTTTTGAAATTAAAAAAAATTCTGTTTTCTAAATAGCAAAATTATGTGCACACAACTTAATGTTTACATTTTTGTGCATAGAATATTAAAAAAAACATCCTTATCAATAAAAGGAGATGTGGGGTAAGGGTCAATGAGACGACAATCCAACGACAAAAAAGTACAGAAGCACCATTGATTTGCAATCTATATGAATTTGTGGTATAAGACAGAATTATGAATTGAGTACAATGATAACTGTAAAGTGTCCTGAAAATTTATGTCAAATGGTTGGAAACAAAAAATAAGTAAAAAAAATTGCTGCTGAAAACTTGACCCTTGACTTAAAAATCTATAAGGGTAATTTTCTTCCCAAAGTGCAATCCACAAAAACAAGGTTAAAATTGGATTAATGGCTTAAAAGATATAGACCAGAAACAAACTCATCCTAAACTAAAGTCAGTGACCTTGACATTTGACCTACTGACTATAAAATCAATAGCCTTCTTATTTCCAAGTGGCATTCACCAGCTAAGTTTGGTCAAAGTTGACATATGGTCAAAACATGACATTCAGAAAACAAACTTTTACCAAATTTTAATCTATGAATAGCTGATTGATTTATTGACACCAAAATCAATAAGGTCATTCTCACCAACGGAAATTATCTTACCAAGTTTGGTATAAATAGGAAATATGGTTCAGAAGATAACATCCATAGACAAAGTTTTGCCAAAATTTCAGTTTTAATCAATAGTTGCTGTGACCTTGACCTTTGACTCTAAAATCTATAGGGTTTCCTCATCCTATTTATCCAACCAAGCTTGGTCAAAGTTGGACATATAAGCATCAATTTCATAATTTAGTTCAAAGCTTACAGATAGAGTTTGTGTTTTGTTCTGAATATCTGATGCAGATTTTCATTAGCTTGTTGCAAGCTAGAAATATTAATTATATAGAAAATTGCATTGTAAGCACTCTCATACCTTCAATTCTTGTAGGATTGCTATGAAATTTATATAATATGTATATATTAGCAATGTCTACAGTGTGTTAAAAAATCTGTGCTGATCTATTATTTGTACAGGAGTAATTACTCTTTAAAATTTAATTTATATTGTTGTAAGCACACTCACATCTACATTTCTTGTCAAAGTAGAAGGTATAATATTGCTACTTTTTTGGCTGGCCCCTTGAATTTCAAAATTCTAAAACTATTATAAATCTACCAAATAACATCCTTCAGATGTTCATGAATAGTATGTCAAACATCAGTATTTTTATTATTTTTATTTTGTCTTACATACTGGCATTAGGGCTTCAAACTTCTTACAATTTGTACAAAACAGCAATTTTTTTTTCTGAATTCATAGAAAGTAATTCTAAAAGCAATGTGCTTATTAAGAGAAATCTTACTTTTTCTTTTTATAAGCCAAGAGAGCCTCATTAGCTAACTGTGTGGGTGGATATTGTAAAAACAAGTCTCCAGCATCACTGATTAACTTCTCATATGGCAAATTATCTGGGATCTTAGACAGCAAGCAATGTAATACACACATTTCACATTCACTGGCAAGAATCTCTTCTTTCCGATACAATACAATCTAAAATGTAATATATGTAGAGAAAGTGTTAAGTACATTTTTGCATAAAGATGTTGTAAAAGCAAACTTAAAACCACTATTCTTTTGATATGTAATTTCCTGGCACTAAATAAGGTGCTGTATTATAAACACTTACCATGCTTGGGCAGTTTCATCTTTTTTCTGATGAAAAGTACAACATTGTTTCATGATTGGAGTTCAATAATGTTTTAGTTAATCTAAAATTGAAGAGAACTTGCTTATCCAATACTGGCACAAAATTTTAATGGAAACAGTTAAAGAATACTAGTGTATCATTTTTTGTTCTTGAATAATATTGAAAATGGCCATTTCCATCAATACCAGTTTTTGGGTTGTGCAAGGAACAAATTGCAATAACATTTCGTGTCAAGTGGAACAGAAACTAACAGTAAATATAGAATCAGTTATGACTTAACTTTACTTAAACTGACAATCCACTCAATTTAAAACTCATTCACACAATATGAAAAAAACAACTGCCACACTCCATGTAATATCCATTCAATTATATAACATATTTCTTTGGGTGTTATTCATTGAAAGTTTTCATAAACATCTTGAGAAAATTGATCAAAGTCTAATTTCAGAATATTTGTCTAAAAATGGTTCAATACCCTGATTCTTTTTTACAAAACAAGTATGTTTGCAAACATTATTAAAGTAATAAGAATATGCTGTCTGCTTGTCAGAATTGCTTTACACTGTATGGAACCTGTTAAAACATTTTTTTTCTTATCTTTAATTTGATAAATTTATTTTTGGTTGCTTAATTTCTAGTGACTAGGCAACAATCAATAAATCCAATAACTAGACATTTCTTTGAGTTGAGCTTCACATGTAGCTTTGAGTATTCACATGTACTTTTTTTTACTCTATTACTGTCACTATTCAAATTTAACTTTTATAATGAGCTATCTGGTTTCCCTCAAGTTGACTTTGAATATATAAACAAGTATAATTGTCTTCACTGAACACCATACTCATCAGAACAGTGGCGGATTTACCGGGGAGCACAGGGGGCACGTGCCCCCCCAGTCGGGGTCACCAAAAAAAATTTCTAACATAGTTTTATTGCTACTGTATCTGTTTATGTAGATATCTAGATCTAAAATCAAGACACAGCTTGATTTGACTTCCTAAAGTGGTCGTTAATTAACCCCAGCTTCAACATGTGTGATTTATGACAACTTATCTATGGGTGTGTAAATATTGACACCTTTGTGTAATGTCTATATCCAAAAGCATTTATGTAAACTACATGTACATCTACATGCTGATTGGAATTAATACGAATATATTTATTGATTTCTAATACAATATTACAGGATCAAGATCGATTAACATGAGAAATCTTCTGATCAGGAAAGAAATTACCAACTAAAATCTGTCTGAAAAGAATATGTAAAAATAGATGTTTAGTGTCAGGAATGTTAGTATCGATATGAAATACGTCTTTATTACCAAACACTCACATTGTATACGGTTTCTGGGGAATGTGTCTTTCTCAGAACAGTCTTTTTCGGACTTTATTAAACAACAAATGATTTTTTTTCAATGCATACAGCATTTTTTTAAACTGAATGTCGTTTTTTTTCCCTTATTTTTTTATGGAAACCAATGATTTGTCTTTTAAAAAAAAACCTTCCCCCTCCACAAAACATGAATGGTCTGTGCCTTATATATATATCATTAATAAGATATTGTATTTTTAGAAAACGTATACTCATATTTGAGATAAAGAACAGCAATAAAAGCGCTGTTCCTTTGCTTATTGTGTGTTTTTTTGCTGTGCATGTACTGATTTTGTGTCGTGGATGGATACCCCATATCCTTTCTTTTTCTATTATAGTACAGGAATATGTGTATACACATTTTTTTCTTGTTTTAATAACCATGTATGAGGGTATGAATAGGTTACCATGAATGAGGGTATGAATGGTTTACCGTGAATGAGGGTATGAATGGGGTTTACAGATTAGAGAATAATGGTCAAAAAGTAAAGACTAGAAAAAAATGTGCCCAAAAATATAGAAAACAGATTAAAGGTGTGATGAACTATAAAGAATAGAGGACAATGGCAGCAAATAAAAGAGTAGAAAGAAATGAATCCAAAAATAATGAAAAGATATAGAAATGAAGACCTGACCCCCCCCCCCCCCCCCCCCCCACCCCACCCCCCCTTTCCATGACCACCATCATCCCCAATACATGACACCACCACCACCCACACTCGCATATATATATATCTAAACAAATCTTTAATTTTGGTTTCATGGTGCCCCCCAGACTTCGAGGTTCTGGATCCGCCCCTGCAGAATGCACAGTTGGGTGTTTAAAGTAATAATTTTCCATGTAATTTTTTTTTAATTTTTATATTTGTTGTTAAATGCAATTTACATACATCATTAAATACATTTCTATTATTGTGATAAAATACTAAAGTTATAAATACTCACAGCAGCTGCCATATATATTGGCATCAGGCCATGGTTTGCTATAAAGAAGTCATATAACCGCACAATGTGTCTGATATCATCCAAAACATGACCAAACCATGTTATCAGCCAACTTAAACTAAATACTGTTCCCACCTCAGACCTGAAATCAAACTGATACATGTACATGTATTGATATATTTACATTAATTAAGAAAAGTTTAAATGTTGCATTGTCAATACAATTCCATTGTGCCTTTATCAATCCTGCTCAAACAATCTTTAGAAACTTCATGGCTTAATGGCATCAAAAATGTTTAACTGAGTACTATTAAGTTGTTATTTGATAAACAGTTAGCATTGGCATCATTGTGTTTCACCTGAAATTGATAGTTTTACCCTAGAAAATATCAGGTCTTTCAAATACTTTATCTGAAGTTCACTTTATGTTTAGAGATACAAACAAAAGACTATCAAAATGACAGTAAACCAAGTTTATCATACATTTACTAGTGTCATTGTTAAAACAATCAAGAACCATAACTCCTTAATGGCAAAATTAAAAATTTCCAAAACCAATCTAGACCTTCATTTTTTCATGAGCAAGAATATATTAAAATTTAAAAGGGATTGGAATAGGTTTTCTCATGTTATAACATGTTATTGTACAGAATCAATATAAGGTGCCATTTTCAAATCAATCAAGGACAATAACTCCTTTATGCCAACATCAAACTTGACCTCCGTCTTGTCATCAATTACTATTATCTTATTAAAATTTGAAAAGTATTGGTAACACTACTTCATGAATATCGAAACTGGATTTGGTTTTGCATCAGTGCAAAAGTATTGGAAAACAGATCTCAATTTTTTGCTGGAGACAGCTGATGCTGCCCAATAACAATTTTTGTACACTTTTTTTTATTTTCTATTTTTCTTGGTGGTCAATAGGGATATATAGATAATTATTCTGAAAGTGCACTATTAGAGGACCATTTCAACAACCTTTCATTCATTTAAGTTGCATAACTTCAGAATGCTTTACATTCATATGCATTTGACCCCACTGATTTATCTATAGTAACATGGACAATGTATTAGTGTATCAGCATCCATAATCAAAATTATTTTCAAAATAGACACCCTAAGAATGGTTGTGTCCAAGTTTAGTGTAAATTTACCAATTGGTTTCAGATAAGAAGATTTTTTTTTTTAAGTTAAGGAATGACCAGGATAAACTACATGAACCTTTGCTTATCCTGCTATTCCAGCCTAAAATAAAAAAAAATTGTGTTTGGTGGGTTAAATATGCTCATATAACAAATGGTGTAAATGGAGTTCACAACAATTTATGATAAAATGTTTGTTAATGATAATTTTTCTTTGTTTCACCCTATGCTTGTTCAAAAATACAATATGACAAAAGACTATAAAAATTTAAGGCCTTTTTTATTCTTACTGTAGCTATCAGGGGGCATTTGACGTTGAGGATAAAGGCTATTCTAATGCAATTATTTTGTATCAATGGTTCTGATTGGATGACAGTAAGCGTAAAATTCTCTATCTCCTTGTCTGTAACTGAGGAAGCCGACATTTTGAATTCTGGAATGTATTGACATGTAATTTCTCCAATAATAAGCAAAAAAACTTACATTTTGCACCTACAAATTTTCTTTTTATCAAATTCTATTCCATTCTGAAGCGGACAAGAAGCCAGAAAATGCCCGGTGTTTACATTTGATGCCGGAAGCATACCTATAATGTCACATAGTTTAGGCGCCAAAGAAGATAACATTATTTCGCGGAATTTTTGTTTAATGAAAATTTTACACTGAAATATTATGACTAAAATTCAACGATTTGTTTATTTTGCATAAGAATAGAGATACCCGGTAACTGTATTGTATTTGAAGCTTTGCGGACGTCCATCGGTAGTTTTACTGTAGCAAATATCCGTTTACCTGTCTCCGCTACGCTTCGCCAGGTAAACTCAATTTGCGACAGTAAAACTACCGATGGACGTCTGCAAAGCTTCAAATACAATACAGTTATCTCTTAATTCCTACCCTCATAATACAGATAGGGAATATCATATTATGAAAAGGAAAAAAATATATTAAGTAAAATATTCAAGGTATTGGAAACAGAAAGTGACTGCATTAATCCAAACTTCATCAATGAGTGCCATCATTACCGGTACATTTGTGTTACCAATATGTTATACAATGTATCATAAATGTCTATTCAAAAATAGATATACGTTTCACATAGGAAAATAATGTTGAACCATTTCTGAATATATACCGTTTTACATCTGATCTTTTTAAAAATCAGTTTGTGGACATCCATAAATATTTAAGGACATTCATAAATAGATAAAATGTTATTACTTGCCTTTCCATAAAATCCCTGAGCTCTGGATTAGCCCTTCCAACAATTGGATATAAATAATTTAACATGTGTTTTGTTCTGTCCATATTAGAATCCATAAAATCTCTGCAGATAAACAAACAATTCTTTGTATAAAACATAAAGAAAAAGGTCAATGCAACATCCATTTAAAATTTATAAAAAATAGATGAAGCACAATTTATGATGCTTTGCAATGGAATGGGAACCCCAACTTAATTCTGATAAAAAATAAAATAAAAGTTAGATTTATTTCTAATAGTTAAATATGTAGCTTAACTATCCTAAAATATCAAAGTGTTTGTTTGTTCCCTTAGATTGCAATTTGCAGCTCTTTAGCACCGGTGTTTGGATTAACTAACAGATTATAATCAAAGTGATAGAAATCACTAATGGAATGATTGGAAGAGTAGTTTGAATAATTTCAAATCATATTTAGGTATGCTGTGGACAATAAAATGCTCCGCTGGGGCGCAGCTTGATACGACCGCAGAGGTCGAACCCTGAACAGTTGGGGCAAGTATGGACACAACATTCAAGCTTGATACAGCACTGAATTTGGATTGTAATTAAATATTTGACACAGCATAGGTTTCTGACACAGAATGAATGTGGTCCAAGAACTTAAAATTTTTTAATTTATCTATTCAAACCATATCATTATTATTTGCTTTTATATATAAATCAGAAATAACCAATTTAAAATGGAAAATTATAAAGAAAAAAAAGGAACCCCCCCCCCCCCCCAAATTTTTTGAACCCCTTATGATTCATCACCCCCAAACTCAATCCCAGCCTTCCCTTTGTGGTATGGTACCTTGCAGTACACATACATGTGATGGACTGTGAAACTCAGATCAGGAGTTTGGGAAATTTTGGTCAGGAGATTAGGACTCAGATCAGGAGGTTTTTAATCGACATAAATTCTGTCGTAAATGTAACCGTGTGCTGTAGAAATTGTCTGTTAAAGTGTGTTTTCTTCAACTTTCCATCCGAATGTATTATGTTTATAGTACCCTTGTACTTATAAATTTTCTCTATCCTTTTAAACTTTGAACTTGTTCAATCTAACATTCTTCTTTATTAGTATGTTCTTTAAATTTTTTAGGTCATATCTTTTTTACTATTATTCATTGCAATCAGAACATTTGCTTATCTATCTGCAAGTAGATCTTTTTTTTATATCTTTATGCAAGTAGATTTTTTTTTTTTGTATCTTTATTTTGCAAGTAGATTTTTAATGCATGATAAGTAACACATTCAAACTGTGATCATGGGTCATAGTTATTATATAAATTTCAATTTAAGCCTTGAAAGGAAGTATAGACCCCTCAAATAATTTTCAAATTATTATTTTTTTATTTGTCCTAAGACATTTAAAATCATTTAGTTACCATCCTTTTATGATTATTTGTTCAATTTATATTTTATTTATATTCTTTTAAAAATTTACATTATTTAAAGGAAAATAACTTAAAACTGGATAAATCAAGGGAAGAAACCCAACATTCATTTTAAATACAAAGTTTTATTACACAATCAGCCTGAGGTAAAAATCGTTGATAACCAGTATGTTTGACACCCAGGGTGACAAGTGAAGCCATATAATTATGCATGTTAATTGATTTACAGGTAAAATATAACTTCAGGTAATGTCAGTTACACCAGATATGTTGGGCTGAAATTTTTCATTCATGAAATATTTCATCAGAGACATATAATACAATTGTATTATATGTCTCTGATTTCATACACGGGATTTTTTTGTCTTCAACGGGAGGTCGGGAGGAGACCCCTGAAAACGGGATTATTGTACACCCGTTGGGAGGTTCATATGTATGAGTACAATTTCAGAGAGATCCATACACTTGAACACAAGTTATTGTCTGGAAACAAGAAAAATGCTTGTTTTTTGGCCCCTTTATGGCCCCCAATTCCTAAACATTTAGGGCAATTACCCCCAAACTCAAACCCAGCTTTCCCTTTGTGATACAATAAACCTTGCAGTACAATTTCATAAAGATCCATACACTTACACACAAGTTATTGTCCTGAAACTAGAAAAATGCTTGTTTTTTTTGCCCCTTTATGGCCCCTAATTCCTCAAATTTCTAGGGAATTACCCCCAAAATCAATCCCAGCCTACCCTTTGTAGTATGGTACCTTGCAGTACAATTTCAGAGAGATCCATACACTTGAACACAAGTTATTGTCTGGAAACTAGAATAAATGCTTATTTTTAGCCCCTTTTTGGCCCCTTATTCCTAAACGTTGTGGGCAATTACCCCCAAAATCAATTCCAGCTTTCCCTTTGTGATATGGAACCTTGAAGTACAATTTCATAAAGATCCATACACTTACACACAAGTTATTGTCATGAAACTAGAAAAATGCTTGTTTTTTGCCCCTTTTTGGCCCCTAATTCCTAAAATTTGGAGGCAATTACCCCCAAAATCAATCCCAGCATTCCCTTTGTGATATGGAACCTTGTGGTACAATGTCAGAGAGATCCATACACTTACACACAAGTTATTGTCATGAAACTAGAAAAATGCTTGTTTTTTTGCCCCTTTTTGGCCCCTAATTCCTAAAATTTGGAGGCAATTACCCCCAAAATCAATCCCAGCATTCCCTTTGTGATATGGAACCTTGTGGTACAATGTCAGAGAGATCCATACACTAACACACAAGTTATGTCTGGAAGTTACAAAAATGCTTATTTTTGGCCCCTTTTTGGCCCCTAATTCCTTAACTGTTGGTACCATAACCCCCAAAATCAATCCCCACCTTCCTTTTGTGGTATTGAACCTTATGGTAAAATTTCATAGAGATCCATTCACTTAAACTAAAGTTAGAGTGCGAAAACCAATGTGTCTTCGGACGACGACGCCGGACGACAACGACGACGACGACGACGACGACGCCAACGTCATACCAATATACGACCACAAAATTTTTTTGCGGTCATATAAAAAAAAAGAACATAAATATAGCACTACTGCTGACAATTGCATAAACTGTAGGTCTTTAGAAGGATAAGCACTTTTTCAGTAGATAAAATGAGCTAAATGTGAATCAATGGCAGCAGGTCCCTTAATTTGCACAACAATTTTGTTTAAATTGTATACTATTTTCTCCTCTAGGAATTGCTTATTGATTTTGAAAACAATTATCATGATTATATGAAGATTAAAAGTTGTAGATTGTATTTTAATTCAATCTATAATTTAATATTTTTCCAGAAAAGGACATTGAAAATGTACTTTTTCAACACAAACAAATTAAAAACCTTTTTTTGCATTGAAAATTGCAAAATTACACTTTCTGTATTCAAATGATTAAAATTGTTAAAAGACATTTGACAATCGGTTTGCTCGATGTAGAGTTTGAAATTTTACTTAATGTTTCAAGCCAATAACAAATAAGTGTTACTTAAATTATTGATTAATTTATATTTATAATACAGACGATTATTGCACAGATTTATCAAGTAAAATATAGACATTACTTGAATACCTTTTTTATATTTAGATTTCATATTTTGTCTTTTCCTTTGAAAAAAATATTTTGTTAATCCTTAATCATTTATTTTTCAGACATAATTTACAGAATCATTTTATGAAGTTTAGATAAAAAATGATAGGCAATGAATAAATCTATCATTTCTATATATCAAATACATTTGTGTATTCAATAATGAGGTCAAGTATTTGTGTATTGAGATGTATAATGTAGGGTTTGTTTAATTATGTAAGACTGAGGTTGATTAGTAATTTGATCACAATGAATTGCATTTAAGGAGGTTGGACATTGTAATTAAGGGCCCACCTTGTCTTGATTGTTTGGTGATCATGACAGTTGTCAATCATTCTGGTATTGTGTCATTACTTTTACCTTATTAAAATGACAATAAATTGCTTTGCCGAGCGCAGCTGGATACGACCGCAGAGGTCCAACCCTGAACAGTTGGGGCAACAAGTAAAACTGTGAGCTACTGCTCACTGATGATACCCCCGCCGTAATATTTCGGTAAACAGGAAGTTGTTGAGTGATGAATCTGAAAACGCATCACACGGTGTAACTTACTCATATAAACCCTGAAACCAAATTTCAGAAATCCTTGTCAAGTAGTTCCTGAGAAAAATGCGAATAAAAATTTTCAACTTAGCTATCATGTGTAAAATAATACAAGTGTTCGCTTAACAGGAAGTTGTTGAGTGATGTATCTGAAAACGCATCACACGGTGTAATTTACTAATATAAATCCTGAAACCAAATTTCAGAAATCCTTGTCAAGTAGCTCCTGAGAAAAATTTAAAGCGGGGGTATAAAAATGGACGCAATATTCGGCTTGATACAGGTCTGAATTTGGATTGTAATTAAATATTTGAAACATAAAAGGTTTCTGACACAGAATAACTGTAGTCAAAGAACTTAGAATTGGTTATATGATTTGAATTTATATTCAATTTTCTGCTTTGTGCAATACACTTTGCTGTTGCGAATTGACCCCCCCCCTCCCCCCACAAAAAAAAAATTTACCCCCCCCCCTTTTTTTTTGCTTTTGTGCAATACACTATGCTGTTGCGTATTAATGATGTATTTGAATTACCTCCCTTACACTGCTTTAAATTATGTTTTGTACTAAAGTATTTTTCCATTAACCAGGACACCCTTGTTTTTCCCCCTTTTTTATCCCTAATTCCTTAACGGTTTGAGCATAACCCCCCAAAGTAAATCTAAACCATCCCTTTGTGGTATGGAAACTTGTGGTATAATTTCAGAGAGATCCATACACCGTTCCACAAGTTATTGTCTGGAAACTAGAAAAATGCTTATTTTTGGCCCGTTTTTGGCCCCTAATTCCTTAACTGATGGTACCATAACCCCCTAAATCCCAACCTTCCTTTTGTGGTATTGAACCTTATGGTAAAATTTCATAGAGATCCATTAACTTAAACTAAAGTTATTGTGTGAAAACCAATGTGTCTTCAGACGAGGACGACAGCGACGCCAACGTCAAACCAATATACGACCGCAAAATTTTTTGCAGTCGTATAAAAATAGCCTGCAAATTGACAAAACTTAATGACATTCATATTTGAATAAACTGCTCAAAAGATATAAACTTAATTTTTCACAGTTCATATGTGCATATGTGCACAGACTTGAGAAATATAGGGAACTATATTTCAGTGTGTATACATTTTGTAGATTTAGTTATGCTACTACTTATTTGGGAGGCTGGTGCCTTAGGAAAGACTTGGAACAATAGTTCCAAACTTTCCAAAAAATCATGGTAAAAGTGTGATAACTGGAAAAAAGACATGTATAATAAAGAAACAGCAATTTCACAATAATCAGTTAGGTAATTCTCATCAAAGATACATGTAGGCAAAAGAAGTAACAATAAAGGTAAACACATTTCAAGGCAAGTTTTCTTCTGCTTATGTTTAGCATATGATCTGGAGTACAAATTTATATGTTTTATATATACTAGAAATGGGGAGGAAATTTCAAAGATCATCAATTTTGACCTACCTTAGATGATTTAAAGACAATATATCCATGAGGGCAAACCCAGCATCCTCTCCTACAACCAACAGAATTGTAACACAAATATCATGGTAACCCTATCAAAGAAACAAGAAATAATTGTTATTTCCCTAAAAAAAATAAACTTAAATAAATGATTTTTTTTGTGTCATTATAATTTTGTAATTTTTTTTTCAATGTTAAGACAGTGATGGTACTGAATTTTCCACTCAAACTCAGAAAGTGACCTACATGTAATATAGAAACCTGTACATGATGACAATAAATGACTTCAAAACATCCTGCCTAAATATTTTGCCCATTAAAACAGCCACCTAATGAGGAACAAATTATAATATAAATCATCCTGTTATCTTTGATCATCATTAAATTAGATATGATCACTTTCTTTCACATTGTCACAACTTTATGTTGTATTTCATCTATGGATTTATTCAAGACGATTGAATCATTTATTGATTTTTTGGTGTTTAAAATAAAAATAAGAAGATGTGGTATAATTGCCAATGAGACAACTCTTAACCAGAAACCAAATGATATAGAAGTTAACAACTATAGGTCACTGTACGACCTTCAACAATGAGCAAAACCCATACCACATAGTCAGCTATAAAAAGCCTTGAAATGACAAATGTAAAGGAGTAATACCACCATTGTTTTTCCCCTATTAGTCTTTGTTAAATTGGCACTTTTCAAAAGATTGTGCAGAATTTATCTTTGTTTCAAATAAAGAAATACTTGGCATGAATAAAGTTTTATCCTGTCCAGTACTACTGACAAAATTTCACATAACATAACATTTCATTGCATATAAGATAATAACCATCACTGGAAATTAACCAATAAAATTATCACCCCTTTTTCCTGTTTACAAGCTTAGTAACCATGTAACCTCAAGTTTCCAGAATATTTCATAGAAACACCAAATAAAAAAAGAACGGTGCTTTGAAACACCCAAGATATATGTTTATGCTCAGAAATTTTTTTATGCAATGAAATGCAGGGTTAACTTCCTACAACTGTCCAATTCAAGGGAATATTTTCTCTACCCTTTTTCGTATGAAACCAGATGTGATGTACTATGATTTGGTGGTATTACATCTAAAACAATTCAAATTAGAAAACTAAAGGCCTGATTTATGAAAAAAAACAGTGAACGAAATACAAATATGATACACAGCAACAAACGACAACCACTGAATTACAGGCTACTGACTTGGGACAGGCACATACAGAATGTGGCAAGTTAAACATGTTACGGGGTGACTAACCCTCCCCGTAATACAAAAATAAGGAGACGTGGTATGATTGTCAATGAGACAACTATCCACCAAAGTCGGCCTTCAACAATCAGAAAAACCAATACCGTAAATTCGGCTATAAAAGGCCCCGACATGAAAAATATGAAACAATTCAATTGAGAAATAGAGGGTTTCCTCTGTTTTTACTTATACTAGCTTTTCTAAAATATGGACGGTAATTTTGAAAAGTTAAGCTTATGTTTTTCACAAAAATTTTTTTTCATAAATATATCATTCCGGTACTTATACTGAAACAATAAATGTTTACAGTAAAGTCTAAATGTATTTTGATTCGAAAGAAGTCATATTACCTGGTAATAATGAAGTTCTTCATGATTAACTAACACTCTCATAATGAGGTCAATTAACTGGTCCTGCAATGCTAATCGTACATCGTCATCCATACCTGCAAGAAAGTATAACTTATGAGAAAATACTTTTAAGTTTTTTCATTTCAGAGAATATAGTGGATTAATTTATTATCCTGAGCATCAATTTTCGCAGATTGAGGAAATATTGTATTTCGTTGGATATTTATTTGTGGTTTTAACACTTTCTGCATACAGACCTGTAGAAAACATGTATTTTTCTTAATATTTTAATTCGTGGTCAACCTTTACCCACAAAAAAAAACAAACCGAAAATTAGTTCAACACGAATGATAATGAATCCACAGTAGCTTCATTTCAAATGAAGATGAAGTATGGTGTACATAAACCATTTAAACTTTTTTCCATTCAGATGAAATCGTCATTCTACATGACAGTATTTGTAGAAATATTCTAAACAAGAAATGATTGTAACAGGATGCTGTTACGAAGTCTCCCAAACGAAGCTCCCATAATTCGTAATTCCCAGGGTCGCCTGACATTGGGCAAAGTCCAGTGAAAATTGGTTTGGTCCAGTAAAGTTATATGCATTAATGATGCCTGGGGACTAACCCTGTATATCATTCAAATCATCTTGGCATGACAAACCAGAATATATATGGTTTAGGGGTGGGGATCTCAACCATTTACAAGATACTAGAACATTGGGGGTGGGGGGAACCCCTAGGGACTGACCCTATACGTCATTCAAATGTTCGAGATATGACGAACAGGAATATATATGGTATAGGGGTGGGGATCTCGACCATTTACAAGATATTAGAACTTTCTCAATTGGCAGGGGTCGGGACGACCCCTGGGGACTAACCCTGTATATCTTTCAAACCATCTTTGCATGACAAACCAAAATATATATGGTTTAGGGGTGGGGATCTCGACCACTTACAAGTTATTAGAACATTCTCAAATGGCAGGGGGTCGGGATGACCCCAGGGGACTAACCCTGTATATCATTCAAACCATCTTCGCATGACAAACCAGAATATATATGGTTTCGGGGTGGGGATCTTGACCACTTACAAGATATTAGAACTTTCTTAAATGGCAGGGGGTGGGGGTGACCCCTGGGAACTAACCCTGTATTTCATTTGATGTGCTTTATCATGACAAACCAGAATATATATGGTTTAGGGGTGGGGATCTCGACCATTTACAAGATATTAGAACTTTCTCAAATGGCAGGGGTTGGGATGACCCCTGGGGACTAACCCTGTATATTATTCAAACGATCTTTGCATGACAAACCAGAATATATACGGTTTCAGGGTGGGGATCTTGACCACTTACAAGATATTAGAACTTTCTTAAATGGCAGGGGGTTGGGGTGACCCCTGGGGACTAACCCTGTATATCATTCAAACCATCTTAGCATGACAAACCAGAATATATATGGTTTCGGGGTGGGGATCTTGACCACTTACAAGATATTAGAACTTTCTTAAATGGCAGGGGGTTGGGGTGACCCCTAGGGACTAACCCTGTATATCATTCAAACCATCTTTGCATGACAAACCAGAATATATATGGTTTAGGGGTGGGGATCTTGACCACTTACAAGATATTAGAACTTTCTTAAAAGGCAGGGGGTGGTGGTGACCCCTGGGGACTAACCCTGTATTTCATTTGATGTGCTTTATCATGACAAACCAGAATATATATGGTTTAGGGGTGGGGATCTTGACCACTTACAAGATATTAGAACTTTCTTAAATGGCAGGGGGTGGGGGTGACCCCTGGGGACTAACCCTGTATTTCATTTGATGTACTTTATCATGACAAACCAGAATATATATGGTTTAGGGGTGGGGATCTCGACCATTTACAAGATATTAGAACTTTCTCAAATGGCAGGGGGTCGGAATGACCCCTGGGGACTAACCCTGTATATCATTTAAACCATGTTCGCATGACAAACCAGAATATATATGGTTTAGGGGTTGGGATCTTGACCACTCACAAGATATTAGAACTTTCTTTAATGGCAGGGGGTGGGGTGACCCCTGGGGACTTACCCTGTATTTTGTTTGATGTGCTTTAACATGACAAACAAGAATATATATGGTTTAGGGGTGGGGATCTCGACCATTTACAAGATATTAGAACTTTCTCAAATGGCACGGGGTTGGGATGACCCCTGGGGACTAACCCTGTATATCATTCAAACCATGTTCGCATGACAAACCAGAATATATATGGTTTAGGGGTTGGGATCTTGACCACTTACAAGATATTAGAACTTTCTTAAATGGCAGGGGGTGGGGGTGACCCCTGGGGACTAACCCTGTATTTTGTTTGATGTGCTTTAACATGACAAACCAGAATATATATGGTTTAGGGGTGGGGATCTCGACCATTTACAAGATATTAGACCTTTCTCAAATGGCAGGGGGTTGGGATGACCCCTGGGGACTAACCCTGTATATCATTCAAATCATCTTAGCATGACGAACCAGAATATATATGGTTTAGGGGTGGGGATCTTGACCACTTACAAGATATTAGAACTTTCTCACATGGCAGGGGGTGGGGGTGACCCCTGGGGACTAACCCTGTATTTCATTTAATGTGCTTTATCATTTAGAACATTTTCAATTAAAAAGATTGTGTCTATCACAAACAATTTTCAATTTATAATCATTTGAAAATTAAAAAAAATAAAATCCCATAGGGTTCTATAGTAAAACCCTCCTTTCTTTTTTCCCCTCAAAGTACCCCTTTATAAACCCCATTGCACAAACAAAACCCTGATTGCACCACTAGACATGTTAGTCTAACATATTGTGAAATCCTAAGTTAATCTGACAAGCGGTTTCGGAGAATGGGTGATGACAAGTTCAAATTTAAAAGCGGCGGAAGAGGAAGAAGAAGAAGAAGAAGAAGAAGAAGAAGAAGAAGAATAAGAACTGAGCAAAACCAATAAGTCTTCCCAAACTTCGTTTGGGAGACTTAATTAAAGGAGTAGGTGCGGTTCGATAAGGCTCTAAAATGGCCTCTATTTCTAGCTAAAATATAAATTAGAATTAATTGACCAATATCACAATGAATCATAGCTAATACAATGACTAGATAGAAAATATGTCTTTTTGTTGAAAATCATTTTGATTTTCCACAAAAAATTCTATGAAAACGGGTAAATTTCCATTGATTTCTAAGTCAGGAAACATAGAGCGCAGGCGTCGACAAAAGAGATCTTTTAACACAATCTTTGTAATGACATTTTACATATCGGACTTAAATATTTAGTTTGTCGAAGCCTTGCGCTCTTTGTTTCCTAAGCCTTAATTTGGTTGAAATCAGTACGATTTTGTCAAATTTCGCAAAAATCTCTATTTTTGACCTATTTAGGATGTACAAATCAACGCTTCAAAATAAAACTCTGACATAAATAGTTCTATTTAACTTTCTCACATGTCTTTTCGTCAATATAACACATTTTTTATCCTGAAACATTGAACTTAATAATCGGGGCCAAATTTGGCCCTTACCGAACTTAATCCTTTCATTCTCTTTCTATTATCAGTCAAAAATCTTTAAGTTTGATTTATAATGGAATTTCAGCCTTTTATATTGTTTGCATTACAACTTCAGCAACTTGTATTTCAAAAACATTGTATATAGCTGCAAAAGTAGACCATTATGGATTAATGTAACAATTCAAATTCTATGAGATCTTAAAATATTTTCAAAGCAATCAAATTTCAGCAATTTTAACTGGTAACAATTTAGCATTTCCATATCACGATAAAAATGTATTACTCATCAACGGTGCTCAAAACCAAACATTGGAAATTTGTAAGTATTAAGTACATCAAAATCAATGAAACAGACCATTATTAGTTTTGACACTACTGTGGGGATAACTTCTTATCCTGGTATTGAATATTGAATATATTTTGCATATATATTTTTTAATAAATTTTTATCATAATTAACATGTGTACTAAGTTTTAAAATGATGTTACTTCATGGTAAACTTTCTTGAAACAAAATTTTAACCTTGAATTGGACAGATGGATGCACACACCAGAAAACATAAATACCACTTCATCGTAGGAAGGGCAAACAAATGTAAAGGATGGATAAAAAAAATAAACAAATTACATTAACAAAATACCACAAAAATGGCTGAAATTAATTGAAATTTCTTTCAGCTGAATAATAACTTCTTGTCATAAACCATTAATTTTCAATAAAATAACCGTGTAAATACTATTAGTGACAGCTCATATTGTACATTTGTACTTTAACCCAGCTTTCATAAAAAAAATAGTCATATGCTGTGCAAACATCATGAAGTTTTTAATGTTAATGGGTAACCTTACCAGGTGGAAATCTTTTTAAAGTTCTGTTTACATCCATCACAACTTGATTGTAATCCCTATGTCCCTCTAAGACAGAACTTTCTATAAGAAAAAAGTTAATCATATATTTTTTACACATAATTAATATGGCTTCAACTTAGGAAAGCTCTATCAGAGCTATTGTGTTTAGAGACCTGTTTTTGTCAGTTTTCTCTCTATTACCAACACTCATCTGATCTTTTCCACTGACATCAGAGCTCTCAATGGTTTTCCCGTAATTACTGTCATTATATGTTGTTTTATGTACACTTTGTTATTCCTCAAATGAAGAATAAAAAGGGGGAGTGTTGAGATATCATTAAACTATTTTAACCCTACGGTCCCTGCCCCATATCTATATGGGTCCTGTTCCAAGTCTGATAGCAGATCTTTGATTGTATACATTTGTATGTCCAATTATTTCCAACTTTTATAGATTCTGGATGATTAAGAGTTTGACATATTGTATAGACATCTGTCTATTGTTGAAAACTGTATGTTGCCCTCAAGATGTCTTTTGGTAATTTTAATTTTTCCGCTATGGGTTGCTGTCTCATTGACGTATACCCACATCGCCTGTTATTCATATAGGTCACACTATATGCCCTTGCCACTTAGTGGCAGAGGCATACAAAAAAACGAACCAGATATGCTTGTTTCCATATTACTAAGGATTGACAAAAACTGAAAATCTACAGAGTAAATATTTTGTCTTTACTGAACCAAATATTGTATGATAATTTTGTAAGAATTCATGAAAGCAATCTCATTGGCAATCATACCACTTCTCCTTATTTTTGTATTGAGTTATCTCAGGATTTGTTCTGAGTTATTGATTTTTTTCAAAAATAAGTCATATAGACAAAATGTAAATATTTTCATGAAAATTCCTTTAAGCAATGTGCAAATACAAAGTACAATGAAGTAAATTAAACTTTGCTTAAACAGGATGATAAATTTTACTTGTAGAAATAAATAAAATAAAATGCTTCGCTGAGCGCAGCCTGATATGACCGCAGAGGTCGAACCCTGAACAGTTGGGGCAAGTTTGGACACAATATTCAAGCTTGATACTGTCTGCATTTGGATAGTGATCAAATTTTTTGACATAATACAGGTTTCTGACACAAAATAAATGTGGTCAAGGATCTTAAAAATTTGAAATGGGACATTTAATTTACCTAGAATGGTCTGATATCTAAAATTTAACAACATGGTTAGATTCAGCATATAAAAAAAAACCTAAAATTTAAATTTAGTTGAAATCAAACAAAGTTTGTAAGGGAGGTAACAATAATGCAAAAAAAACCCAAACAAAGAATAACCAATTCAGAGTATAAAAATTTATTACCACTGAACCCTTTGATATACACTATTATAATACTATATGTATTTAAATCACAGTATTTGATGTTTCTAGAAACAGCTAAAAAATATTTCATACTAGAACTAGCAAACAAATAGCAAAAAGTACCAAGATAAAGAAACAAAGCTAAAGTCCATTAACCAGGAAACCCTTGTTTCTCCCCCCTTTTTTGCCCCTAATTCCTAAACAGACTGAGCCATAACCCCCCAAAGCCAACTCTAACCATCCCTTTGTGGTGTGGAAACTTGTGGTACAATTTCAGACAATTCCGTACACTGTTCCACAAGTTATAGTCTGGAAACTAGAAAAATGCTTATTTTGGCCCCTTTTTTACCCCTAATTCCTAAACCGTAGGGACCATAACCCCCAAAATCAATCCCAACCTTCCTTTAGTGGTTTCAAACCTTGTGTTTAAATTTCATAGATTTATATTTACTTATACTAAAGTTATTGTCAAATTTCCAATGGAGTTTGCAACCATAATAACCCATTTAAATACATCATAAAAGTCTTAAAATAGAAAATGACATACATAACCATGGCTAAAATTAAATCACCTTGCATTTTTAAAATAGTAACTTCTAAAAATAAATTCTCTTGATTATATGCCGATATCCATGTAGTGAAAACTACTAGGGGGTCTTTCTGTGTCTTGATTTGGACAACAGTTGTTATATTTCGTTTGACACTTAAATTTGTGGATAAAGCCATCCATGAAAACCATGAATAAAAAAATTTCACAGTATTCAAAAATCAAGTTTTACCTGGTTTGGATGAAATGTTGGAAATATCTGCCTTCAACAGCTTTGGCCATACTTTTTTCCTTATGTCATTATTAACAAGTCCTCCATAGCTGATTGCAAATTTCTGGAAAGTTGTGATATTTGTTTCTTCATCACTTAATGCCTCTTTTATAAGTTCAATTTTCTTATTCATCTCTATAAAATAAAAAAAAGAAATGTACTTGGAGAAAAGCGTAGATTTAATCATTTAAATTGTCAGAAAAGCAGTTTGGTACAATTTATATTATTAACATGATCTAGAGCATGTTTTCCTAGACAAAGTCAATGACGTAGACTCATGATGTCATACATTCTCTTTCTACTCGACTGAGAAAAAAAACAATATCACTCAAGTAGCATTACACTATTATTAGTTATTTAACATTAAGTCTGACCCAACAGTGAAGCAAATATAAGCATTTTGGTATTAATATTGATTCACTCATAGGGTCTTTGCATCGGAAATAAACACATTTATTCTCAAACCAGTTGTTGGCATGATACGGGTTATGTTCTTCTCATATATTTTATGATGGTATGAACCTAAACCCCTAACGGGAGGGATTGTACTTGATTTTCATATGATGAAGACATAATCTCTCAATCAGTTTAATTGAGGTTTGGAGTTGGCATGCGAGTAACTGCTAGTAGTCCTTTGTTCATTTATGTATCATTGTCATTTTGCGTAGTTTCTTTTGTTACCTATTCTGACATCGGACTCGGACTTCTTTTAAACTGAGTTTTACTGTGCATATTGCTATGTGTTTCTTTTTTCTACATTGACTAGAGGTATAGGGGGAGGGTTGAGATCTCACAAAACATGTTTAACCCCGTCGCATTTTTGTGCCTGTCCCAAGTCAGGAGCCTCTGGCCTTTGTTAGTCTTGTATGTTTTTTAATTTTAGTTCATTTATATGTTTTGGAGTTTAGTGTGACATCCATTTTCACTGAACTAGTACACAATTTTAGTTAGGGTCCAGCTGAGGACCACCTCCGGGTGCGAGATTTTCTCGCTGCATTGAAGACCCATTAGTGGCCTTCGGCTGTTGTCTGCTCTTTGGTCGGGTTGTTGTCTCTTTGACATATTCCCCATTTCCATTCTCAATTTTACCATCTATTCTGAGCGAAAAAAATTATGTCTAGATTGTGAAAGGAAAATAAAACACACAATAGTAAAAACAAAAACAAAACTCATTCATCAGACCTTGGCGGTTATATTCAGTTCTTTATGATTAGACTGACACACGATACTGATATTTCTACTCTCTCTAATGAATTCAATTTTTTTAAGGTAGATTAACTGTATACCACCATCTTTGATTTTAAAATAGCAGTTAACTATTGGTCTAGTTCTTTGCAATCTGCAAATTTTGAGACAGATTGGCAAGGTATGTGTAAAACTGTTTATTTGAATAAAGAAAAATAAATGATTTATTGCATTATTTAGACTGTTTTAACTAATACCAAATGTTTGTATTTGTTAGAATCAATTTTTCAACTTAGCCATTTAAGGGGAGATAACTCTAATAGTGAAAATTTTATAAAGGAATGTATAAGAAATTTCCATTTTTAACTTGTAGCAAGAAAACAATTTTGGTGACACCATTTTTAATTTTTATTTTCTTAATTAAAGTACATTATAAAACCTATCTTTTCATATTTTATTACAAAATTCTTAATTATATATTTCTTTTTATTTACTAAAAAGTGTTTTTTTATGAATAATCTTTGCAAATTGCACAACTTGTTACTTGAATAATAGCATGGTGACCCATACTTTAAATTATATTTTTGAAAAAAATCAGTGTAAAATCTACAATTTGGCAAAGTAGTATATGAAATTCTATCTGAGGAAATATATATAGATGATCCATTTTAAGTAAAATTGATACTCTAGACTTCATCTCCAACTAAAGTAGACAGCATGAGTCCACATAATTGATGCTTAAAATTAACTGAATTGGAAGGGTTATATTGTTGACATTATATACTTGGATGTTGTTTTGTTGTACTAACATGTACTTCTTTAAGTGCACTTTCTAGACCCAAACTTTCTAAATTGTATACTTTGATAGACTAACAAACTACTTATAACATATAAATACTAATATATCAGTCAGCACTGAGTAAATGCATTGTGAATAGCGCTACATTTATACACATCTCATTTTGAATATTATGTAAAATATGAATAAAAGGAATCTAGAATACCATGCATATTAAGCATAAAAGTAATAATAAAGTATAATTTAGACTATCGATCAGTGCTAATTTCTTTTCCTTTCTGTGGGGTGTTTCTAATTCTATAACACATTTAGACCAATAGAATCTTGGCAACTTCATCAGGAAACCAATAAGAACTAACCTATGTTAAGTTATAATTTCAAGATGGCTTGTACATTGTATATCATATGAAACTTAACTAGCCTCACATCGTGATGTGAAGCAAAAAGAACAAAAATCTATTATACATAACATGTTCAATTATGTTTCGTGGTAACAAAATAGTGTCATCATTACAAAACATTTGTAGCAAAATAATATAATCAATATAAAAGTATGGTTTACATGATATGGACCTGAATATAAACTAAACCTTAATCACTTCTACTGCATGAAATGAATGTCATGATAACCCAAATATTTAAAGTATGTTAAACGAAAAGACTATGATTATGATGGTGGTAAATATAGTAATTGATTGATTCTTGATAACATTCAGTAGCAACTACATGTAGAACTGTCTGCTGGACAGGACAAATACCCCTTGCATCCTCTTTCTGTTTACCTAAATATCTATTTATTTCATCAAATATATATTTTTACACTAATTACAGGCATGATCATGTAGATTTAGATTCTAATCAATCAGAAACATGCTAGTAACACTCCTTTTTTTCCATGTTTTATGATTCATGGAAAATAAGTTTTATATGGTTATGATCCTTGTGATATTTTTGTTTCACAATTTGCAGACCATACTATCCATAGTGGATCATCATGATTATAGAGTCTACAAATTGTCAAACAAATATCACAAGGATCATAAAAGCTAAGCCCTGCAGCTAGTGAGTCTGTACTCAGAGTGAATTTTGTGGTGTTATTGCCAAAGAAATGAAACTTTTCCACAGAATCATTTCCTCTTGGTCAAATTTACAACATTGTTCCTATTGAAATTTGTCTTTTTGTGTGTTTGACAAATAAAAACTTGAAAATGACCATGTTAAAATTAAGGCCTTCATAAAAGTAGTCTATACATGTAACTAAACAAACACAAAAAAAATGCAAATTTCAATAGGAACAATGCTAAAAAAAATTGTCAGAAATCAACTTTTTATGATTAAATCAGTGTTTACATTGAACAGATTGAAAAAAATATTATTGATATTGAATTGTAACATACAACATCACATGCAGTTTTGTGAGTTAATACATGTATTTTTATCTACTAAGAAAATAAATTTTTTCTTCTGGTAAATTACTCAATAATGGATTTCTCTTAGAAGAAATTTTTAATAAGGCCCAAGTGAATAAACTACAAAGAGAACAATAGCTATTATATTTATTCAATGGGACAAGCCAACTAACAAAAGTTTAAATACCTTGACCAAGAGGAAATGATTCTGTGGAAAAGTTTCATTTCTTTCGAAATCACATGCAGTTTTGTGAGTTGATACATGGGCATATTTCTAACCTTAAACGGAACTTGTTATGGTGACATGTAGCTATTTGCATCCTTGTCCTTTGGTCTCTAGTGGATAGATTTTAAGCAATCATACCACATAGATCTCCTTATTTTTATATCTTGATACAAAAGAATACAAAATGTCTCATTGACCAACATTTTTTGCAATCAGGTTTAGATTTGGGGTTGTAATCTTGTCACTTGTGATCAGTACGTGTACAATTATCTTTAACATGTGAATTGGGTGCATTACCTGTTAGCATAAAGTGTTATCATCTTATGTATAAATATTATGTATATGTCTCAAACTCTCAATGAGATTGGTGAACAGTGAAGGTCCACATGAAATTCTCAGGGCTGCATTTGAAGTAGAAAAAACTCTCAAAAATAGAGAAAATTCATGGTCTAATAAACTATTTGAATTATCAAAATATATTGGAATATCATCAAATAACCTTTATAACACTTAATTTCAAACATACATTAGAAGATTTTTACAAAACCAACATAAAATTAGAACTGTCTAATATAAGAGAGGGCAACTCTGGGAAACTTTTATTTTTTAGTAAAATTCATACTGAATTCAATATGTTCAAACAACAAGGATATTTAAAATTCTTAGAAAAATCTCACCAAATTAAGAATAAGTGCACACTGATAAACCATGGAAACTGGTAGATATGCAAAACAAAAAATACCCTCTATAAATGATAGATACAAATAATTTAATTGAAAATTTTAACAAAATTATAAACCCAAATTCTGAAAAAGAATTAAAATCTGATTGTATATATAAAAATAAGAAGATGAGGTATGATTGCCAATGAGACAACACTCCACCAGACACCAAATGACATAGAAGTTTACAATTATAGGTCACCGTACAGCTTTCAACAATGAGCAAAACCCATACAAAAATATATTGGAATATCATCAAATAACCTTTATAATACACTAATTTCATATGTCGTTTGTATTATACAAGAAGATCTTGATTTTAGGGACCATCATGCTGTTTCACCAGATACCAATCCTATATACATGATATAGATACTAATGGATACATGTATTTATATATATATATACATTGTATGTGTGTATGTGTGTTCAATATTATATTCATAAAAACTATAAATAAATGTATTTTGATAGTACACTCAGCATATATATATGGTAAATATATCAATCATGATAAAGAATAATTTATTACTTATATTCCAAATGTAAACTAATAAGACTTTGTTATTTTGTTTGTTGGAAATGTAATTGTTAACTATATCTGTATATGGATCACACTTCTATTGTGCTCTTTCCAATAAAATATTGAATATGCCAGTTCCGAGGATTACGTACCTACCGAACATAAATTATTTCTAGACTACCCTGCAGAATGAAGATCCTATCGATGCTTTGAACATTTTATAGTGCAAGGATACAGGCACACCTTCTATGTGGTAAATGACCTCATAAGGGCTTGTGTAATTGACAATCTTTTTCGGTGAAGGACATAATTCGAGATATAGCCTATTGAATACGCCAGTTCTGGGATACGGTAGTTAGATGGATCAGTCATGTGACTTCCATCACCACGTGACCAAAATTTAGGCATTGTCAATTCCAACACATGTTGAGCGAACGGATGAAAAAGTTTGATCTTATAATACCATGTATACTGCACAAAATATTTGGGAAATAAGTTGGTCACCATCCCTTCAGTCATACGGGAATTAAGATTACGTACTTACGGAACATAAATTATTTCTAGACTACCCTGCTGAATGACGATTCTAAAAGTGCTTGAAACTTTAATAGTGCAGGGATACAGGCGCTCCTTCTATCTGGTAAATGACGTCATAAAGGCGTGCGAAATTGACCATCTTTTCCGATGAAAGACATGATTCAAGAAATAGCCTATTGTATTAAAACTGAACATGCTGAAGGGGTCATGATTGATAAATAAAATCTTATATGATATCTTGTGCGATGTGATAACCATCTGTTTTTTTTTTAAATGTTTGTCTTTTAGGTCTTCATTTTTTCTTATGGTATTTTTTCTTTATATGGTAGTTGATACTTGTCGGTCTCATTGGCAATCATAACACATAGATCTCCTACTATAACTTTTTTTTTATCTTGATACCATATATTATGAAATGGATCTTTAAAAAAATATCTCATTCGTCCAATTTTTTATTAAATCAGGAGGTTTGTATTTGGGGTTATCAATCTTGTAATCAGTACGAAGATGCTGAACACTAATGGGGTCATGATTTAATCATAAAGTTCTGCCATATCATTACCATCTGTCGTTTCAATGTTTGTCTTTTCGGTCTTCATCTTCTTCACCCCAAATGATCGCTTACGGCATGTAAAAAATAAATACATCTATGATAGCCTAATAAATAATTTAACAATGCATAATATCCACTTTATCATTTTAGCTCTAACAAACATCTTTGAGAAAAAGAACCAGACAAGTAACTGTTTCACATTGTTTACTATTTTTATTTTGATGTAAGCGACAAGGTACTGAAGCGGAAAATGGCAACAAAAAGTACAGCGAAAAATGTTCGGATTCGCCGGACTATTAGTATGAATAAGTTAGAAGACATTTATAGAGAAGAATTTAGAGATCGTAAGAGTCAACCAGATAAACCGTGAGTTGCTTTCTTGTTTCTTTACAGAGAAGACAAACCCGGTACAGTTGCAAACCTTCCCCAACCCTTTGGCTTTGGTTATTGACATTGACCTTGTTCGTGGTCTGTGATGTGTTCCCACGTGGATTAGATAAAAATAGAATAGTTCTCCCCTGATTGGAGTATGTTTGATTCTTACATCAAAACATGCAATGCATTAAATCTGATAGCCCCATTTGTATAGAAACACTCAAGAGAGTAACATTTCAAAACTATAGTCTGTGATCATTTACATTGCACTGAATCAAAATGCTGATTGAGGAGGAATGTTCACAAACAGTCAAAGCAGCATCAGCAGAAGTTTCAAATACATGTAGTTTCATGGACAGTGTCAATCAAGAATCCATACGGAATAGGAAAACTGATGTAAACAAAAATAAATCACCAGAGAAGGAAACAAATAATAATATTAAAAACAAAAAAGAACATTGTGAGTCATGCTTAAAAGAACAAAAAATGACATCTGAAAATCCTACTGAGCGAAGAAGAAGTTCTCTTATGGAAAGCATTGAATGGTTCAAAAGAACATTGAGTGAACCAGAATTTATAATGTATGGAAATAATGAAAAAAGTAAAGGAGAGTAAGTCTACATTTATTTGGGCACTAATTACATGTATATTAAGTTTATCCATCATGTCCAGTATGCATTTAATTGATATATGAGGGTATCTCTTTTTAATTATTATCGTGTGGTTTGACTTTATAAACACCTTATTTTTAATTCTGTAAAATTGTTTATCCTCCCCCTCCCCCCCCCCCCCCCCCCAAAAAAAATTGTCAAAATGAATTAAAATTATCTTCAAACACCATGTTACAATTATAGTTTCTCCAGGCCCCATGAATGACTATGAACATGAGCTTAAGAAGATATTATAAATTTGTGTCACTCACAGTTTTGTATTGAAAGTGCATTTATAAATTTTAAAGTATACAGCATATACAAACTTCTTGACTTTACAGTAATGATACTATACTTCATTTAAATATAAAGGTTGCTGGACTTTTTTTTGCTTCAAGATCTATAGAAATACCATCCTTTGCTCATTTAAATACTAAAATTATATATATATTTTTAAAAATCATGTTTAACGTTGAAACATCCATGTTTCTGGTGCATGCATTTTGACACACCCCTTGCATGTACCTATCATCTACATTACATTTGCTAATAATCACCTTGTCAAACTTGTCACCTTTACAGTTTCATTGTGATATGAACCAGAGAGAGAAATTAAACTATTTATAAAATCGAATTCATGAATTCATGAATAGCTAAACAAAAAGTTTTAACAATAATTTTTTATAAGGTATAGAAGTAGTAAAGAGATTAGAAATAATTAATTATCATATGGTATTTATCACAGGTATTAAAATTAAACTTGTTTGAATCAATGCACATTATGATTCTTTTATATATGTACCTATAAAAGAAATGCAGCTTAAATTGTAAAATTCATAATTCAGTAACAAATATTTTTGTCCTACATGTAGGTTTAATTTTTAACCCTTTCTTTGACTGTAATCCTGATGAGTAATAGCTGCATACTGAACGAATTTATTGTAAATGGCAAAACATGAAAATTTGATAATTTTGTCTTTCTTAGACTAAGCTTAGAACATGATATAGAAATAGTTTATTTTATAATGTAACAGAATTTTGAACTAAAAATGGATTTGGAAATGTATGATAAAATTAAGGCACATTCTCAAAATCGAAAAGGCCTGTTAGAAAACTTCACAGTTTTTGGTTATTACACATATCTTGAAAACTACATGTGTATAATAGCTAGAGAGAAACTGTAAATAACAAAAATGTTCAGGTCAATGAATTCTACAAGTAAATCAACAATGAACAAATCATCAGTTGCCTCCTTGAAAGGAGTTATTGCAATATTAATGAAAGAGGATTTTTACCCATTTTTGAAGAAACTGTAATACATTGTAGCTGGAGAGGAACTGTAAACATAACAAATGTTTTGCAAAATAGCATCTACGAATAATCAAACATGTCCAAACTTGAAAGAACTTGTTAATTAACACCTTATAGGATTTATTGCCCTTGAAAAATTGTTATTACACATTTTAGCATTTTTCGCAGAAATTATATTAGATAGAACTTTTTTTAGCAGACACGTCCAGCACAATAATGAATATATCATTTTACAAGAACAATCTGGAATTTTAATTGGAGATTTGATTATTATAAAACAAATTTCAGAACTTTTTTCACCAAGTTAATGTGCTTTGTATACAAATGTTCACCTATTTTGAAAGAATTCATTCAGTAATATTGCGGAAATATAAAAGAGATAAATGCATTATTTTTTCGATTTTAAGTTTTTTAATTCTACTAGCCAAAGTTGTATTCCAAATCACTAAAAGTGTTACCAAAATATATGATATAGCCCATTTATTGTACTTTGACCTTAAATGAATATGTTTCAAAAGCCTTATTGCTTAATAGTAAAACAAATGCCTTCATAAGAGTACATTATAGGCTCCAAAGTCAGTGCATTTTGGAGATGTTATCAAAATACAATGATTTTTTGACATTTTTTTTTAACTTAAAGCTTCAGGAAAGCCTTGGCCGCATCCTACTATCCAGACTGTTCTGTAAACAAAATGAGCCAAGGTGTATATTGAATTCCTAGACTCAAAAATTTCTGGATCAGGGGTTGCAGCCAAAGTAATTTATGCTACAGTTTTCTGTACATGTACATTGTATAAACTGTTTATACAAATTAGTGAAAATTGGACCAAAGCTGACGCTACAACTTCAATAATGCATAATTTATCATCAATATGGTTCATAACTGAACTTTGTTATTTATAATGTGATGTGCCAAAAGGAAGTTATTTTGGAATACTAAATAGTTAACTTATATCACAGCTGTTGTTAAAAACATTTGCAGTATTTTGTCCAGATTAAAATAATATTCAATTTCCAGGTCAATTTTAACCTTGATCTCGATCCTTCTCTTTTACAAAAACTTACCGTAATATCTGAGATAACTCAGTAGCCCCTCAGACGTGGTATCATCTATATTTTCATAATTTTGTTGTTCACTGTTCTGTTTCTACTGTTTCTACTGTTTTTCATTGTTAATTTCATATGGGTTCCTGTTACAAAATGTATGTGCTAAAACATAAATATCTTCTTTTTTCCAAGTTGCTTAAAGAGTTCTTAAATATAATTACAGTTTGAAATCTAGTGACAAACTATTACCTCCCTTGTAAACACTGAAAACTAGATCTTTTCAATGTTTGTCCCATTTTAGCAAGGACGCTATCAATTATAAATTAACAGGAAAACGTTCTGGTAAATAGTAAAAATAGAAATAAGTTGAAATAAAAACAATACTTCCATTTAATGTTATCATTTCCCTCCTTAAACATGTTAAATAGCAAACGAGGACTACAGCAGGCTAAAGAAACTTGGTGTAAAATTGGTTTAAAATGTTGCTACATGTATGTGAAAAAATTTCTGGAGTACCAACTTCAATTTATTTTTCTACTGGCTGTAAACCTCTCTGGAACATGTTAATTATCCGTATATATATGCAGCTAGATCAGAGAAAGTAATTGAAAAATTTCAAAGGAATTGATTGATATGCAGCAAAGATTAACACTTTTGAAATTAAGTTACTAAGCAAATTCAAATGGACCTTATTCCGATGTAAACATTGAATGTGAATAGATCAAGAAACCGCAAATACATGTACGAAAATCGAGACGACCTTTTCTGAAAATTGTATAAAAAATAGTATAAAGATACCTACTTTTTTAAAAGTATTCATCTTTAATTTTTATACGACCGCCAAAAAATTTTTGGGATCGTATAATGGTATGAAGTCGTCGTCATCCGAAGACACATTGGTTTCCGGACAATAACTTTAGTTTAAGTGAATGGATCTCTATGAAATATTTTCAGAAGGTTTAATACCACAAAAGGAAGGTTGGAATTGATTTTGGGGATGATGGTCCCAACCGTTAAGGAATTAGGGGCCCAATAGGGGCCCAAAACAAGCATTTTTCTAGTTTCAGGATAATAACTTGTGTATAAGTATTTCGATTGCTCTGAAATTGTACCACAATGTTTAATACCACAAGTAGAAGGTTGGGATTCATTTTAAGGGTTATGGGGCCAACAATTATGGAATTAAGGGCCAAAAACAAGCATTTTTCTAGTTTCCAAACAATAACTTTTGTGTAAGTGTATGGATCTCTCTGGCATTGTACCACAAGATTCCATATAACAAAGGGAAGGCTGTGATTGAGTTTGGGGTTAATTGCCCCAAACATATAGGAATTAGGGGTAAAAAAAGGGCCAAAAACAAGAATTTTTCTAGTTTCCAGACAATAACTTGTGTTTAAGTGTATGGATCTCTCTGAAATTGTACTACAATGTTCCATACTACAAAGGAAAGGCTGTGATTGAGTTTTGGGGTTATTGCTCCAAGGGGGGTTTCAAAAAGTTGGGGGGGGGGGGGGATTTTTTTTCCAATTTTTTTAAGGGATTTCATATTTTTTCACAGTATTGCGCAATAGATTTGTAAGATCTTTGACCACATTTACTTTGTGTCAGAAACCTATATTATGTCAAAAATTTGATCACAATCCAAATTCAGACAGTATCAAGCTTGAATATTGTGTCCAAATTTGCCCAAACTGTTCAGGGTTCGACCTCTGCGGTCATATCAGGCTGGGCTCAGCGAAGCATTTTATTTAACCTGCACGGATAAAATTTAAAAATTGTTATATTCACGCAAAGACAATATTACTATAGAGCTGACTGGTGTACTCGAAAACTTAGATATAAAAAATAAGTATATTTTGGGAGATTGTAACATGCTAAGGACTTTGTGGAACAATCTGAAAATTGGTGGCCCGAAAGATCTTTAGATTTTGTATGTACATGATTAATCCAATTTTTTTTATCAATATGCAGTAAAGATTAACATTTTTATAGATTTCAGTTTCACAAGCTCCTAATGCAATTATCTCTATAATACTGAACATAAAACATTGTGTATTTGCATGTACATTTCTAATAACACAGTTTAAGAAATAATTTCTTTGAAAATGTACAATTGTTATTTAGAAATAATTTTTTATCAGTATCGTCACCGGCATTGCTTTATCATTGATTTTCTCGACTCTATCATAAGAAGAGTGATTTTTCTTTTGTTCTTTTTCAATAGATTTCCCACTGATTAAACCCTCTACATCAACTATGTACCTTCTATAGCAGTCAATTCTACTGTATACAGTATATACTGTGACGTCCATTGTCACTGAACTAGTACACATTTTTGTTTAGGGGCCAGCTGAAGCCCTCCTCCGGATGCGGGATTTTCTCGCTGTGTTGAATACCCATTGGTGGCCTTGGGCTGTTTTCTGCTCTTTGGTCGGGTTGTCTCTTTCACGCATTCCCTATTTCCATTCTCAGTTTTAATATTTTATTTTATTTTTTAAATATTTACATGGACATTTAGATACATATATATTTAGCTTTAAATAGTTATGTGCAGCTTTGTAAATGTATAATATTTTAATCAAGGGTATTATTGCAGGATACATAAACATGCAGATTCCCTGTTAAGCACCGCCAGTGGGTTTACAAACTACAGAGGATTGTTGAACCTATGTATTTTACTGCTGGTATGTATGCTTATTTAACAAGTGAAAATTTTATTACGGAGAGTGCATTAAGAATTACCCTTGTATGTGTGTACGTCCCAAAATTCTCTAACTTCAGTTTGCCTCAACCAAATGTTATGAAACTTATACACAATGCTTATTACCACAAAACACAGATCAAGTTTGAATTTGGGTGGAGTCACTTTTACGGTCCTAGACAACTGGTGCCCTTTTCAAATGGAAAAATTGCTGAATTTTTCCTTTCCGTTCTCTAACTTACGCCTGCCTCAACCAAATGTTATGAAACTTATACACAATGCCTATTACCACAAAACTCAGATCTAGTTCCAATTTGGGTGGCATCACTTTTACTGTTCTTAAGTTATGTCCCTTTATAACGTTATATGCAAATGGGGGCATCATCAGTGTTTTATATTTTATACATGTATTATATTTGATATATATATATATTTGTCTGTTTGTTTGTTTTTGTTTATATTATGGTGTCATTTTTTATCGTGGGAATTTGAACAGTATTTTTTCATTGATATCTTGTAAATCAATTTTCAGTGATTAAGATTACATAATTTTTGTGGACAAATACCCTGTTTCAGTTATTTTACAAATGTTTTGACCAGAAATTATTATGTAATCATTTAAGCAACTTATGATCTGTAAATACATTGATTAGCATTATGTAATTTATGTGGACAAAAACTTTGCATCATTTTTTTTACAAATGATTATGTTATGACCAGGATTTTATTATGTAATCATTTAAGATACTTATGATATATGTATGTAAATATCTGTATTAGATTTTTTTAGTTGATAACAAATTTAATTATTGCTTTAAAGTGTGAAATAATCATTGATAATTGATAAACCTTCATATTTTATAATTGAAAAGATTATTCTTATTAATAATGAAATCCATAAAATATAAGCAGCCTAAATATTTACATTTTATCAAGGATTTGTATAGTAAGATCTTACTATACAAATCCCATCTTACTATACAACTCCTTGATTTTATCAAAATTGAAAAAAATTCCTAATTTAACAATAATTTAAAAAATCATAACGTTATGAAAATTGTATTCCAGAGATTTTTTTTAGAAATTTACCAAATTAAAAACTTATTGCAAAAGTTTTATTCTACTTTTAGAGGTTTATTGAAAAAAATTGTTTACACTCACGTTATATTTGTTGTTTTAATATACTTTTTCCTATTACCCACTTTTGACTCTGGAGAAAAAAAATTCTACAGGTTGCCTTCTGTGTGGTAGGACATTCTGGTACTCGGTCAAGTAAGAGCAACAAAAAGAAGTCAAACCAAGCTTACAATTAGTGCAATTTAGGGATTACATTAACTTTCTCATGTCTTCTATTCACAAAAAAATCATCGGAAAACAGATATTAATTTAGAATTTATAGAAATCAGTTTAATTTGGACCTTTATTTTCTGAATATATTTTCATTGCTTATCATTGTAATTGTCTTGGTAACATTTTAATCCTGTAAATCTAGTAAAATGCACAATAAAAGAAAGAAATCTTAATGCTTCTATTCGCCTTAGTCTATCTGAAATTATAGAAAGTCAGATTTTTTAACAGACAAAATGTTGGAAGAACTTATTTTTACAGGAAATTAAAAATAATTGTGTTGGGGATATTTTCAAAGGATTGATATGGTAAATGAAAACATTATTAAATGTTCGTTTTGACTCTTATATCACTTTAAGGATTTCTTGAGAAAAAGGTAATTTGCCTCAGTTGAGAGGAAAAAGATATAAGAAGATGTGGTATGAGTGCCAATGAGACAACTCTTCATCCAAGTCACAATTTGTAAAAGTAAACCATTATAGGTCAAAGTATGGCCTTCAACATGGAGCTTTTAAATAATGGATCTAAAAAAAAATTTAAAATCAAGACAGTAGTTATAAATTGATTTTATTGAATTATTTATATTTTATTTCTAGGCATTGGCAAATACAAGACTGTTTTTGGAAAATATATTAAAGTAAGTGCCACATTTGATGTTTTAATATCATTTATTACATTGTTTTTGTTCTATGGCTATCACTTTATGTCCATCATCCATCTGTCTTCCAAGATGTTTTGAAGAGGAAATGAATGGAGTACAACTTCAGTCAAACTGGTTTCAATGGTCACATAATATCAGCAGCCACCTTCCTATAACAATCATTTTGAAACTAGCCCAAACGCTTTCTCTATATAACTTTTAACTAATTTGTCTCTAAACCTGAAAGCGGTCACATTTTTTCCTACGAAATCACCTTTCTGACTCCTTATAACTTAATATAGGTGTTTCTTATATTTCTGCTCTGTTAATCATCCATCTTTCAAAATGGTCAGATAAACATTGTCTCCAATAACTTTATTACTTAGATTTGCATCATTCCGTTCGGGAAATGTAAAAAAATTCTTAAAAACAATCAAACAGTAGAAACTTAATATGGCAGGAAAGTTCATTACAAGTATTCCAAAAAGGATTTGCATGTAGATAGTATTTTCGCTGTGCTGTCACTTTGGTACACCTAGAGAAAGCATTATGGCCAACAGGGGAGATAATTTGTTACATTTGATCTTATGTTAGAAATAATAGAAAAAACCTTATGCAAAAATTGTTAAAAAATCTACTTGTAGATCACTTAACTAAGAATTAATAGGGTGCAAAACACCAACCAATAATTGGTCACTAGTGGGTTCAAGTTCAATATTTTATTGTCAATTAAAGAGGCCAATTACAGTCAGAATAATCAAGTAAAACTTGGTACAAATGATTACAATGATAACAATGATAAAGTAATTTTAAAATGATCTACATAGGTTGTTACAATATATTAACTATTTATAACATATACTGTGGATTCATTATTATTAGTGGGATTCCAATTGTCGTGGATGTAGTTGGTTTAAATGAAGCAAAAATTTAAAAGACCAGTGAAGTACAAATTTGCTAAAGGCTTGCATGCAGACTTTGTTCCAATCAAATATCCAAGAAAATACAATATTTTCTCAATCCATGAAAATTGTTTTTCCTATAGCGCTTTCATCCTTTTGTAGGGACCTGTCAGCGATCTTTCTTAGTTGGATAGTTATTATAAACGATACTGTACACAAATAATTGAATTTAATACATACGCTTAAAAAATCTAGAAGAACAACACAAAAAGTACAAGTATCAATATATATTTTGAATAACAGATTTTCATCATCAGTACAAATCTTATCAATCTATGTTGATTTTCCTAAACAATCTTGAACGTAATACAAATTAAAAAATGTACTATACTTGTACAATTCGAAAATCTAAAAGTTCACGCTAATGAAGTATTTACAATAGAGGCTGTATATGTATGCATCCAAAATGAAATGAACACATCCATCTGCTGTGGTTAGCACTGCTAGATTTGAACTTCATGTTTTCTTTGATCCCATTTGGTATCAACATTTTTGGGTAAAGATTGTATGAAATGCAATCAAAACCCTATGGTACTGACTAGATATCTAAATCTTCCAAGGTTTATCACTACTTTTGAGATACACAAAATATAGTGCATTGATCATAACATTCTATACATCCTATCCATGAACATTTCCAGAAATTAATCAATGAAATATATGCTCAGATATTCAAGTTACAAAATGATGTTATACTTGTCAAGAAAATTACATAACTTTTGCAAGATGCAGGAATCTAATATCTGTTTTAAAAATATCAATGATGTCATTGTTAAAGTCATCTTTAAAAATTGGAGTTATCTTCCTTTGTCCAGAATTGTAGTTGAATCAACTAACTAATGCTTTATACAATGCAATGTTTAATTTTACTTCCACTGATAAATTAAAGCAAAAAAGGGGGAAAAACAAGGGTTTCTTGGTTAATGGACAATTAAAAAAAGTACAATGTTATGTTTGGATTACCTCCCTTATGCTGCTTTTAAATTATGTATAAAGAAATGTTGTATTGTCTTGAGGTGATTAGCTGTCAATTTATTTTTAGAAGTTACTATTTAAAAATGCTGATTAAGGAATATTAATTTTAACCATGATTATGTATGTCATTTTCTATTTTAAGACTTTTATGATGTATTTAAATGGGTAATTATGGTTGCAAACTCCATTTGAAATTTGAATTGAGATTATGACCATATCTTGAGGGAAAGAATTTTTGTTTTTTTTTGGGGGGGTCAATTCACAACAGCATAGTGTATTGCACAAAAGCTAAAAAAAGGGGGGTAAATTTATTACAATCCAAATTCAGACCCGTATCAAGCACGTATATTGTGTCCAGTTTGGCCCCAACTGTTCAGGGTTGGACCGCTGCTGTTGTATCCAGCTGCGCTCGGCGAAGCAATTTATTAAGGACATATATATATATATATATATATATTTCTATATTTCAGATGTTTATGTTTGTATAATTCTTCTATTTAGATATGGAATTTTGATTGATCCAGTAAAAATTATACAGTTACTTGTATCAGAACCATACAGTTGGCCAAATGTCATTCTTTTACTAGGTAAGTTTCCTATTATACATGTTGCTAATGAGGTAAACAAATAATGCTGTTATTTTGCAATGATGTTTTGTAAAGATATGATTATGATTTTATGATAATATATTGTATTAATGTAGAAAAAAAATATACAAATGCAATGCTCCAATGAGACGTTGACATTTACACCCCATATATGCCAAAACTAGTGATTTTTGTAAAATTTTGGTAAATCTTCTGGATTTCAACCAAATTTATGCATAAGAAACATAGAGCCAAGATTAAAAAAAAATGATATTCAAGTCAGATATGTTATTTGTTATAAAAAAACAATGTAACAAGAACAATTTCTTTGGACCACTATATGTTTCCTGTCCTGTAAACCAACTGAAATTGGCCCGTTTCCAATGAATTTGGCATAAAATTGAAATTAATGCTACTTCACAATAAGAATACTGATTTGAAAATTTCAAAAGTAGACATATGTTCTATCTTATCCTTGTTATGAAAGCCACTTATTCCTTATATTGGCTAGAAATAGGCCCATATTTGGGCCTTATCCAGTGGTGTAGCAAGGTTGTGTGTTCAGAGCACATGGAAGTGGTTGGCAGGGGAAACAGACCTAAAGAAGGTTCAGTGGGGCAAACATTCCAAAGGCTCTGTTGATTTAGCGCCTTGAGAAAGAAATGAATATTGTAAATTTATTATTTACCTCACAGTCAGCACCTTCTGTTGTGTTCAAATAGTTTTTCTTGATAATTCATTAAAACCTGTATATGAAGGTCACCCATGCCCGCCATGGGACCAAAGTAACCTGACCTTATTGGAGATGTGACATCTGCTGCATGCTGAATAAAGGTGCTTCTTTAGGTGTACTGGATGTTTAAATATTCAGCAATGTCTGGTCGGAACTGGGACCTTTAATCTGAAGACTCATGTAGAGAGAGTACCATGTTCTATTTCTTTAAAGAACTTTTAAAGCAACTCTTTGGGGGGTAGTCGAGGGCCTGTTACAAGGCAAAATGTTTTCCCATATCTAACATAGCCATATTTACCTGATTTCACTTCATCCCAATTGCCCAACTTATCTGAACATATCTATCATAAAAATTGTTCTTGTCCATAATATACATGAGATATTTGCCATTGGTTGTGAGGAAAGCAATAAAAACAATCACTTATTCAGAAGATGGTCTACATACTGAAAATTCCAGGGCAACATGCAAAAACTGAAAAGTCTTGTATATATTGTCAAAAGCTGGGTTTGCCCTTATACGCAGAAGACCATATTCTCTAGGTTGTGACTGCAAGGTAAGGTAGTGTTAGGCTCCTTCAACAGCTTAGTTATACAGAGAATTACAGAGAAATTAGTTTGGAGTCTATTTAGACATGAGAGAGGAACCATGGTATAAAAATATGGTTTACATTAATGATATATGTAGGTAACTGGCAGTTAAATACAGTAAAGAGTTAGCATGAAAATGATACCCCAATGGGATAGTTAGAAGGAACTTTTCAAATCAAAGAAGAAATTCAGAACAATTTAGCCTTATTAAGTAGAATACAAAATACCACATATGTATAAAACATATAATTATATTTAATTTATTTTTCAGTGTCCAACATATTTGCTCTTGTAGCATTATATAACGAGAAATTGTTGGCCAAAGTAAGTGTTAGTTTTATTCATAAATTCATAGTCTTTGTTAGCAGTAAAGCATGGGTCCGTGACTATAAAACTAAGTTCAACACAACAAACCCTCCATCAATGTTGAAGATTTGTTTCTGTAGTCATTTTCTTACATAAAAAGTCTCAAAAAAATCACTGGTAACTTATGAACAATTCAGTATTTACAATAAATTGATAAAAGTTATTTTGTGAAAAGAGCTATTGAACGATATGGTACTTTATATGTATATTCCATGTGTTGTGATTAATATTCAAAATGATCTCTTTTATTTAAGACTGAAATGACTGAGTAACTATATATGATAAGTCAGCAGTATAATTATCTATTAGAAACTTGGCCTCACATGAACTTGACCTCATTTTCACATTTAATTGACCAGGTCAATATTTTTGATAAGGTTTGTTCCTTAGTAAGTAGACATGATTGGTCAACAGTTTTTGGCTTATGACTTTTTGTAAGGAGTTTACATTTATATTAGTACGACAGGTGTCTAATGGCCGAAACCTAGCTTTCTTGCACTATTTGTAAAAATGATTTATCTTAGAAAGTAGATTTGAAAGATCAACAATATTTGTTTGTGCACTCAATATAAGTTGTTCATTTTCATCTTATCTTTGTTTGTTAACCATAAAAACAGTTGCTGTATCTATATATCAAATATTGCATTTAGAAACGTGAGACATTTTAGTATATTTGTGGATTTTAGTTTTCAGAAAAATTTTGAGTGAAGAATTTAAAGCCATCAGAAAATTCAAGAGGATTCTTGAAAATAATCATATGTTGTTTTATAATGATTTGTGGGACATTTCGAAAATAAAGTGTTCATTTTCACTTTTTGTTTGGTTTTCATTATTGACAACATTCATAAAATTTTCAATAAAATAATTGCTTTCGAAAATAAGCTGATTCATCTATGCTTACAAATTGTGTTGATTGAAGAAAATTACAAAGTATACATTTTAATTGTTGCACATGTGTAATCAGAATTGGTGACACTAATTAACCTGAGATTGAATGATCAGCAGATTAACTGTCATCAAAGGTGTTACTTGGACCATAAACATAGTTAAAGAAAAAGAGTACACAAAAAATGCATCAAATGTACTTGAATTATAGAATTAATTGTTATGAAATTCAAAAGCAACCCCAATATGAAATATTTTTAGTTTTAAATGAGAATTATGAGGAGATAAAATGAACACTTCATCATCGCATATCATCACCAAAAGACTGACTTTCATCGATAAAAACTAATTTTTCATGAGAATTAAAAATTTAAAAGTCATACAGTTTAGGTTTTTTAAAGATTAAATGGGTAAAATCCTGTCTGAAGTTGTATATATAGTTCATAGTGCATATGCTGATATTTGAAATATTCTGTAGATTATATGGCTGTATCCATGTAGTCAAACCTACATGGGGATCTTTCTGTGTCTCGATTTGGACAACAGTTATTATATTTCATTAGACTCTTAGATTTGTGGATAAAACCATCCCCGAAAACCATGAAAATTGGTACCCCACGAATAAAAGTACTTTCACAGTATTAAATATGTCAAACACCTTCATGTCGTAAATAAATAATTAGATTAAAGAAAATGGGGTATATAGTCTTAGAATTCACCATTTTTTATGATGATGAAAATATTACAGACTGTGAGGAACCTCTTGTTTATTCTCTTATTTACTGAAAGAACAGGATTTGAAAACATTTTGTATGAAGAAGTAAAACTGTACTCTTATGATCAATGTAATATTTTATCCCAATATCCTTTTGGAATCATTTTGGGTCCTCATTGCTCTTCAAATTCGTACTTTATTCAACCTTTTAAAATTTTTTGATTCGAGTGTCACTATGATGAGTCTTTTGTAGACAAAACACTTGTGTGTGGTACAAAATTCTAATCCTGGTATCTATGATGAGTTTATATAGTATAGTCCAATACTTGTTAATGTATTGAAGGTTAACACTTGTAACCCTATAATGCTAAACAAGGATATGTTTTATTTGCCAAATATTTTCAAGGCCATGTAGTCTGCATTAGTTCAAACAAACTGATAACACAAGTTCAGGGTTATGTTTATGAAACAAATCTTTAACTAAAAGTGCATAAACCAATAACTTAAAGATAGTTTGGGTAAATTTAGATTTTGGGAATTATTGCAGATATAACTATGTTCTTTGCAATGCTCGTTGTAATTTTAGTTTTTTTGGTACACATTTTTATCCCAATGTTTTAATTTGTCTTTTTATACCTGAAGTTCAAAATAATTTAAGTAAATTAAGAAATCATCAACTCTTCTGTATATCTACCATTACTGTCAAATCATTTTATGTCAAAATCATTTGACTTAAAAATAAACAATAAAAGAGCATTTTTTTGTAAAGAGCCAAATTTTTAAATGTGTCAATTTAGAACCTTTACTAAAATTGAAATGATAAATATATTTATATGCATTTAAAATGATGAACCATACTAATGTAAGAAAATATAAACTTTTGTCTCCTTGATATTTAAAAAAATCTTTTTAGTGGAAATGTGGACACCAAATATCTCAAATATAAAGCTTTATAAGCATATATATAATCATTTTCTTATAGTAATCAAAACATTTAAACAAACACGAAGAGATCCTGTAAAGTTAGACCAATTTCAGTGCAAAATTTGGAACTGTAATCAGAAAACCTGAGTATACATCAACAAATAGTCTACAAGTGTTATGTTTAGAAACTATAAAGATCAAATGAAAAGCTTTTTCAGACAAAAATATTGACCACCATTATCACATCTGCTTATGGATGATTTTTTACCAACATTTAATTAAAAAGTTTCTCATTTTTTTATAGATAGCAAAAGTTTAATGATTTTTACTGAATGAACTTTTATTAAATCCAACGTTATCAAATAACAATTTCATTTTTATTCTATATCAGTCTTGAGTTACTATTAGTTAAACTTGATAGATAAGTTTTATTTATTTAACTATCTGGATTAGAATTGACTACACATGCCAAAAACTACCACTTAGTTGTTATACATTTACCGATATGTCACCCCTGACCATGAGGTGATTTTTCTTTAAGGTCAAGATCAAGTTCAGTCAGCATTTTATTTACAGATATATGGTCATTTAAGGACAATTGATAACAGTTATATAAAGTTAAAAATACATGATACGATACATTCATAGATAAAGATACTCCCTCAGTTGTAAAAGATATAAAATAAAGACTTAACTACCATGCTTCAAACACAGTCAATCCAACTTATGGAATAATTTGAACAAGAATGTCACACTCTAAGATTAACTATAAATAGTGGTTTCATTACGCCTCAAACTTGTATATCATGTACAGCCTTTCAAGATTTCAAGACCCAAAAAAACAGAAGGCACACTTAAAATATCACATAAACGCCATTCATGGAGATATCTTGAATGATTCATTATAATTGTCAGATACTAAGCCAGGCTCCGCTTTAAACGTTTTGTACATAGAATTTATATTTTTAAAATAAAAAAAAGATACAAGTAGAATTTTGTTAAATTAATTTGAAATCTAGATTTTCCATAGGCAAACTGCAATACTCTTCTTATGTCTTGTTCAAGGTAAATAGTTGTTTTCATGTAAAAGCATTTGGTCTCTGGTGGATAGTTGTCTCATTGGCATTCATACCACATCTTCTAATTTGTTTATGGATCAATACAGTCTATGTTTATTATTCCTATTCCAGTGACAATGTATTTGAATCCTGCAAAGCCAAATTGACACTGTTGTTAGATGGAAGAATTCATATAGGCAATATGTTTATTCTCCTTGGAGCTTAAAATTCTATCATTTTTATCTTACAAGGTTGTAACCACAGTAGTACATGTATGTGTTTGTTGACAATATTGTGATTATCATATAATTGTAAATAAAACACACTAAAAGATAATTCATTGTTGGTCACCTATAAAGCAGTAGTGTTATCTTTTATTATCACTTCAAGTTAGAAATAGGCAATAACAAATAAACTAAAGTTGAAGGTATTAAAAAAATCAATGCCTAGAAATATACTGAGCAATTTGTGGGAAGATCTCTTCAAACAATTTATTTACAGGTGTCATATTCCTGACTTGTTACAGGCAATTTACAAATTAAGATGGAAAGTTAACCAGGTTTAAGGCATTCCATTAGACTCCTACTTTTATTATACCCATTATAACTTGTATACACTGAATACTTCTTTTTATAATCTTCTAAAGAAAATTGAAAAGAAGATTTATTTTTTTAGGAATTCCTAATTCCTTAAACGATGTACCATTTCAATGCATTGTTGTACATTTGTATTACAAACATGGTTGCTATGACAAACAGTAATCTTTTTGAATGGCTAAATTTTTAGAAATCTTCAAAACTGTAGAAGCAGTTAGTTAAAATTATTATGCTGCAAGAAAATTCATCCTAAGGTAGTTGCCAGGTGTCATACCTTTGATAATGATGTGCTTATTAACCTTTGGACCCTCAGTTCAACATTTTGAAAAATTTGACTTGAAAACAATAAAATTGAAGATGTATAGTTCTATATTTTGAATACCCAAATGTCATACATAAAAGCAAAGGAAATGGGGAAAATAGACATAGAATAATGATGATGAAAAACGATATAGGCTTGAGGAACCTCTTGTTCATACATTCATTTATTGAAAAGAAAAGGATTTGAAAAACATTTTGTATGAGGAAGTGGAAAGACTCTTTTATGATTTCTGTAATATTTTATTCCATATAGAATACTTTAATACTAGTTATGATATATTTAAGGTTTGCACTTAATTTGTAACCAGAAGATTTTACTTTACACTTAATTTGTAACCCTAGAATGCTAAACAAGGATATATGTTTTATCTGCCAAATATTCTCAAGGCCAGTCTTTGTTTTCGTCTGCACCACTTCAGATAAACTGATAAAACACAGTTCATGGTCAAAAAGCAGTTCATGGTTATGTTTGTCATGTTTGTCATGTTCATGTAAAGTGCATCAATCAAATACTTGAACATGTTAACAATAGTTTATATCCCAATTTGAAGTTTATTGCTGATATTACTTTGACATTTGTAATTTCAGCTTACTTGACATATTTGTTACTTTGCGGTTTGCAATTTCAGCTAACTTTACATATTTGTATTCCAATATTTTAATTTGTCTTCTTAGACCTGAAGTTCAAAATAATTTAAGGAAATGAAGAAATTATGTACAATTGACATAAATGATTTCATGTTAAAATCATTGAACTTAGAAATAAAAACAAAAAACGAGCAATTTTTTGACAGAAACATTTTTTAAATTTTCTTTATTTAGAACCTTTAGTTCAATCAAAATTAAATTATTTATCAATTATGGACTTTTGAGGAGGTCAATACGTTATATATGGACCTGTTCAGATTATATTGACCGAGGACGAAGTTCGAGTTATATATGGACCTGTTCAGATTATATTGACTGAGGACGAAGTCTGAGTGTTAATATAATCTAACAGGTCCATATATATAACGTATTGAAAGAGTGAAAGTCCTTAATTTATATATTACATATGTAAATAATGTATTAGGAAAATGGCGTTCAATGTTCTTTCTGTGTATTTTTAAATTGTATTTTGCAAGAATTTTAACATGTTATTAAAAACATCAATATTCTTTGAACAACTTCATAGCTTGTTGCGTTACTTTTCTTGTATTCTTTGCGTCTGCGTTTAACATAAAAATTCTTGTGATATACTTGCAAATTTTCTTTTCATCTGCTGCGGCGCTTCCTCCATGGTTGTTATGTGTGAGGTCATGACGTCATTAATCTAAATTTAGCAAAATTTTTCATATTGACCGTCAATATACATATAAATAGAAACATAGCTTCAATATACTTAAAAATAGAAACAAGGCTTCGGATAAATATAATAACCTTTCAAACACGCGATCGTAATATCCAATGAAAACAGGAGAATGCTACACCTGCAATATAAAACTTTTTTTTGCAGCATATATAAAGATGTACCATTACATAATGTAAGGAAATAAAAACCTGAACCTAAATATTTAAAGATAGAAAAGGGGGGGATTTTTAGGGGAAATTTGGGACTCCCAAACCCACTATTTCAAATGTTAAGCTTATTTACACATATACAGATATGTTATCAATTTCTTGTAGTAAATAAACATTTAAACAGAAATGAAGGAGATTATTTTTGTAAAATAAAACAAATATTGGTGCAAAATTTATTATTCAAATAAGTGTAATGTTAAGAAAATGTAAATGACCAAAATAAAAGGTTTGTGTCTCAACTTGATGTAGTCAAAAAGCAAGACTTAGGTATGATGTTTCTGAAGGCGGCAGCTGGGTCACTATTTGTTTGTGATTAGGTCAGTTTAAGGGGAACCACTAATGGTAAATCAATGATATTTGGTATGCAGTTGTATAAGCATTGGCACATTTCATTTCCATAGAGATTATTTGGCCCTGCCCCCTGAGTCATGGTCTATTGACTTTGAAACTTTGGCATAATTTACATATTAAAGTTTGTGGTTAGGTCAGTTTAAGGGATGATAAGTCAATGATTAATGGTATGCAGTTGTATAAGCATCTCATTTCCTTCAAGATTATTTGGCTCCGCCCTCTCAGTCATCGCCTATTGACTTTTGAAACTTTTGCATAGTTAATATATGAAAGTTTGTGATTAGGTCAGTTCAAGGCGAACCACTTATGATAAGTCAATGATATTTTGTTCCCAAATGTATTAGCATTGGCATATCTTATATCTCAGAAATTATTTGGTCCTGTTCCTTCAATCATTGTTCATTGACTTTATGACATATGTTAAAGTTTTGCTATTTTAATTTCAACATTTGCATTTTACTATCAAATTATTTACAGGCGAGACATATCTTTGTGTCAATAGTTTATTATGTTTTAAAATGTTGTCCACCTCTACCCTTTATCACAAATCTAAAACCTTACAGCAGACAATTTACAGTCAATTTAATGAGAGTCACATTTTTAGGCCAGTATTTTTTGCCATTAGCCAATACTGTAAATCCTTATTGTGCATATGCATATCATACACAACCTCTCCTTTATGCAAATTGTAAGGCAAGAAGTGGTAAGCAGTTGATTTGTATGTAATACATTGTATACAGTGAACACCAATTATATATGTAGCATTTGTTTTCTAGGGATGGATATCTGAAAACACAGGCTTTGGGATGACTGTTGTTAACCTGGTATTATGTCTACTAATTCCAAGTACAGTTATATTGGTTTTACACCCTAATCCAAGTAAGTCAATCAATGTGGCTGACCAATGATAACAAGAAGTTACCATAAAATCAAAAATTACTATTCTATCCATTCTAAAAATGTAACAATAGATGTTTCTCCAGTGCCAGTTTTCTGAAGAATCTGTTGGGGATCAATTATATGATCGAATAAACATTGTAAAAGTAAAGGTAATTTTTTGGAAAAATTATTAACTAAAACTGTATTTTGTACATTGACTCTGGCATTTTTACAAGCAGGGGCATCTGTGTCTCATGGACACATTCTTCTTTTATATAATTTGGGTAACAATGACCTACTTTTTATGTTTGAGCAACTTCAATTTTGTACCACATTTAGGTCTTATCTAAAACACCTATAGTGGTATATCAATGTTACGTAAGTACTTCATTCTCAAAACATAGTCAAACACTCTAATAAGCCATTTTTATATTGATGACCTACATTCTATGCTTGATTAACTTTTATTGAAACATCTTGAAGGTCCAAATAGTAGCCTGTTTACATAGATATTTTGATATGGGAAATTTATTTCTTACAAATACTTCATTTTGTTAATATTATGGTTACATTCCACTTCAGGAAAAGTTTGCATGTTACAGATTTATTCATCACTAGTTTTGTAATATTCTATTATTTATTTTGTAGTTTTTTCCTGTATCACATGTGGGATATACTCAATGATGTTCCTGAAGCTGGTGTCCTATTTCAGTGTCAACAGATGGTGCCGGTTACAGAGGACAGAAAATACAAAGATAAAAAGAAGGAAATCTTTAAGTGTATCAGAATCAAGTAAGATTCATATAAAGCCATCCAAGAAACATTGTTTCCCAACTTCATATTTTGAGGGACCATGCATAAGTCACTAATAAAGATACTTGTATAAACTAGATATTACTAGAATCTTCTCAAGTTTATAATGAAATAAAAATAAAATATAATTTTAACAGAACAAAAGAAGTTCTACTCAAAGAAAATGAAACAAAATTGCCCTATCTCAACATGAAAAAAATGGAAATGAGGTCATGCATAAATCCATATACTTTATAGGCATGACACAAGCACTTTCATATAATTAAAATGTGTGAAGCTCACAGATTTGTACCTTGTCTTTTGAAAAATTCTTGATTCAGGGTGAATTTGACTGTTCCAGAAAGATCTACAGTAACTTAAAAAAACAGGAAGTTTACAGTGTTGTCTCCCCTTAAACCAAGTATTTCTTTTCTAATTTTTAAGATCATTTTGATCATTAAACATGTTTAATTGAAAGCTAACAAACTAATTCTTACTACCAAATACAATTGTGGCTAAAGAGGAATTCTTTACTTTTGTCTATTTTTTTTTACAAAATGTACAGATTTGCTTCTCATATCACTTTTTTTTAAATTCTTCAAAATTCTGTATCTCTTATAATTTATGTTCTATAGTGAATGCACTAATTCACATAATACACATATATACTATGTCACCATCATTTGTGATTCACTTACATTCATTATTGAAGGCTGTATGGTGACTTAAGTTTGCTTTTTAAAATACATCCACATCATTCGGTCTCTGGTGGATAGTTGTCTCATTGGCAAACATACCACATCATTCGGTCTCTGGTGGATAGTTGTCTCATTGGCAAACATACCACATCATTCGGTCTCTGGTGGATAGTTGTCTCATTGGCAAACATACCACATCATTTGGCCTCTGGTGGATAGTTGTCTCATTGGCAAACATACCACATCATTTGGCCTCTGGTGAATAGTTGTCTCATTGGCAATCAAACCACATCTCCTTATTTTTTTATTGATAGATATTGATTTTGGTATACATAGTTTTGCATAGGTATAGTTACAGTCTTTCTGATATACCCAAAGTGATGCAATTTAATTTAAACTGAAGGTTGTGATTAATGACCCCTTAGTTCCTAACTGTCATTAAACTTGGTTGCCACCATTTTAAAATAGATTTTTTTTTAAATGCCAAATATTCTTTAAATGATACATTCTTAAGAAATTGGTTGATGACCTTAATTGCCATACAAATGGCTGTCACTATAATTAGAAAGATAAAAGTTTGAAAATCCTGCAAAAAATGAATTTCTAACAAACTTAAGAATACATAATAAGCATGACTTGGTGGTATTGCTGATTTTTATTGTCTCGCCTGGACGGAGTCAAAAAGCGAGACATAGGTATGCTGTTTCCAACGTCAACAATGTTTTAGTTTGTGATTAGGTCTAGTTCATGGTGAACCACTAGTGGTAGGTCAATGCTATTTGGTATGCAGTTGTATTAGCATTGGCACATCTCATTACCATGGAGATTATTTGGCCCCGCCCCCTCATTCATGGTCTATTGAATTTGAAACTTTGCTTAGTTTACATGTATTAGTTTGTGATTAGGTCAGTTTATGGGGAACCACTAGTGGTAGGTCAATGATATTTGGTATGCAGTTGTATAAGCATTGGCATATCTCATTTCCATGGAGATTATTTGGCCCCGCCCCCTCATTCATGGTCTATTGACTTTGAAACTTTTGCTTAGTTTTCATGTATTAGTTTGTGATTAGGTCAGTTTAAGGGGAACCATTAGTGGTAGGTCAATGATAATTGGTATGCAGTTGTATAAGCATTAGCACATCTCATTTCCATGGAGATATTTGGTCCCTACCCCTCAGTCATGGTCTATTGACTTTGAAACTTTTACTTAGTTTACATGTATTAGTTTGTGATTAGTTCAGTTTAAGATGAACCACTAATGTTAAGTCAATGATATTCGGTATACAAATGTATTGGCATTTGCAAGTTTCATTTCCATGGAGATTATTTAACCCCACCCCCTAATTATGGTTCATTGACTTTGAAACTTTTACATAGTTTACAAGTTAATATTTGTGTTTAGGTTTGTTTAAAGGGAACGACTAATGAAAAGTCAATGGTATTTGGTTTGCAGTTGTATAAGAATTTGTACATCTCATTTCCATGGAGATTGTTTAGCCCTGTACCTTCAGTTATGGTTCATTGAATTTGAATATTTGCATAACTTACATGTTAAAGTATTGCTATTTTAATTTCAACATTTGCATTATCAAAATAACAAATAGGCGAGACATATCTCTGTGTTAACAGTTTATGAAATTTTGTATGCATAATAAAAAAACCAATTAAATACCTTTTGTTGGATTTGTAACAGAAAACAATTGTGTAACATGCATATGCATCAAAATGTCTAACATTTTACATATGATATTAAATTTAGTGACAGCACCATTCTATAAGTGAACAGGTAAAGGTTGTTCATTATAAAATGTAGACCTGTAAATGTACCTGTTTGAAATTAAGAATTCTGGGTTAATTGTGAGCTTATTCTGTATCATAATTTAAGTTGTTATTAAGAGTTAATTAAATTCATTTGTACTTATAGTGCTCAAATCAGAAAATGGAAAACCAGAGACACTACTTGTCAGTTATCCAGATAATCTGAATCATACAGGTAACTATTATTGAAGTAATAATCTTTCATTCCTACTTCTTCACCTGAAAACTGTTAAGAGGGTACAAAAAATAAATTTTAACTCTCAGACATTTGATTTTTAAAATTTAATAAGGATTGGGTGAGGTTGTGGATTTATTTGAGAATTTTCTAACTAACCAGTAGTCATATAATATAAATAGAATAAAGTATTGTTTTAGTAAATCAAATCAAGGGCCCATTGAGGGCATAATTTAAAAACATAAGAATAGTACAACAAACAACAACATACCAATATAACAATTAATAAAAAGAAATTTTAAATGACACTTATCTTATTTTCAAGTTTTATTTTTTTATTTTCTATTTTTATATTTTTCAGAATTTTACTTACAATTAAATTTGTTAGGCATTAAGTTTTACCCTTGTCCGTCTGTACGTACGTACGTACGTCCCAAAATTGGTTTCCATTCTCTCACTTGAGTTTGCCTCAACCAAATGTTATGAATCTTATACACAATGCTAATTACCACAAAACACAGATCAAGTTTTAATTTTGGTGGCGTCACTTTAACCGTTCTAGAGTTATGCCCCTTTATAAATGGAAAAATTGCAAAATTTTTAGTTTCCGTTCTCTAACTTAAGTTTGTCTCAACCAAATGTTATGAAACATATACACAATGCTTATTACCACAAAATAAAGATCAAATTTGAATTTTAGTGGGTTCACTTTAACCATTCTCGAGTTATGCCCCTTCATGAATGGAAAAAAAATGCAAAATTATTAGTTTCCGTTCTCTAACTTAAGTTGCCTCAACCAAATGTTATGAAACTTATACACAATGCTTTTTACCACAAAACACAGATCAAGTTGAATTTTGGTAGCGTCACTTTAATCATTATCGAGTTATGACCCTTTATAAATCGAAAAATTGCAAATTTTTAGTTTCCATTCTGTAACTTAAGTTTGCCCCAACCAAACATTATGAAATCTTTACACAATACTTATTACCACGAGACTCAGATCAAGTACAAATTTGGGTAGCGTCACTTATATCGTTCTTGAGTTATGTCCCTTTATAATGTTGTATGCAAGCGGGGGCATCATCTGTGTTCATGAGGACACATTCTCCATTTATTTTTTGATATTTTGTCAAACTAATAAACTTTTCTGTATATTTTGATAAAACTATTTGAAAAATCCATGCATTTTCCTTGCAAATTTTTAAGATATTTCCACATATTTTGTAAATTTTGTTATACACATTTATGTATATTTCCTTTAATGTAATAGTATAATTCAGTATTCCTTATAAAATTTAACAGGTAATATAAAGCTAAAAAAAAATCAACAATTAAGAAATAATCTATAATTGTTAAAACAACTTGATGTTTTAATTGGAAAACCAGGATGACACTGATCCGGTATTCTTATATGCAGTTAATGTTTTGTTTGCTTTGACCCAAGAAATCCATAAAAAGAAGTTTTCAAAACTGAAATGCTTTGACCCAAGAAATCCATTACAATTTATGGACCACAAAAGTATATTGATAACTTTGCTATAAATTTAAGACTAGACATTTTTGTTTACAGATTTATATTATTTCCTGTGTGCACCAACTTTATGTTATGAGTTGAATTTCCCACGGTCCTTGAGGATAAGGAAGAGATTTTTACTGAAGAGAGCAATAGAAATGGTATTTTATATAATTTTTCAAATATGCTGTGCATTATTTTTATATTTGTTTTAATATGCTACTAATAGTATTCATTAATTCATTTTTTTCTAGAAAGACATTTAGATATGTTTTATATGTGTATAAATGATGCCTGTTTTTTTTGGAAAGATATTGCAAGGAAGTTAAATCAAGGAAATAGGACTTCTTTTAATGCCACCAGCTGTTAGTGGATCTATAGTAATAAATTTCTCTGTCTGTCTGTCACCACTAAACACTAACACTTGCAGTTTAAGTTACGTAACATAGAAAGGTATTTAGAACAGGTCTTTATTTCTTCTTTCTATTGATCAATGTGGATTGAGTTTGTGTCAACATGTGTAAATCTAGATAACTTAAATTTTTGATATTGTCAAATGTTTTTTTTTTATTTTTCACTGTTACATTTTATATCCTTGTATATTTCAGATTTTTTTGTCTCAGCTGATAATGGCCTTAGTGCAACAGGTATATATAGCTACACAATAAGTACACTATGTTCATAAGTCTCATATGTATAACTTCATCAGTAAAATCCAAACATCAAATTAATTGCTAAATCTTTGGATTCTTTAACAGCATTGCCAGGTAGGAAATGGAACCCTTTTAGTTAACATGCATTTTAAGTAAAATATCCCTTTCTATTGCACCCTATTGTAATGAAAATATGAATATGGTAGAGACCGAAAATTATAATTGATTGATTGTTGGTATTAAACACCACTTTCAACACTCTTGGCTATACCATGGCATCCAGTTTTGATTGGTGGAGAAAGCTGGAGTAATCTGAGAAAAACTACAGAAAACAGGCAATCCTCGTCAATTAAGATAAGAGTTGAACACACCTGCCACAAGTGGGGTTTGAACTCCCAACCTCAGTGTTGACAGGCTAGTGATTACTGTAGATAAAATACTAAGACCACTCTGCCACCAAGGCCCATACTAACAAAATAAAAACATGTTCCAAAAGGATTATATATCCATGAGGCATGAGTAGAAGTTCACAGTATTATATGGATATGTTAAAAAAGATTTCATTTTTTTTGTAGTGGATCATTCCAACAGTTAACAATTCAATGAAACCTTTAAGTGAATTGGAATTCCCAAGAATGGTGGAAAGATTACTGAAATTAGCAGTAAGTGATCAGGAGATAAAACATACTTATGGAGATATTTGAATCTGAATTCACTCACCTAGATTTTCATGAATAGTTTGGTTAATCAATAATGTTTGCTTCAAAAAAGTAAACAGTTACATTTCAGGGCTCATACTTCAGCAAAGAAGTCCCTACCCCATTTCACTTCACTCTTCCATGCCACCTAAAGGGATATTACGTTGGCCTGGTGTTCCAACATCACTCATCAATAACTTTCAATTATGATGTACCCTAATCTTCCATGTAAAATCTGTATTGGTACATAATTCGCAAATTCTTTTTCACCATGGGAATTTAGAAAAAATCTTTTTGTCGCTTGTTGAAAACCTCCAGTGAAATGCTGGTAATTTCATGTTGTGTATGATTGTTTGCAGTATTTCCGATTACGTTTTGTAGTTTATTGTCGAGCCTGCGACTTTTGTCGCAGAAAGCTCGACATAGGGATAGCGATCCGGCGGCGGCGGCGTTAGCTAACTTCTTAAAAGCTTTATATTTTAGAAGATGGAAGACCTGGATGCTTCATACTTTGTATATGGATGCCTCATGTTACGAAGTTTCCGTCAGTCACATGTCCAATATCCTTGACCTCATTTTCATGGTTCAGTGACTACTTGAAAAAAAAGTTCAGATTTTTTGTAATGTTAAATTCTCTCTTATTATAAGTAATAGGATAACTATATTTGGTATGTGCGTACCTTGCAAGGTCCTCATGCCCGTCAGACAGTTTTCACTTGACCTCGACCTCATTTCATGGATCAGTGAACAAGGTTAAGTTTTCGTGGTCAAGTCCATATCTCAGATACTATAAGCAATAGGTCTAGTATATTCGGTGTATGGAAGGACTGTAAGGTGTACATGTCCAACTGGCAGGTGTCATCTGACCTTGACCTCATTTTCATGGTTCAGTGGTTATAGTTAAGTTTTTGTGTTTTGGTCTGTTTTTCTTATACTGTATGCAATAGGTCTACTATATTTGGTGTATGGAATGATTGTAAGGTGTACATGTCTAGCTGGCAGGTGTCATCTGACCTTGACCTCATTTTCATGGTTCAGTGGTCAAAGTTAAGTTTTTGAGTTTTGGTCTTTTTTTCTAATACTGCATGCAATAGGTCAGCTATATTTGGTGTATGGAATGATTGTAAGGTGTACATGTCTAGTTGGCAGGTGTCATCTTACCTTGACCTCATTTTCATGGTTCAGTGGTCAAAGTTAAGTTTTTGAGTTTTGGTCTTTTTTTCTAATACTATATGCAATAGTTCAACTATATTTGGTGTATGGAAATATTTTATGATCTATATGTCAGTCACGCAGGTTTTATTTGACCTTGACCTCATTTTCAAGGTTCATTGCTCAGTGTTAAGTTTTTGTGTTTTCGTCTGTTTTTCTTAAACTATAAGCAATAGGTCAACTATATTTGTTGTATGGAAGAATTGTTAGCTGTACATGCCTGCCTAGCATGGTTCATCTGACCTTGACCTCATTTTCATGGTTCATTGGTCAATGTTTAGTTTACTTGGTTAATGTTAAGTTTATGTGACAGTTGTAATAAAGCTTTATATTTAGGACTATCAACATAATATCAATGATTAGTAAAGAAGGCGAGACATTTCAGCGTGTGCACTCTTGTACATTATTAGGGTTACATTACTACAAGAATGTTTCATCTTTCTTATTGATCACTCATCATTGTACCTCATGGCTGGCACATGCATATCTGGTGATATAAAAAATAATGGCAGCTTTATTTTGCAACTGGAATTTTGTCTTGAAATCATAGAATTATCATTGCTAAAAAAATATTAATTGAAGTATAAAGAATTAAACAATTTAATAAAAATAAATGAATTTGTAGAGTGGGGCGCACATATTCGCCGGGGACACAATTTCGCCGTTTTATGATTTTGAGGTGTAGAAACTTCAAAGGATTGCTGAAATGGAAGAAATATGCCGGTAAATTATATTTTTATAACAAATATGGTTATTTTTTTAAATTAGAAAAAATTTCGGCACTTACCGCAAAGGACCGAAAAACGGACAATGATTTTCGGCCAATTTCCTGAATGAAAAAAAAGATTTCAAAGAAGTATTTCTTAGTAATTCTTTGACTGATGCCCTAAATTTCAGTTCTTTACACCTTTGAAATGTCTGCTATTCATCTATAATGAAATTGATTTGATAAATATTGTTTAAAGCTGCAGTTATTTGGTTTTAAATAGATGTGTAAAAACGGCAAATATGTGTCCCCCTATGACAAAACATCATGAAATTTCAAATAGCCTCTAATCTAACTTTTCAGATAATTTTTTTTCAGAGAAACACGTTTTCAAGCTAAGAACATTTTGCTTTTTATGTTATCTTCATATAGAAATATCAGTATACTTCAAAAACTTCAAGGTCTGAACATAAACTGCAGAAAACATGGAAAATTATGGCGAAAATGAGCACCCCACTCTACTAATATAATGATAAAAATGGTAAAAATATAAAGGATACTTATTTTATTTAACCATAAGTCAAGAACCATGTCTTATGGGTAATTATTTATTTTTGGTAAACCTAGAACCTTATATATATGTAACATTATCCCAGAAAAAAAACAAATAATTTCTTTGTAAACAAAACCTATTGATCTTTTTATGATCATGATTTAGGTAAATGCAAATCTGAACAATAAATGTATACAGCAAGCACATAAAGAATAAACAATGTTTTTACTTTTAGGTACCAAATCATATCATCTGGTTGATATTTTTCTACTGCTTCTTCCATTCATCGTTAAATGTTATAGCAGAAATATTAAGATTTGGAGATAGAGAATTTTATAAAGATTGGTGGTAAGTCTTAAAAAAATTAATAATATAACTTGCTATTTAGATACATAAAATGTAAGACTTTTGTTTCCCTCCCCCCGTGCAATAAAAAAAAAATAAAAAAATTATGAGTTCAAGTCTATTTTGTTTTCAAGGTTTTTAGTAAAAACAAATATTGGTATAGAGTTTTTAAAACAAGTTGAATTTTCAAGCAGGTACAAAGGATTCAATAATGTAAATAAGATTAGAGACAGATGCTGGATAATATCAAGCAGGCTTAATGACGTTGTCAGTCCATGGATACAAGGATCCATTTGGCCCATGGCGTTGACAGTTTGTCTTTGTCTTATGATTTCGAATGTTCCTTTGGTATCTCATGCCTCTCTTTTATATTCAACATTTAATTCTACACATTGACATTTTTTTTAGTTGTCTTTGTTATTAGGGCTACTTTGATTCCAAATCCTTTGCCTTTATACAATGATCTAATGTACCCTGTTATTGGTAAACAGGATTTTCAATAGTGTTATATTTGATGATTTTCTTTTTCAGGAATGCAGAAACAGTAGACAAATTCTGGAAAACTTGGAATGTACCAGTTCATCGTTGGTGTGTAAGGTAAGTAAATAGTTTACTGTCACTACACATGAATAAATGAATCCCACATGTTTATTACCATTAAATTGCTGGAATTTTGCCATTCATGACTTTTATTCGCTATGGTAATACATTGAATTACCAAAAATATTGGACAGTACAACAGACCATACACACCACCAATACCAGTCTTACCAGACTCCTTTGAAAAAAATAAACAGACAAACAGACAAAGTACAAGGAACACATGGTTGAGATAGTCTGACTTGGTTCAGGAAAAAAAAAATGTTTGCCAGTTTTTCATTTAGATATATAAAAGAACAAAAGAGTAATTTGACAATAGTGTATTCATTTTCTGTTGATATAATTTTATTTCAGACATCTGTTTAAACCACTTGTAAAAAGGGGATATTCCAAAATGTTTGCATCAGTGGCTGTCTTTGCATTATCAGCATTTTTTCATGAAGTAAGTTTTAATACCATACTTGATTAAATGTATCAAAGTTTCATCTATCTAATATCATTTATTTTCAGATTTATTTATGATAAAAAAAATTATCTTTCATAAAGTGGCATCAGCTGCCAAATTCATTACCACCGATTGACTCATTCTTTGATTTATAAAACACTAAAATATGTACCTGAATTACTGCTGATACTTTGAATTTTTCAGTATGTTTAAATAAACTTAAAATTTTTCATCACACTTTTCTCAAGTTCTCTTGAACAGAAAGACTTCATTGTTTATCTGTTGTTATCTGATACTTTAAATTACAGTTGGGGGTATGCTTAACAATGACATCATGTACATAATTGTTTGGTATTACAGATAATTCTTTGTTCTATTGTATTTTTCCATTTAGGCCTGTATTTTCTTCATAAATAATTTTTTCATTACAGTTTATAGTCAGTGTACCATTAAGAATGTTCCGAGTATGGGCGTTCTCGGCAATGTTGGGTCAGGTAAGTTTTCTTTACACTTTTGGTTTTCCATTGATTCCTTTATCAATGAAAAAGATGCTGCTTTTTTCTTTGACTGTTTGTAAATATTTGATATTATTGTTTATCCAGCTGTAGACAGGGGTCAATCAATTTCTGACATTTTCTATAACACCATTATTCCTCCTTCAGCATCATATACATTTAGAGAAACTATAGCCAAAAAGAAGTGGTATGATAAGAGTTACTATTGCATTTTATGTCTACCTTTGGATTTGTATATTATTTTGACAAAGTGACATGTAGGCACACACAATAAATCTTTTCCAATGAAAGTGTGCCAGACTTGGCTTCAGATATCCTTCAGGTGTCTAGTTCTTTTTATCTATTAATCCAATCACGCAGCTAACATTGCTGCTAATGAAACATCAAGGTTGTTAATTAGGACCCAGCCATCTATTGCCAAAAGGTCAAGAACTTATTTGAAAGTTGAAAAATGAAGGTCCATTTTGATGGATCTTATCTCCTTATATTGAATATCCCTTGGACTCAATAATTGATATTTGGTATGAGTGTTTACATCTACCAAACAATTTCTGAGGAACATGTAATTTCATGTGCCATTTTAAAATGCTGTGCCTTTAGTAAATGTTTATCTACAAAGTGTTATGTCCATGTATTGTGTAATCAATACATCCATCTATCTTATAAAAATCTTTTTCCTGAGTATGAACTAAATTATAACAAATTATAATAATAATTTAGTAACTGCATGTGTATTTTTTATTATGCCCCTGCCGTAGCGGAGGGGGCATTAAGTTTTACCCTTGTCTGTCTGTACGTACGTCCGTAAAGTTATGTATGCCCCTTTATAAATGGAAAAAAATGCATAATTTTTAGTTTCTGTTCTCTAACTTAAGTTGCCTCCACCAAATGTTATGAAACTTATACACAATGCTTTTTACCACAAAACACAGATCAAGTTGAATTTTGGTGGCGTCACTTTAATCATTATCGAGTTATGCCCTTTATAAATCGAAAAATTGCAAAATTTTTAGTTTCCATTCTGTAACTTAAGTTTGCCCCAACCAAACATTATGAAACCTTTACACAATACTTATTACCACGAGACTCAGATCAAGTACAAATTTGGGTAGCGTCACTTTTATTGTTCTTGAGTTATGTCCCTTTATAATGTTGTATGCAAGCGGGGGCATCATCTGTGTCCATGGGGACACATTCTCCATTTTTATTTTTAATAAAAATTTACATATATTTTGATATACTTTCAGGTGCCGTTTTCATTATTTGTCAACAAATATTGTCATCATGAGAAGTATGGTAACATGGCCGTGTGGTTGTCTCTGATACTAGGACAGCCTATTGCTATATTTGCATATGTTCATGACTATTACATAATACATTATGCAGCACCTACCTAAACTACTTAGCAGCATTCTTTTCTTAACTGTGATACATAATAAGAACAATATATAGACTTCAGGTTTATACTGAATTGAAAAAAAATGTTTAAAAAAATCATTTATATCATATTGTTATGATCAATTCTATCTGATAGATGCCATAATGGTTAATTTAGGGCCAACAAGCATTGTATAAACATGATGAGTACTTGTCCCTTCAAATGTATTTCAACATTCAAGTTCAATTTTTTTGCTGTTTTCATCAAATTGTTCAGTTTAAATCAATATGTTTTCTGTTTTGTATTACATATATACAGTATTATAATATTTGATTTGTCAAAAGGCAGCTAAAAGCTCCTTACTTTTCAAAATCATGGATGACAGTATCTGTAGGGAAATTGACACTTAAAAATCTTTAAGGACATGTTTATCATGGACATAGACACTGCTTTTAAGGAAAAAAGATGTTCTTATATAGATAAACCTAGCTTCAGATAAGGTATGAAAGATGTCATTTGAATAGCTTTATTAAGATGAAAATATAGTAATACTTTGTAAGATGATCATTATTTTACCATATAACAATTTCATAATTATTAGAATTGATGGTAATGATATTTTTGTTCAACTGCTCCTGCTTTATGTGAATAACATCAAACTCCTTGATGTTATAGTTTCTATCTAAGTAATGAACATATTGTCTCCATTAAAATATAAGATGCTAAATCAAGCACATGCAGAATGGAAACGGTGAATCAAAGGAGAAATATAAACTCTCATAAACAATTCAGAAGTGTTAAAATTTTCATATTTATATTTGCCTTTATAAGTTTAACCAATGCAAACACAATTACTTTTTATTTTATATAGTATATATGTATATCAGTTTGACACTTTCTTACAATTTTTTCGGACAACTTGTCATATTTAGCATTTTAAATGTTGTTTCGTTTCACCTCAATAATTGTCAATGAGTGAGGCATAGGTATTTTCTGGTGGCAGCAGCATCATATGTTACGTGTTCTTATTTGGTATATTTCAGAAGAAAATTATGGTACACTTCTTTGTGTACAATACATTCAAAATATCATGCAACATTTTAGATGCTGCTTCCCTAGAATGCTTCAGAGACTTTATTTTTTAAATTATTTATTTTTTAATTACACATGCTTTTGATTTTTTTTATAATAGACCATTGATATGTGGAATTTTATATTTTTCAAATCTTAATACATGTTTCTCATTTGTACTGATATTGTAAGGCCCAATTTTTTAGTCATGGTCTACTAAGTTATAAGTATTAGTGTTTAGTATTCAGATTTGAAAAGCTCTTATCAGTACATAAATAAGGATGTCCATTCCCATATATAGGAGTTATGTGGGAGTTTATCAAATAACTGGTTCCAATCTTGCTGCAAACCAGGTGACATATCTTTCAGTCTAATTGGTATTTTTTGTTTGTATAATTTAGACTGTGTTTGCTTTGTTTTGCACTGAAGCTTAATTATTTGTAATTTTCAATGTAACCTTTGTTTAAGTTGATAGAAATTGAAATTGCTTTACAAACATTTTGTAAATATGCTTTAGGGATTAAAAATATGAACTGTAAATCCATCCAAAATAGTCTGTTTAGAAACTTGTTATTAATTAGATGTGCAAGAACATGTCTAATTTTATACAAAGGATTATTAATATGTGGAGTGCAGTAACAAAGCTTGTAATTTACAATCTATGTATTTCAATGTTGATGGCATCATTGCACCATAAATGTCTTGTTTTTTTATAATGTTGTTTACTCTCCAATTAAACCCTGAATTAAACAATGTAGGCGGCTGACATGTTATACAAATTAATTTATTGACCATTGGATTCATTTCAATATAAAATATAAGAATTTTTTACATTGATAATGTAACTGCAAATAGTTAGATATAATTCCATAGAAAACATTGTTTTATAGTTCCTACAGCAACTTTCTCAGATCACCAGGGTCCAGCTGAAGCTCACTAAACATTTTTCTTTGTATACAAAATTTACCTCAGTTTCATTTCTTTGTGCCATATTTGTGTTATTACTATTATTGTATACTATTTCATCTCATCTGCTTCAAAGACAGTTTCAGGTATTGTGATCACTTGGCATTCAACAGTTTATATATTTGTAATAAAATGAATATAAGAGAAGAATTTCAATGAATTAAGAAAAAGTTTGAAAAAATAAATTGCAAGAATTCGAAGGCATATGTATTTTACATCATGTAAATTGATTTTGTCTAAAAACTATTAAAAAATAAATTTTGGGGTGAGATTTTGTTTGTAATTAGTCTTTTTTTTTAGCTCACCTGACCTGAAAGGTCAAGTGAGCTTTTCTCATCACTTTGCGTCTGTCGTCCGTCGTCCTGCGTCCGTCGTCCGTAAACTTTTACAAAAATCTTCTCCTCTGAAACTACTGGGCCAAATGCACCCAAACTTAAACACAATCATCATTCAAGTATCTAGTTTAAAAAATGTGTCCGGTGACCCAGCCAACCAACCAAGATGGCCGCCATGGCTAAAAATAGAACATAGGGGTAAAATGTAGATTTTGGCTTATATCTCTGAAACCAAAGCATTTAGAGCAAATCTGACATGGGGTAAAATTGTTTATCAGGTCAAGATCTATCTGCCCTGAAATTTTCAGATGAATCGGACAACCCGTTGTTGGGTTGCTGCCCCTGAATTGGTAATTTTAAGGAAATTTTGCCGTTTTTGGTTATTATCTTGAATATTATTATAGATAGAGATAAACTGTAAACAGCAATAATGTTCAGCAAAGTAAGATCTACAAATAAGTTAACTTGACCAAAATGGTCAGTTGACCCCTTAAGGAGTTATTGCCCTTTATAGTCAATTTTTAACCATTTTTCGTAAATTTTTTTAATCTTTTACAAAAATCTTCTCCTCTGAAACTACTTAGACAAATTTAACCAAACTTGTCCACAATCATCATTAGGGTATCTAGTTTGAAAAATGTGTCCGATGACCCCGCCCGCAAACCAAGATGGCCGACATGGCAAAAAAATAGTACATAGGGTAAAAAGCAGTTTTTGGCTAATATCTCTGAAACCAAAGCATTGAGAGCAAATCTGACAAGGATAAAATTGTTCATTAGGTCAAGATCTATCTGCCCTGAAATTTTCAGACCAATCAGGCAACACGTTGTTGGGTTGCTGCCCTTGAATTGGTAATTTTAAGAAAATTTTGCAGCTTTTGGTTATTATCTTGAATATTATTATAGATAGAGATAAACTGTAAACAACAATAATGTACAGCAAAGTAAGATCTACAAATAAGTCAACATGACCAAAATTGTCAATTGACCCCTTAAGGAGTTATTGCCCTTTATAGTCAATTTTTTACAATTTTCATAAATTTTGTAAATTTTTGTAAATTTTTGCAAAATATTTTCCACTGTAACTACTGGGCCAAGTTCATTATAGATAGAGATAATAGTAAGGAGCAAGAATGTTCAGTAAAGTAAGATCTACAAACACATCACCATCACCAAAACACAATTTTGTCATGAATCCATCTGTGTCCTTTGTTTAATATGCACATAGACCAAGGTGAGCGACACAGGCTCTTTAGAGCCTCTAGTTTTGTAATTCCACAAGTTGTCTCCAGTTAAATGAATGCGCAAGAGTTGGTTCTTTAAAAAAGAAAAATCAATTATATATTCATAAATAAATGTGCATATTTTAGGACAATCAAGCTGAAAAAGTTTACATTTAGATAAAATAGAACTTCTATTGAAATTGCACAAGAAACCAGTCAAATTTTTCCATGGATCACAAATTTGTATACTTTCTTAATTTGAAATAATAAAATAAATCTGTGTTTCAGTGGTGCTTAGTCTCAAGCAATGTCTTTGCACAAAATAAACTTTGAACTTTAGGAATGCATCATAACATTGTCATCAAAATCTTCTATTTAATCATGCTACAGATTTACCATAAATCAATTCAGTGTCTGACAGGTATTGTTCCTATTCTTTTCTTTTCATAATGGATGAATAATATGAAATAAATTTTTTATATCTTAAAATAGTTGGTGTTGATTATTTTTCAAATAAATCCATGACTGCAAACACTGCATTGGAGATTTACATTTTAGCTGACACATATGACAGCATAGATTTGTGCATCGGTTATTGATAAAAGAAACTTTTATCTCACTTAATAGTTTTGAAATGCATGCTTATCTGAGGACCTAAACAAAGATTACTCTGACTTTCAACAACCTTACATAAAATTTAAGTTCTGATTTCATATAATAATCAAAGGTATCAGGGTTATAATTTAAAACATCAGATGCTAGTTTACATCAACACAAGACTCGTCAGTGGAACTCAAATCAAAATAGTTGGCAGGCCAGAACTAATACAAATTTAAAGAGCATTAAAAACAGGAATTACAAAATGTTTTGCAAAATCCAGATAAGGCTATCTATGCCCAGAGGGTGAAAAATCTTAGTGTTTCAAATAATTCAACATTTTATAAACAGTCATTAACAAAAAATGATAGTATCAATAGTTAATGTCATCACAATAGTGCTGATTACTTGGCTGGTGATACCTTCAGAGATCAAACGTCCAGCAGCAGTAGCAACATTCCAGTAATTGTAAATTAATGTAAGTAAATTGGTTTTATGAGAAAGATCAAATAAAATTTTTCATCAAGAGCAGCATTCCATTTATTTCCATACCAGACTGCTATATTACAAGGAATACTAGTTATGATAACAAGCATTCTGAGAGTATTGCATGGCAATACATAGTCCCCTACCGGGTAAAAATTCATTATACTGGAACAAAATACTAACTTGTTCTATAACTTGTCATGGTGTAAACAAAAAGTAAATATCATGTCAATATCTTCAAGCATGACAAAAAACAGTGTTGAAAACTGATTATATGAGTGAATTTTTCAAGTCCAAGGACCATAACTCTGAACAAAATTATTAGACAGAAACAAAAATTTGAACTTGATCTGTAACTTGTCATGATAAAACTATATACCAATTATCAATCAATATCTTATAAGCATGATGAAAAAAACATTAGATATGATTAATAGTTCTCTAGAATTAGATATGATGTAATACAGTGTATATCTATTTCAAATTATAATCAGATATAATTAATAGTTCCAAATATTTTTTTCTTTCATTTGTCACAAACTAATATAGATTTGTAACTTATCTATAAAATGTCAACAACTTTTATCTACACAATGTAATGTATTGAAATATATACATTAATAAAAATAGATTATTATCTAATTAAAGGATTTCTCTTCATATTTTTTTTTTGATATATATAGCATTCAGAAAATTAGTTTATACTAAATAACAAACAAACCTGTCAAAAAATTCTTCAAATAATTTAACAAAGAATGTCTTAAAAAATGAGTTATCTCCCTTTGTACAGAAATATGGTTTAACATAGTACTCTAACATTAGATATGGTCCAGAGTTATGGTCCATAACTCTAGACTTAATCATCAGACCGGAACAAAATTCGAACTTGATCTATAACTTGTCATGATAAAACTATATACCAAATATCAAATCAATATCTTCAAGAACGAAGAAAAAAAGTGCAGAAAGCTGATTTGCCGGACTGACGGATGGACAGACGGACAGACAGACGGAGTGCAAACCTTAAGTCCCCTTCGACTTCGTCTGTAGGGGACTAATAAGATTACATTGTACCAGCGTTGATGCACCAGATATACATTTTGACAAATAAGGTCGCTTCATTTATATTCAAGAATATTTTGGAATCTTAAACCTAAAACAAAGTGCTATAATAACTATCTAACCAAAACTTTGAATTAAACCTAAGACAATCTCAAAATCAATTTCACAATCTTAGACACTGCAAATTTATTGTCTTGCCTGAAAGACATATGTATTACTTTCCTGATGGCAACAAAGCAAATGGTCGATGTACAATTTGTTTAACCGCAATATGTTTTCCCAAATTGGATGACAAAAATTGCTCAAGTGGTCTGGTTAAGTTTTCAGAATGAGGTCTGTTCCTCAGTTGCTATACATATATGCATAGAAGGTTTACATTATTTGGTTTACTGATTGTCTATGAGTACATTATGTCATATGGTATACCTTATTTTCATGCTATATTGGTCAAGTTATGTTTTAACTGATGAGGTCTGTTTTTCAGAAAATTAAACTTATAAGGAATTTGTACTTACCATGAGCAACCTTACATGTTCCACAAGTGGAGCAGGATCTGCTTACCCTTCCAGTGCACATGAGATCATCCCACCCAGTTTTTGGTGGGGTTCATGTTGCTTAAGTCTTCAGTATGCTATGTAGAGTTATGAACTTGCTTGTCTTTTTGTTGTGTTTCATTTTTGCCACAGTTTTATCAGTCTTTCTTCGACTCATGAGCTCTTCCTTTTTTTATAGACTAAACATGATGGGTCAGTAATTTTTTGTTTGTAAAAATTTTGTCAAAAGAATGTCTGTTTGACATATTTTACATGATTTTGACCTCAATTTTACCCTCTTTTAATCAAGTTAACTGTTCAGAGTAGGTTCTGTTCCTAAGCAACTATATATGATGAATTAACTTTAAAAAATCTAAATATCTACATATGAGGTGCATATTTTCATGTATATACAAATATTTTAAATGCTTGGAGGCTCATAGTTTAAAACTGTAGGAGTTGCTTACACTTAATATGTTTCCCCATTTAAGCGAATTCACCATCCAGGTCACCCAACATTCACCATTCTATAAACCAATCCACCCACCTGACAAGCTGGATTTACACTTCCACAACATGGTCAAAAAGTGACCTTTTAAAACCAAGACTTGCTTCAGGTGACCATTATTAAACTTAGCAAAATTATATATTTTTAATGAATGACATTCATACATTATATCTGATAAGTTTAGCCATGTAGTTTTTGAGGTTTTAAAGATGAAGATATGATTTGACAGTTAAGATGACAGACAACAAATTCCAAGTGATGGCAAAATTTATTACTAGGTACTGACAAGCCTTAAATGGACTTTCCCATTAGAATTGTTTTACATTTGTCATTTCATGGCCTTTTATAACCAACTATGCGGTATGGGTTTTGCTCATTGTTGAAGGCAGTACAGTGACCTACAGTTGTTAACTTCTATGTCATTTGGTATCTGGTGGAGAGTTGTCTCACTGGAAAATATACCACATTTTCTTATTTTTATATTTAATCTGCTTATATTCATGTAAGAAAAAGAAAAAAAATACTGGAAGAAAAATGATATGCTATAATGTATGAACTGTTAAATGATAGCTAATATAAATGTTGAACATTTTATTTTTCTGTTTTCGCTGTACATTCAACATTGTATTTAATGGAACAACAGAACATTTTCATAATCAATATGAATACTGCTTGCTTTCATAACTGCATAATCTTCCAAAGATATTTTCATAATAACAATGTCATTTTCAACAAATCTGAAGTTGTTTTCCAATCTGGTATTTACTTCCTGATACAAATATGACACAGAAGTGACTGACAGATGATTATTCCATGCAGTAATGTCATAAAATTACAACATCATCTTCAGATTCTTCTGGTATACTGGACAACTTCATACGCTTAGCAGTCTTCTCATCGATATCTATATCTTCAGCTTTTCTCTTTCTCTGTTCTACTACTGGTTCTTCGACTGGTTCTTCAACCACCATTAGATCATCATCATCTGAAAATGAATATAATATACATATGTATATGATTTAAATAAAAAATCTTTATAAATAGAACAATGTATGTAGCTATAGTGATGATTGGCTTTTGTTTGTCATTACATTTATAGTAGAAAATATTTCATGCATATTCAGGATCAGAACCAAATTAACAAGTAGGCTATGCAAAGTATGAAGACCTGAGTTAAAGAAAGGAACTTTGCACAGCCACTGAAAAATAAGGAAAAGTATGTTGGATAGGAAAAGCAATGGAACATGGGTCTTTTAACATGCATAGGGCTTGACACTTTCCCTATGGAAATATTGAATTTAATGCCCTCATTCCAACCAGATGGTTGTGTATTGATACCCTCTGAGCCAAATGAATGTCCCTAAGACAGAGAAACAACTAGAATGCATACACTGTTGTGCTTTGTTGAGCTAAGCACGCACCAATGGGTAATTCAAATTATGGGAAAACAGGAAGACGAAGTCCAACAGATCTGAAACAGAGTAAATGTTTAAACTCAACACTGCGTTTCTTCTAACCAAATATAGAGAATTTCTGTTTATTGATAGTAGTACTGGAGTAATCAGATTTGGATCCAGATCCAATCAATGGTAAAATCAATATAAATCAAGCCCCCATGAATTATTTCTATTCTAATAGGAGAAAGATGGCAATTTCTTTATCAAAATGCTCTAGGTGAAGGCACATATTTGCTGTTCTTGTAATTAACTCACTATCAATTTTGACTTCCAATATGTATTCATTCCTAAAAACCACAAATAAATATTTTAGACCCTAATCTATTTCATTTGTATTAGTTACTTGATAACTGAACAAATTTAATAAATCTGACTTTTATTTAAGAGAAATTCTTATCATCTTTTGTCTATATTTCAATCTTTTAACAATTTCACATTCATGCATCTTCCCGTACAATGCTTTTGTCCTAACGGTCAAGTGTTAGAGTCAATCGTTTAATGATGTCATTTACACCGATTGACCTCGGGTAACTCATTCATTAAAAGCTTGTGACATGGGAGTATGATTGGAACAACTCAAATAAATCATGATGTTGCAGATCAGCTGACATACAATATATTCGTATTTTAACATGGGTATACCCAGTACTAAAAGCATTTGAAGAACGTCATATTAAAATTTACAAATAAACAGTCTTTGACATGCGATTGGGAAAAGAATATGACCTTTTAAATGCAAAGAATTGATCAAATATTGACTGAAGACCATTTTAATCACATTTAACCAAAGTAATAATAACAAATATATTTTGGTAAAAATCAAAATCATACACTTTAAAATTGTTTGAAAACACTCTCATCATTAAAGACAAAAAACTGTTAGGCAAACCATAAACTGATTTCATCATTTCAGAGTACCATTTGAATCACTGAACTTTATTTTGTTGAAATTTTTATTAGCCATAATTCTTGAACTATATAAAAAAATTCATACCAAAAATAAAACTTAACAACAATTTTATCAATTGTATAAATGAGGAAACCAAATCATCTAATGAGCTCAACTGCAATCAAGTTATTATCACCAAGTTTTGAGACACGCTTCTCTAAATAACTGAATTTTCCTTAAATGTTTTATTTGCTTTAAAGTGACCTTGTGACCTAAAGGGGTGACCTAAAGGGGTACCCTACTGAAGCCCCACAAATACAAACCATCATCCTGTTTATTTTCCTCCTGTCCACCATTAACTCCATTAGGTGTTTCTGCTGTGGCTTTCAATTCAGATAAATCTCCTACAATAACAAATTCTTTCTCCTCTTCTAACTTATCTCTACAAGTATAAAAGTATTTATAAATTATAAGATATCAAAAGAGTAAAAAGTACTGATTGTACATTTCCGTGTGTGTTTAATATTTAAAGGCAATAGCTTAAGTGCTTCAGCTAAAAATTGAAAGGGGCAGGGTGCCGGTGGAATGCAGGGCACTTTTTGAGGTTGGGGAAAGGTCACTTCTCAAATTTTTTGTCTATGTTTCTGTGCGTATTCTTCATGGCTTTTTATCACATGTTCACATTGTGTATTACTGTATATGATGACAATAAAGATTGCATAAGTTATTGTTAATTATTTATTATATTATAAAATCTGCAAAACATGATTTTACGTTGTTTGTAACTGTGTCAGAACTTTGCTCAGTGAGTAGGTTATGTTGTCCAATGATCCTGGCCTTATAATAAGCTAATGTTCTGTATATGCTTCAGAATAGAGAAAATATTTCAAAATAAAAAATAAAAAATATAGAGAAAATTTGTATAAAAATAAAGAATACAGAATATAATGACCCAAACCCCCTCCCCAAACCAAGACCTTCTTAATTTTGCACCATTATTCAAAAGTCCTCCTAAACCTTTAAGTTCTAAAGTCAGAAGTATGCAGACAGATCTTCTTCGGAGGATTATACACAGTTGAAGTGAATGCAATGTCCACTGTTTTGTTATTTTAATATTATTATAATATATTTAATATCAGAAGTGAGGGCAGGCAAAGACAAACTAATATATCGTATATTAATAATTCAAAAAATCGCAGATACTGATTTGAGTCTTTGTTGAAGAACAAATTGATAGATGAGTTTGTCTTTGCGAACTTCTTCTTGTTGCTAACAAGTTGAGAATGACAATGTTTCTGCGAAGGCATGGTTGTATTTGAATGTCTTAAAATCTATTTTGGTGTGGAGATCAAACACACCGACAAACACAACACGCACTGACACATTCATCAAATTTAAATTCAATTATGATATGGACAATAAGGTAAATTGTCTTAATTACCTAGTAATTAACACCTTAGAAGTCTTATCTACAGTAATTGATTCTGATGACTTAATTAACCTCAGGGCAATCATCAGTTGTCATGAATGTAATTGAACTTTCTGAAGGGAAATCAATTACACAAAGGGCAATTTTTATAGTACAATGCAATAACAGAACAAGGGCATTTTGGAACAGGGTGTCAGGGCAGAAGGGCGCAGCTTAGGGCACCAAGGGGGCGGTGCCCTTCTAATTTGGAATAACAAGACCACTGGCTTAATATGTTCAATTTCAGTACTATGATATTCAATCAAATCCATCAAGAATATTTTGTTCTCTTTCCCACTTTTGATACTTTTTACTATGGTGTTGCAATCCCTCTTTAAGTTTGATTTATATGTGGTTTTGCAACTTGATAAGCAAGAATGTGATAAAATATTGTATGCAATTGTAAAAATATTCAATCCCCAAACGCTTGAAAATGTAATTGCTACCCTGTCAGTCATGCTTGATTACAGACACCTTTGGAGCCAGACATATAGCCAGAAGCAGTACTTTGTTGCCAGATGAAATTAAAAATTGCATTTGGGACATTGGTAAAGCCCAGCATGATCCCTCAAAACACCTAAGGAGATATTCAAAAGTTGGCAGGTACGGACTTTCAAACCATTATTCATGCTAATTTTAGTAACTTACTTGTGAGCTATGATGACATTTAGATTATAATTCTGAAGGAAATCATCACATTTAAGTATGGTACCACTGGTGATTTTGAAATTACTCAGATGTTTCTCTGCGTTCTCTGTAAAACACAAATTCACTTTATTGTAATATGACAAATTGTTAACTTTAATTAGATATGTCATCCTCTACATATTTATAAGAATGAGTAGTGTGAATGCCATAGAGACGAGTCATCCACCAAATACTGGAAAAGAATATGAAAATTAAAACTTGCATTTTTAATTTTGTTAGCTTTTTTGTATGCAGCATTTCCAGAAATCACAGTAATAAAACTTGCATCTGTGCTGATTGTTCAACAAATACAATAACAAATGCACACAATACATTCTGAATTTACAGTATGTCATCCATTCACAGCAAATAATCATTCTGAATGGGAAAGAACAGTTAGGAAAAAGCTTGCCAGTAAACATATTTATAACCATGTACAAGAAAAAAAATTGAACAGTCTAATAGACATATATATTTACAATCTTACTCATTCATATTATATCTATAAATAAGAAGATGTGGTATGATTGCTAATGAGACCACTTTAGAAGTTAACAACTATTGGTCACCATACAGACTACAACAACGAGCAAAACTCATACTGTATTGTAACCTATAAAAGGCTTCAAAATGACGAATGTAAAACAATTCAAACAAGAAAACTTACAGCCTGATTCATGTATCTACCAATAAAAGAAAAACAAATATGATATACAGCAACAAACAATAACCACTGAATTACATGCTCCTGAATTGGGACAGGCACATACAGAATGTGGCAGGTTTAAACATGTTTGCTCACTATATTACCTTCTGTTTCTCCCTCTTCGCTGGATATTAAGATTGTCCCTACAAAATAAAAAAAAAACATGATGCTGATTATTACAAGTAACTTCTATGCAGTCCAAGATTTAACTTAAATAATGCTTTGTATATCATTCCTTGTTGACTCTGCATCTTTTTTTTTTAATACAAATATGGTTCACTTGTTCTCAGCTTTTCACTGATTAGATTTCAATGATAAAGATTAAAGTTATCTAACATATCATCTGAACAAAAATAGACACTGTGAAGTTTCTCTTCTGCATAATTATAGGTTTTATAATGAGTGAGAATTGGATATAGCTTGATTTCATCTCCAGTTGTTTAATTTCAATATAATAATAAACTAGCCTGTGGCAAGTTTATCATTACTATTTAAATTAGATAACAAGAGTTGATATCAAGCTATATCCAATTCTCACAAGTTGTTAAACCTATTTCTCTTATGGTCAACATTTTTGTTGAGTTGAATAAAAAATTCCATGAATAGTTGATCTAATCTTTCGCACATACCAGCATAATGTCATATGTCCTGTTCCAGCGTCAAACTTCAACATCAGACATTTTAAAACTTTTTGTACGCTTCAGAATGTAATAAAATTTGTTTAATATAAGATTACCAGGTGAAAAGTGTGAGTGTTTTGTACATTATTGAAGAAATCCTATATGCCCGTTGCCATGGACGAAATGTACATTGTCTTAACCTCTGAAAGTTATCAATGACCTAACAAATAGTCAATGGAAATGTCGTAATATCGTCTCATGATGCTGGATAAGCCAATCCAATTAACAGTTTTCATATCACTTTTTTGTATCACACTCCACTCCGTGCAGTGTGATATGAGAAATATCTGCAATAGATAACAGGCCCAACCAACAGAGAAATCGTATTTCACAATAATAACAACCTACTGTATCTTCAAACAATTATAATATTATAAATATGAATATAGTCACTCAGATGTCCTTTCTGCACTATTAGTAATTCTCACCTTTTCCATCATCAATTTCCACATCAGGTGCCACCATACCTAGACCTACTTTTAATACCTGAATAATTTACAGAAAAAAAGTTTTATTTCATTAAATACAAAAGAGTATGTTTAAGGGAATAAAAGTTATTATACAATATGTTTACTGTTAACCATTAATCACTAGTAACAGGAAATGAAGACTTGCATGGGGAAGTCAGCTCTTGAAAGGACAGAACAGCAAATAAAATGTAATCCTAACCCCAAGTTTAATTGTTATTTTCTATGATTTACTAGAATTTCAAAATATATTTTTATGAATTCCATTATTTTCTAGTCAATGTTCCATGTTCAACATATTGAAAATTAAATTATTTTAACAAGAGACAAACAAGGATATGTGTCTATAGGACACTATTCCCTGCATGCACTATCATATGTCCATGTTCACTGAACTGTAAAATCAGGTCAAAATTGTAATTTGGCGTATAGTTTTAAAAGTTCACCTTACAATAATCATGTGTACCGGGTTTCAATTTAAAGTGACAACAACTTCATGAAAAATTACATTAACCAAAAACTTTAACCTGACACTGGACTCACAGACTGATGCACAGACCAGTAAACATCAGTATATTTTATCTATATAGATCGGCTTCCATCTTACAAATCTATATTTACCTTATCTTCTAATTGTTTAACTGTAAACTTCTCTGTATTCAAAACAACTGTGACCTCAGGTTTTGATGAACACACATAACATTTAGGATTTGGTTTATCTAAAGCACAAGGTACAAGTAATTTCTTCCGAGGATTGGCCTGTCTGTTCAGATATATCTGTACAAGAAAAAAATCACCTTTTGAAAACAACTCACTCCTATGTTTATTTACACAAGCGTTTAATTTTGCTTTGTGATTACTATCAGGGATTTGATAAAATTTGTTATGAAAACTTATTACTCATATACAAGTATCATTTCATTATTGAATGGTTTATTTATAATTAAATACCTTTTTCTTTAACAGGTATTGAGTATGTAGGTTGATGTACACTAGTTAAATGTTTTAACATCTATCTATTTGATTTTCAGAAGCAATGAAAAATCGATGAACTTGGCATCAAACAAATCATCACTTGACACATTGGCAAATATTCACGTCATTTCTCTCCAAATCTGAGTACCTTTTGCCTTTGGCAAGTTTGCAAGTGGAGGTTTCTGACACTGTTATAGGTCCAAGGCTCTAAATCAAAATTGTCAGGTGCTATAAATTTGTCCAAATGTAACGGATTTTAAAGGTTAAAAAAAACTTTCTGTGGTGATGAATTTGAAATTTTAGTATCATTGAACATTATAGATAAAACAAAATTTAATTTTCAATGAAAAGAATTTGTTTTTACCTGTTCTAAAACAACTAAAATGTAATTCATACCTGTTTACACTTATCAAAATCTCCATGTAGAACTTTAATCCCCTCCATTACAATGAGGGCAGCTATAATAGCATTTGTTGTAGCTATCGCAGGAATTATATTACCAGCCATAGCTGAAATTATCACAATTTAAAACTGTATCTATAAGCAAAACTTTTTCCTTTCAAATTGTCCCAGTACAGACACCAATTAGAGTCAGTAATAACTTCATTGACTGGCAAATCATTTTAAATAAATGTATTTTTGAATTTGTCAATTTACAGGATAGTTTTTTCTTTTCGTAAAATTTCTTTTAGGCAGTACAAAACAAATAATATTGAGTCGAAGTTAATTAAAGAAAACTAACTAACTTAGATATCCCGATTCCAGAAGAAAAAGCTACAAGTAGCAGAAGTACATTTTATTTCAAATAATAAAGTATACATGGATAAAACTAATGAAAAAACGGCAAAATTTAGATCTACTGCCAACACATTAAAATGATTGATAGATAGTTGAATGATTGTTGTTGTTCTCTAAACTATGAGAGAGTTGTTGCAACGTTTCTTGTTGGTGAGAAACTCTTTAAATGCAGGGAATACAATTTAATGTCTGCATTCCAATGGGGATAAGATGTGTATTTGATACATCCCCCACAACTGTTAACCCCACTTGAATAGCAGCATACCATAAGACATGAAACAATTTTTTTTTAAAAACCTCATGGAAAATATATCTGCATGTTCACAAATTACAATTTGCTTCAGGTAAAACTTACATTTTATGTCAAATCTAGATTTTAAAGAAATACCAAAGATATATGCTCTGATATTAGCTGTACTTGTTACAAAATCCATGGCAATGTCATCATCCTAAAAATAAACACAGATAAAAAAAGTTTAAAAATTTCAAATATACATGTGGACTAAATAAATGATACACTTTTAAAAGTGTTCTCACCACATTATTTCTCTGTTATTCATTTTCTTTAAATATTTGTATTTCACAATTTATTGGCAAATACAGAGGCATTTGATTTCATGAAGTAATTCTGATGTTTACATCAGCCATTTAAGTTTACTTCTGACACATTAAATATTCAAATTAATCTTGAAATATGACAATCAATAAAAATCAATTAATTAAAGTGATTCCTTTCTTCCTTTGCCTAGTATATATATCTTACATGAAGAGTTTAAAAAAGCTAGGAAGACTGAAAAGCTTTTTGAGAGATTGATTCAAACACAACTGGACATACTATTGTACTAACATCTGCACTTAGAAAATGTTCTGAAATTCCCTCAAAATTGTTCGAAATCAAACAATCACTTAATAAAACTTTCAAAATTGAAATGAAAGAACAGCTAAATAGATATTTGTCTGTTTTAACTTGAAACATGTATTTTGTATGCTGTGCAGTTTTTCATCATGCTCCCAAACTCCTTCTTTCAAATTCTTAGTGCATGGATGCCAATCCCTGTTTAATCTAATCTTGAAATATATCTTAGAGATGTGATTAATTTTTTAAAATTATTGATTTTCATAGCTGTAAAAATTCTTCCATAAAGTTTCCTTAAATACTATAAGAAATTAAACAACAGATAAATTATATTCTTTCAAATTATTGATTTCCCTTTTTTTTTTTTTAAATTAATACTCTCATTAAGACTGTGGGATATTTGTTTACACAAAGACCTTAAATTTAAAGTTGTTCCTATTTGATATTGTCATACTCTATCATTATGAAGCTTAAATATTGCATGTCTCGTATTATTGAGGAATACCATATTAACACCACATGTGTGATCTATGCATATCCATACAATCTATATCTACCTTAATCAAAAACAGAAATAAGTTGAAATTCTGAAACTTTCACTTTTGAGGCAAAACTTTTTTTTTTTGTCTATAACCAATATGTTTTACCTTTTGAGATTGATGTACACTATGATAATAATATGTATTGATTCATATGGTCTAGAACATAAATTAAAAAAAAAGTACAACTCAATCTCCCTATACTCTATACTCCTGGTAAAAGCTGTTGGAACATATTTTGTTCATATTAAACAGAGTTTGGTTTATTCATGTCAAATTGATAAATAATATTCAATGCTGTCTTGTTATATGAGTTCAGTTTTAACAGGTGTCTGGATTCTATTTAAAATGCTTTAAACCCGCAGCATTTTTGTGTCTGTCCCAAGTCAGGAGCCTCTGGCCTTTGTTAGTCTTATATGTTTTTTTGGGTCTTTTTTTTTAAATTTTGGTTCATTTATATGTTTCGGAGTTTAGTGTGACTTCGGCTGTTTTCTGCTCTTTGGTCGGGTTGTAGTCTCTTTGACACATTCCCTGTTTCCATTCTCAATTTAATTCCCTGTATTTAGCACCGTACCTTATCCCATACCAGTATACCATCTCCCTGCTGATGTACTTGGTCTCTAAGTTTAGATAAGCATGTTGAGAAAACATCAGAACATTCCTGTATAGACCAAACTCTCTGGTCTCTCATACCTGTTTCTAAACTTTTATCTGTATAAAAAAATAGTATCATTATATTATATATGACCTAATACCTTTTTTCCCAAATCTATTATTTAACTGGGATAAATATCTCAAATTAAAAATCTCTGATTTTTTTGGTTTGCATCTAAACCTGTTTCTGTTTATTGAAATATCCTTAACTTTTCATAGAGGAAGTTCCATAATTTATTATGCACATCCCTATTAAGCATATGGTCACAACACAGTAGTGAAACACAACCAAAATTTTCCTTTTTTGAAAAAAATTCATATATTCTTAAGGTGACTTTCTAGAACCATTCTCAACTGGAATAATCTGCATTATGTTGTTTGACAGCAGTTGGAGTGATTGACCAATCTACTTTATTGGTTTAAGGAAATGATTTCTTTATAGTTTTGTTGTAACTAGTCCATAGTAGGATTTTTCAAACATTTTTTATTTGTATTTTACATATCAACTTACGTCAACTGGCAAGTTATAAATCTTACAGATTAACTTTCATCACCTAGCAAGATAAAGTTGACCTTAGATGGATTTGGCTATTTGTTTTAGGTATTTTTGTCATATAGCTCTTCAACTGTTTCGGTACTTATACATCCCTCGGATTTCAAATGTTTGGCTTTGAGCGTTCCTGATGAAGGTAAATCCAGAAAAGCGCTTCGGACGCATGAAATTATTAAACGTGTTGTGTTCAATTTTTTACATCACTGGGTCGATACCTCTGCTGGTGGACTATCAGTCCCCGAGGGTATCATCAGCTCAGTAGTCAGTACTTCGATACTGACATGATTTATAACAAACTTTTCTAAAATTGCCCGTTTATAAATTTTGAAATTATAAAGAAACTAAGGTTTCAACTCCCTCAGGCAAAGTTGACCTTAGATGGATTTGGCTATTTGTTTTAGGTATTTTTGTCTTATAGCTCTTCAACTGTTTCGGTACTTATACATCCCTCAGATTTCAAATGTTTGGCTTTGAGCATTCCTGATGAAGGTAAATCCAGAAAAGCGCTTCGGACGCATGAAATTATTAAACGTGTTGTGTTCAATTTTTTACATCACTGGTTCGATACCTCTGCTGGTGGACTATCAGTCCCCGAGGGTATCATCAGCTCAGTAGTCAGTACTTCGGTACTGACATGATTTATAACAAACTTTTCTAAAATTGCCCGTTTGTAAATTTTGAAATTATAAAGAAACTAAGGTTTCAACTCCCTCAGGCAAAGTTGACCTTAGATGGATTTGGCTATTTGTTTTAGGTATTTTTGTCATATAGCTCTTCAACTGTTTCGGTACTTATACATCCCTCGGATTTCAAATGTTTGACTTTGAGCATTCCTGATGAAGGTAAATCCAGAAAAGCGCTTCGGACGCATGAAATTATTAAACGTGTTGTGTTCAATTTTTTACATCACTGGGTCGATACCTCTGCTGGTGGACTATCAGTCCCGAGGGTATCATCAGCTCAGTAGTCAGTACTTCGGTACTGACATGATTTATAACAAACTTTTCAAAAATTGCCCGTTTGTAAATTTTGAAATTATAAAGAAACTAAGGTTTCAACTCCCTCAGGCAAAGTTGACCTAAGATGGATTTGGCTATTTGTTTTAGGTATTTTTGTCATATAGCTCTTCATCTGTTTCGGTACTTATACATCCCTCGGATTTCAAATGTTTGGCTTTGAGCGTTCCTGATGAAGGTAAATCCAGAAAAGCGCTTCGGACCCATGAAATTATTAAACGTGTTGTGTTCAATTTTTTACATCACTGGGTCGATACCTCTGCTGGTGGACTATCAGTCCCCGAGGGTATCATCAGCTCAGTAGTCAGTACTTCGGTACTGACATGATTTATAACAAACTTTTCTAAAATTGCCCGTTTATAAATTTTGAAATTATAAAGAAACTAAGGTTTCAACTCCCTCAGGCAAAGTTGACCTTAGATGGATTTGGCTATTTGTTTTAGGTATTTTTATCATATAGCTCTTCAACTGTTTCGGTACTTATACATCCCTCAGATTTCAAATGTTTGGCTTTGAGCGTTCCTGATGAAGGTAAATCCAGAAAAGCGCTTCGGACGCATGAAATTATTAAATGTGTTGTGTTCAATATTTTATACATCTTGCAAATTAACTTTCATCAACTGCCAAGTTATAAATCTTACAGATTAAATTTCAACATACAAGTTATAAATCTTTCATCAACTGGCAAATTATAAATCTTAGAGTAATTTTCATTAACTGGCAAGTTATAAATCTTGCAGATTTAACTTTCAACTGGCAAGTTAAATATCTTACAGATTAACTTTTATCAACTGGAAAGTTATATATTTTTCAAATTTACTTTCATCAACTAGCAAGTTATTTATCTTACAGATCAAATTTCATCAACTGGCAAGATATATCTTATAAATAACTTTCATCAACTGGCAAGTTATATATCTTATAAATAACTTTCATCAACTGGTAAATTATAAATCTTATAGGTACTTTCCATCAACTGGCAAGTCATAAATCTTAGAGATCAACTTCATAAACTGGCAAATTATAAATCTAAAGATCAACTTTCACCAAATTGTAAGTTATAAATCTTACAGATTAACAGTCAGGCGAGCTATATTCTGTTAACAGGTGGAGATAGTTTACAGATGAACTTACATTAACATGTGAGCTATTAATCTTACAGATTAGCTTCCATCAACAGTTGAGCTATATTCTGTTAACAGATGGAGATATATGGTTACAGATCAACTTGCATTAACAGGGGAGCAATAAATTTTACAAGACAACATCCATTAACAGGTGAGCTATAAATATTACAGATTAACTTCCATTGACAGATAAGTTGTAAATCTGACAAACTAACTTCCATTAACAGTTGAGCTATACATTTTATAGATCAACTTTTATTTAAGCATTGCATTCAAACAATCCAGAATATAAACAAACCTTTTGGTAAATCAGAATACTCAAGTGGAGTTGGTGGTCGTCGTTTCTTCCATAAATTTTCCATTGATAATAAATATTTTATATCATCTTTAAAAAACTGAAAAATACAAATGATTGAAATGACAGAAAATAAATTGAAATGGGACATTGAAAATATGCAATCCCTAAAATTTTAGGACAAATTTAAGGACAGATGTTCTCTCGAAAATGTGGACAAATTAAATGTACACAGATGGGATTCCCTGTCACTAATCACAAAAAAATTCCTAGACATAAGAACTTCTTGTATTCTAACTAAAGCAGGTAAACAAACAGAATATAACTTGGTCCCTCCCATTACATCATTAGTTTTTAAGATTAAGTGTTAGATGTAAATTCTATGTTAATCCTGACCTCTAAATATCTATAAAACCTTTGTTGTTAGGCTGTTGTCTCAGAAAAATTAAGATAACAAGGAAGTTATACACCTGTAAACAAAGCAGATTTCAGTAATCTTGGTAAATTTGTTAAAAATAAATTACATAAACATGATAAATTTTCTATACCACCAGTGATCATGAATGAGCTATTTAATGAGTTAACAAAACTTGATATAAACAAAGCATTTGGTATGGATAATATTGGACCAAAAATCCTAAGATTAAGTGCCCCTTTTATTGCATCACCTCTCACATACATATTTAACCGAGGCTTTAATTAAAATATTGTTTGTTTGCAGTTTACCGACCGACCCTCGAAAATCCGCCCGACTGTGAAAATTTTATTGCTTTTAATTTGAAGAAATTATTTTTATTTTTCTATTGACGCAATCCGGAACTTCTGGTCGTTTCTGGAATTGATTTAAAGTCTGGGTCAATTACACGTTTCAAGTTCGGTTTTTCTTACTTTCTTGTCAAGCGAACATGGGACCGTTTAATAATAAAGCACATGGAGATTGTTTACAAGTATCGATGAAGACATGGATGAGTACTTTGCGCTGTCGTTTTCTGTCAATTTTAAAACAAATAACAACCAAAAAAGTTTAATAGTAAACTGTTTATACAGATTCAGACAGATATCATTGACGATTTGAGAACACATGATGCAGCGGATATTCATAAAACCGACACGATAACCATTTCCATCTCAAACAGATTGGGTACAGAATCTCTTGAGCCTGACTTTATGGAACCAATATCAGTGGTTAAACAATTTGACAGCAGCCTGAAGTATGCCATAGTTTCTATAAAACGTTGTGAAGACAACAAGGATGAAACCACTTCTCCATGACTTCATGGATATCTGTTAAAACGCCAGGAAGGGCGCATTTGAAATTTATAATCGATAGACAATGCCAAATCTATAAGAAGCCACAGAAACTACACAAAAATGTAAAGAAAATGAATGGTTGGCTTGTAAAAATAAGTATACTTTCTCTATGTTAAATCTATCTTCTATTGCAATGAGTATGCTCCTTTAGGATAAGGGGAGCTACCCCACTCATTGCAATTCTTCTCCCTCTTACAATATTAAATATACCCAAACAGTGTGAATTGAATTAAAACATGTCCTTAGGAGCTATGCTGCCAATTTTTTATGCAGTCAAAACATTTCAGCACACACAATTTACTTTTAAAGGGATGCTATTGATTTCACCCTGAAGTCTAAGATTTTTTTTGGTTTTAATTAAAGCCTGATCACATCAACATATCTATCAAAATATAACCTTATTACATATAATTAAATATTGTTAGATTTATGAAAACAGCCAGATGTCAAATATATTTTTTCAAGTTTCCTTTTTTTTTAATTGAGAAAGATTCAATGGTTAATTTTTTTTATTGATAACACTCTTACATTTTCCTAATGAAAATACTCTACTCATGAAAACTTTCTAGTAAAGAAGCATATTTCAGTGAACAATTTTTTTAAAACAATTCTAGTCATACCTTGTTTATAAGATCTTATAAGTGTTCCAGTACTAGTATTTAATAATGTCATAAATTGGATAATCACACCATGTTATAGTTTCAATTTTGGTTGAAAAGTTTTTATCTGAAAATGCCTGTTCATTTCATGTTGGTTTTCAGTGTTTGTTGTTTTAAAAAAAAATTTCTTCACAAGAAACTTGGTTTGTGTAACTGCTTGTATAAACTTCATTTTGGCTGATAAAATAAAATATTTTTCCTACCTACCGACCCTTCAGTCTGAAGGTACAGTCGGAAAACTGCAAACAAACATATTTTTAAGGTTGGCCCGAATGATAGATACTGGCAAATATCCTTCTTTACTGAAGAATGCTAAGGTAACACCAGTTTTCAAGGATGGTGACAAGCTTTTAGCAACAAATTACAGACCTATATCTGTTCTTCCAACTTTATCAAAATTAATAGAAAGACATGTTTCTAATAATATGTACAAATACTTATCTAAACTTAAACTTTTACACCCTACACAATCTGGTTTCAGGCCGCAGCATTCTTGTCAAACTGCACTTATTAATATCATTGACAAATGGTTGCAAGAAATGAATGATGGAAATTTAAACCAAGCAATTTTATTAGATTTTAGAAAAGCTTTTGATTTGGTAGATCATGACATTCTTTGTTTAAAGCTTGAAATTTATGGATTTAGTGAGGCTACTGTTAGTTTTTTCAAGTCATACCTGAATAACAGAAAACAGCAGGTAAACATTTGTAATGTTTATTCTGAACAACAACATGTAAAATTTGGTGTCCCCCAAGGTTCTATACTTGGTCCTCTATTGGTTGTGCTATTTATAAACGACCTTCCCTTATGCATTGAAAATTGTGAAACAGACCTATATGCTGATGACACCACTCTTCATAAATCAGGGAAAATCATAGAAAATATACATGATGATGTTCAAGAAGATTTATACAGGGTTGAAGAGTGGTGCAAAATGAATAACATGTTCATTAATGCAAATAAAACAAAATGTTTGGTTACTGGAACAAAGCAGAAACTATCAATTCAGACTAATCAACCAAACTTGATAATAAATTCAAAAGTATTACAAAATTCTTCATGTGAAAAATTATTAGGTGTTAAAATTGACAGCACACTTAACTGGAGAAATCAAATTGACCAAGTTTGTGCTAATATATCATCCAGAATATACCTTCTTTCTAAAATAAAGAAATTTTTAGATATAAATGCAAGGAAAACATATTACAATGGGTATATTCTGCCCCTAATTGACTACTGCTGTATTATTTGGGGTGAATGTAAAAATGAAGGGATAACAAGAATTTTAAAACTCCAAAAAAGGGCAGCAAGATTAATTCTAGATGCAGATCCTTTATCCCCCTCAGCCCCCTTATTTAAAAAACTTGGGTGGATGACAGTTGACAATAGAATCAAATACCACAAATATTTACTTCTATATAAATGTATGCGTATGGAAGCACCAATGTACCTAGTTCAAAAGTTTAAACTGAAATCAGATAATAATCCTTACTCCTTGAGAGGTGTCACTCAAGGTAATCTGATAGTTCCTAAGCCAAAAGCTGAGCTATTTAAGAAATTTTTTGTTTTTTTCTGGATCAGTGTTATGGAATGGACTACCACACAAAATGCGTAAAGCTCAAAACACTTATACTTTTCAACAAAGTATCAAGAAGTACTTAACACAGTCCTGATAAGATTATGTTTTCTACAATGTATTTGTATATTTTTTTTTTTTTTTTTTATTTGATTTTTTGACTACATGTTCATCTTGAACAGTTTTATATCTTATCATGTTAATAATATTACATTGAACTACTTGACTGTAAATTAACTATGTGTAAATATCTGTTTTTGATTGTATTGTAATTTGTATGTGAGGGCCTCAGGGAAGATTAGTTTACTGTAACTAACTGAGTTTACCCTCTTTAAATAAAGAATTTATTATTATTATTATTATTATTACTGATGTTTGCCCAATATTTCCTTTCATTTAAATTGTTTTTTTTAAATTAATCTATTTATAGAGAAGATAACCTGTCTGTAATTTGAGTTGATGAAATCTGTTCATTTCACTCTGTGTACTTTGGGAAACCTTTTACTAACCTTATTGAATAATTTGTGAGGATTATAAGCTTTCCCTGCCACCCATGTTCTTGTGGATTTTCTTTTTTATATATTTTATCCTTTACAAACCTTATTGAATAATTTGTGAGGACTATAGTCTGTCCCTGTGGCCAATGTTCTGGTGGATTTTCTTTCTATATATTTCAGGGCTTCCAAAAATTATTTGTGCCAGCCAGACATTTTTTGTCTTATCCCGATTTTACTCCCTTAAGACTAAATAACAAATGGCACTCATGGTAATCAGTTGGGCATCATATAAACAATGATTGAAATAAAAACGATATCAAGTTTGACTTTTCATACAAATTCCATGTACTGACGTAAACTGTTAAATTGACAGTGCATCATTTAAAGTGTGCATATTAGTGTACTAATATCTGGCTTATAATCTTTATTTGTGCAAAATTACTTTGTCAAAAACTTTACTTTCGTTTTTAGTAGGCACATTTTCTTATACCAGATGTTGACTTGACAATGGCAAAACATGGATCAGAAACGTTCGTTTACAAAGCATGATTGTGTTTAAGTAGCTCTTATAACATTATTTCTTCAAGAAAATACTTGAAATGAACGTAAGATAAAAGTATCAATGATAATTTTAGCATTTTAAAAAATTTATGATGTAGAAGTAAATCTCACACCTGTGCATGTGTGTACTAGTTCAAACAAAGTGATTCTGACGATTGTGGATTTTCTTTCTACATATTTTATCCTTTACTTACCTTATTGAATAATTTGTGAGGATTACAAGCTATCCTTGTGGCCCATGTTCTAGTGGATTTTTTTCTATATACGGTATTTTATTCTTAACTAACCTTATTGAATAATTTGTGAGGATTATAAGCTGTCCCTGTGGCCCATGTTCTTGTGGATTTTCTTTCTATACCACCTGCAGCATTCTCTGAGGCTTCTTTCTCCAGAGCACTTTTACCAGCATCACCTGTAAAAGAAAGGTATGCAATATAATGTAACAATTTTTCAGGTCTAAGAAAACAGTCAGGTAAAGAACAAAATCAGAAATAGGAATATAACCAAAACAAGAATGTGTCCATAGTACACAGATGCCCCACTCGCACTATCATTATCTATGTTCAGTGGACCGTGAATTTGAGGTCAAAATTCTAATTTGTTATTAAAATTAGAAAGATCATATCATAGGGAACATGTGTACTATGTTTCAAGTTGATTGGACTCCAACTTCATCAAAAACTACCTTGACCAAAAACTTTAACCTGAAGTGGGACAGACTGATGAACGAACGGACGCACAGACCTAAAAACATAATGCCCCTCTACTATCATAGGTGGGGCATAAAAATGAAATATTGATTTACTTTTGTTGTATAACACCACTTTCAGCCCTCTTGGTTATATTGTGGCAGTCAGTTTTTAATTGGTGGAGGAAGTCAGATTGCCCAGAGGAAACCACCACCTTCTGCAGCAAAACTCGCAATCCTGGTCAATTTAGAACAGAGTGGAATGCACCTGCCACACCTGGCACAAGCAGGGTCCCAACTCTCAACCTCAGTGTTGACAGATTAGTGATTGCTGTAGATTAACTTAGACCACTAGGCTGCCAAGGTCCCAAACTAAAGCAAGCAGGCTATTTAAGTAAATGGAACAAAAACATATCAATCTGTATTTAAGGAAATAGGAACATGGTAAATGTAACTAAATGGGTCAATATCAAAGTAAGGAACACAATTATAATATGTAAACAAAAAATCTCTGTGCAATGATATTTAACATGTTGCTACTTTCAATAATTGACTGATCTTAACCATTTGTGTTGTTTTACATGCAAAGGACCACAGAATAAACATGTTAAAACTATGGAGATTAATATCAAACTGCCAGACAATGTAGCTATGCTATTTTTTTATGTTATGTTCGCTTATGTTCATTATATTTATTGATTTCAATTAAGGAGCCACATAATTAAAAATGTCACCATTAATCTTTGGTATTACACCACTAACTCTAAGTATTAAAAGCATTAATATTCTATTCAGCTTACTGTAATAGATACATTGTATATAATTTAAGTCAAATAGAACAGACATCTTATTTCAATAATGGTAGCTTTTATGACCAAAATTTAGACTTTTCCTTTCCCTTTAGAATGTCAGAATTCTGAAAATCTTTTTTTGTCTATTCATTGTATATAAATCCCAAACCCAGATTTCTAAGGAACCTTGAAACACTTATATTGAATCAGTGAAATATATGATCTTTTTCCGAAAATATAAACAGTTTTGACTATATTTCCATTGCAGCAAATTCCAAAACAGTAACCTGACAGAAACTTCTATATCAAAATGGGTTTAAGAAAATGAAATAAAAAAACTGGCACTTGGGAATGAAATCATACACTAAATTATCTATCTTGAATGTATAAACTTGTGCATTTCAATATAATGCTACAAACCAGCAAGCTCCGGATCTTCTGTGTCTGGTGATACATCCTGATCTGGATCATCTTCACCAAATAACTGACTAGAAAATATAATAAACATGTGATGTTAGAAATGGGAAACATTTTACTATCATAGACTTTTGGAATCAATGTAATCATTTGCCTACCGTTTTTAGGTGTGCATAATACACGGGTTTTTACCCTGGGAATGATTTCTGAAAAAGGGGGTGTGTAATATGTATGGCTACACTGTTCTTGAGACTTTTTTTCAGGCCAAATTCCCATCAAGAAACCAGGTGGTCTTGAGGAAAATATTTTTGTAGCATAAACTTGATTGTGTTGTTTTACATATATATTTGTACCTTCTTGTATCTGATTTGTAATGTTATATGCAAATAAAAATCGTTTAAATGCTTAAGTAGTTGTTTTTTGCGTTTTCTTGTGTTCTCCGTTGCCGCCCGGAAGTTGCATTTGATCATGTCCAAATTAGAAATGAAAGATTCTGTCAATGACTAAATTAGTGTAGGTATTTCTAGAGTTTATTACTTACTTTGTATATGTGTTCTAACAAGTAATACACCTTTCCATTTTCTACTGGTATGCCCCGCCCCCCCCTTAGCAACACATGGCAACCCAGCATCCTAGGTCAAGCTAATCAACAAAATGGCGGTTATTATGAACATTGAATAATAACAAAGTGAATAATTTCTTATAACAAATATATATAAGAGCAATATATTGTTCATATATTTGTTTTTGTGTTAAAGTATGATGAAATAGTTACTCCTGAAGAGTTGAGAGAGATAAATTGATGACATTTTGAAGAAATTATGTCTATTTATACTGAATAAAAAGAAACAATTAAAATACTTTTGCAAATTTCAAGCTATTAAATTACCCTCACTCCCCAAAAATATAATCTAACAACTAGATATAGAATATAATATTGCATGATTGATAAGATAAATTACAGGTTTAATTAAGCATGGCTAATGAATGCTGATAAGTGTGTTTACTGTGTAGAAAAACACAGCATGGGTCAACTTGTAAAACAAGCATCCTTGCTCCAGTAGCTATTAGATTATTTATCAAATAACATTTAACCGGATTTCTTTTTTTATATCCATAGATAACTTATGGTAATTAAAATTCTATCACTAAGTAAAAAATAAAGAAGAAAAGAAAATTATTTATTATTTGCTTACATAAATATTTGGTCATTGTAGTTCGTCTTTGTTTTAAATTTATATACAACTCTTGTCCTTAACAGGAATCTTTGCACATTGTACTCACCCTTTTTTTCAAATAAAGAAAATAAAATATATCCGATACTTCTCACTTCCTTTCATTTTTTTTTAATTCATACACAAAATTTGAAAAAGGTCAAGTACAATCAGCAAATACTCTCACAGTAGACCCAAGTCATATCAAAATTAAACATTATCTTACTTGTTATGAAGCATCTATTGAAATATATTTTTTTATTATTATTTCAGTTTCCCCTCTGTCTTATAACAAAATGCTAGCGATGAGGGCATAACAAACATAAATACTTTCATTTTTATACATTTTGTACACAAAAAGACTACAAATATCTGATTCACTACATCATTCCATGCAGACTTTCAGATCAGTAATTCTTATTTCCATCTCATTCCAACGAGGTTGTATATAATTTTTCATCCAGATTAATTTTAAGGTGAGAAAACTTACATTATCTCTAAAACAATTTGATTGTTAAAGAACATGGAATATTTCTTGTATAAATATTATACTGGAAAATTAAAATTTTGTATAAAATATGTCAATTCAAAAGATGATCAATACGTGAAGTTTTCAGTTTAAACTGCTTCCAAGTACAAATATTTTAACATTTGAATTGTTCTTTGTAATTGAAATTGGAAAGGTGTCAATTATTTTGTTGCTGTATCTTTACTATATTATAATTGTAATTTCCAGAAATTTTACATACTACCTTGCATGTTTAATTGTTTAAACCAAGGATTTTAAACTTTTAAATTAATGCAAAAAATATCAATTTCAACTCAGTTTGTACACCAATTGAAATCTTGTGTTTCAGAATATATATATTTTTTTATTTTTCAAAATAGCATGTAAACAATATTTCAAAAACAATAAGCACTGCCATTATATTCCTTTTTAATTGATATATTAATAACTTTCATACATTGAAACAAATTTTTTATTGTTTCAAGTTGACAAATTGACCTTCCTCTACCCTCTAACATTGATTCCTTTCCCAAAAACAAATTCTGGATGATTTAATTGTGAAAATTTCAAGAAATGTTAGATCAAATTAACTGTTTAAATAGGAATGTTTGACCGAGGTTATGGCCGACAACACGTGCTGCTACAAAATGTTTACACATGTGGTAAATTTACCACATGTGATTGGTCAATTAACTGATGATTGACAGGAGAGTGGAAAGGTGTATACAGAAGGTAAATGTATGAAAAATGAACGAAACACGTCCATTTGATGATAGCGACTGTCATTGATTTTTTTACTTTCGTAGTATCAGGTGATCATGTGTCATGTGACTTTTAACAATTGTAAAGTTGAAAAAAGGGATGATTTTAAACACGTTTTTACTTTGTAACATTTTTAAAAAAAACCTTCATACAAATCATAATTGCAGACATGTCAATGCCATATAGTAAACTGTACTGATTAGATTAAGGAACAAAATTAATCTGTCAATTGATTTGTTTTGACAACAATTAGACTTCCTAATTGACATTCAATAAGAGTGTGATAATCCGGATTATACGATTCAATGAGTACCAACAAACAACAAGAAATGATTGTAACAGGATGCTGTTACGAAGTCTCCCAAACGAAGCTCCCATAATTCGTAATTCCCAGGGTCGCCTGACATTGGGCAACGTCCAGTGAAAATTGGTTTGGTCCAGTAAAGTTATATGCATTAGAGATGCCTGGGGACTAACCTTGTATATCATTCAAATCATCTTGGTATGACAAACCAGAATATATATGGTTTAGAGGTGGGGATCTCGACCATTTACAAGATACTAGAACATTGGGGGTGGGGAGGAACCCCTGGGGACTGGCCCTATACGTCATTCAAATGTTCATTACATGACGAACAGGAATATATATGGTTTAGGGGTGGGGATCTCAACCATTTACAAGATATTAGAACTTTCTCAAATGGCAGGGGGTCGGGATGACCCCTGGGGACTAACCCTGTATATCATTCAAACCATCTTCGCATGACAAACCAGAATATATATGGTTTAGGGGTGGGGATCTTGATCACTCAGAAGATATTAGAACTTTCTTAAATGGCAGGGGGTGGGGTGACCCCTGGGGTCTAACCCTGTATTTCATTTGATGTGCTTTATCATGACAAACCGGAATATATATGGTTTAGGGGTGGGGATCTTGACCATTTACAAGATATTAGAACTTTCTCAAATGGCAGGGGGTCGGGATGACCCCTGGGGACTAACCCTGTATATCATTCAAACCATCTTAGCATGACAAACCAGAATATATATGGTTTAGGGGTGGGGATCTTGACCACTTACAAGATATTAGAACTTTCTTAAATGGCAGGGGGTGGGGGTGACCCCTGGGGACTAACCCTGTATAACAATTGATGTGCTTTATCATGACAAACCAGAATATATATGGTTTAGGGGTGGGGATCTCAACCATTTACAAGATATTAGAACTTTCTCAAATGGCAGGGGGTCGGGATGACCCCTGGGGGACTAACCCTGTATATCATTAAAAACCATCTTAGCATGACAAACCAGAATATATATGGTTTAGGGGTGGGGATCTTGACCACTTACAAGATATTAGAACTTTCTTAAATGGCAGGGGGTGGGGGTGACCCCTGGGGACTAACCCTGTATTTCATTTGATGTGCTTTATCATGACAAACCAGAATATATATGGTTTAGGGGTGGGGATCTCCACCATTTACAAGATATTAGAACTTTCTCAAATGGCAGGGGGTCGGGATGACCCCTGGGGACTAATCCTGTATATCATTCAAACCATCTTAGCATGACAAACCAGAATATATATGGTTTAGGGGTGGGGATCTTGACCACTTAGAAGATATTAGAACTTTCTTAAATGGCAGGGGGTGGGGGTGACCCCTGGGGACTAACCCTGTATTACATTTGATGTACTTTATCATGACAAAACAGAATATATATGGTTTAGGGGTGGGGATCTCGACCATTTATAAGATATTAGAACTTTCTCAAATGGCAGGGGGTCGGGATGACCCCTGGGGACTAATCCTGTATATCAATTAAACCATCTTAGCATGACAAACCAGAATATATATGGTTTAGGGGTGGGGATCTTGACCACTTACAAGGTATTAGAACTTTCTTAAAAGGCAGGGGGTGGGGGTGACCCCTGGGGACTAACCCTGTATTTCATTTAATGGGCTTTATCATTTAGAACATTTTCAATTAAAAAGATTGTGTCTATCACGAACGGTTTTCAATTGATAATCATTTGAAAATTTAAAAAAATAAAATCCCATAGGGTTCTATAGTAAAACCCTCTTTTCTTTTTGCCCCTCAAAGTACCCCTTTATAAACCCCATTGCACAAACAAAACCCTGATTGCACCACTAGACATGTTAGTCTAACATATTGTGAAACCCTAAGTTAATCTGACAAGCGGTTTTGGAGAACGGGTGCGGACAAGTTCAAATTTAAAAGCGGCGGAAGAAGAAGAATAATAATAATAATAAGAACTGAGCAAAAACAATAAGTCTTCCCAAACTTCGTTTGGGAGACTTAATAAATGAAATTAGCAGAGATTAAAATTTATTTCAGCACTAATTTATCAACTTAAATATTACAATTTATTCATTTATTGTGTATTTAAGAATATTCGTAATGATGTGTACAAGATTCACTGACTACAATTTGCATTTAAACAACTTCCCCATTTAACACTTCCTGTTGTTCTCAATCAAACACATCCATAGAAACAATAAAGAATCAAACATTGTTTGCTAAATTGTTCAATCTGCAACAATAGTTTCATGATCCTGTAATCAACCAGGACTGGAGTTCAATTTGTCTCCGAAAAAGAAATTATTTTCAATGAACGCATTTTACCAAGTTTCAAGTTGGGATTTTTCAAGAAAGTCCCTGCGTGTAAAGAATAAGAAGAAACTTTTTTTCTCAAGTTTCTAGGGTGAAAAAGGAGGTGCGTACTATGCATGAATGCGTTTTATACACACCTAAAGACGGTAATCAATATGTGTATACAATTCTATTTAGAAATCAAGCACTTCCTTAGAAATATAAACGCTAACTCAAACACTTTTTGCCTTTCTGTAGGTAGAATTTCAAAGATCTTGGTTAAATTTGTATATCATCTGTATAAAGTCATGCATGTAATTAGTTCATTCAAATTTGGTGTTGAGAACAGCATTTGTTCCATTTATTAAGCTTAAAATCTATTAAATAACAAAGTTTTAGATCAATCAAACAATATATATATATCACAACATTAACTAAACATATTACATGAACTATGAATGTTTGATATACAGAGGGTGGCCAAAACTATTTGTCAAATATGGCTGCAGAAATTCCAAAAAATATAATGACTTGACATTCAATGTCAATTTTATCAATCCTTTATTAACAACAAGGGAAAGTCTGTATTTCTAATATAAAAATCGTGTTTTGTCATGTGGCAGTATACGTCATATTGTTGTCAGATGCATCTTTGTTATTGTTTTCATGTGTAAAAGCCATGGGCAGGAAGGGAAGGATTTGTCAATGGACTGACATTAAAAGAGTTGCTGTAGATTTTAGGAATGGAGAAAAAATTTTTGACATTGCAAGAATATTACAACAGCCTAGGTCTACAATATTTGGTATTATCAGAAGACTTCAAGACGCTGGGACAAAAAAGAATCGTCCTAGATCAGGGAGGCCTCGAGCAATGATGGACCGGAACTACCTGCAGCTGGAAAGGATTGGAAAACAAGATCTTAGAACACCGCTTGCTGATATAACTGCAAAGTTTAATGAACAAATGGATGTTCAAGTATCTAAACGTACTGTACGACAACGATTGAGGAATCATTGATTTTTTCGGGGACTGTATGGAAAGATAAATGGAGAATGTGTCCCCATGGACACAGATGATGCCCCAGCTTGCATACAACATTATAAAGGGACATAACTCAAGAACTATAAAAGTGACGCTACCCAAATTTGTACTTGATCTGAGTTTTATAACATTTGGTTGAGGCAAACTTAAGTTAGAGAACGAAACTAAAAATTTTGCAATTTTTCCATTTATAAAGGGGCATAACTCTAGAACGGTTAAAGTGACGACACCAAAATTTAAACTTGATCTGTGTTTTGTGGTAATAAGCATTGTATATAAATCATAACATTTGGTTGAGGCAAACTTAAGTTAGAAAACGGAAACTAAAAATTTTGTAATTTTTCCATTTATAAAGGGGCATAACTCTAGAACAGTTAGAGTGACGCTACCAAAATTCAAACTTGATCTGTATTTGGTGGTAATAAGCATTGTGTATAAGTTTCATAACATTTGGTTGCGGCAAACTCAAGTTAGAGAACGGAAACTAAAAATTTTGCAATTTTTCCATTTATAAAGGGGCATAACTCTAGAATGGTTAAAGTGACCCCACCAAAATTCAAACTTGATCTGTGTTTTGTGGTAATTAGCATTGTGTATAAGTTTCATAACATTTGGTTGAGGCAAACTCAAGTTAGAGAACGGAAACTAATTTTGGGACGTACGGATGTACGTATGTACCTACGTCCCAAAATTGATTTCAGTTCTCTAACTTGAGTTTGCCTCAACCAAATGTTATGAAACTTAAGTATGTACAGATGGACAAGGGTAAAACTTAATGCCCCTCCGCTACAGCGGGGGCATAAAAATTGTTCATGGTGTAGGGAAAAGAGGTGGTGGACAACTCAATACAAATGAAGAAAAGGTTATATTCAGTGATGAATCTCAAGTGTGTGTCAGACAGGACGGGCGCGTATATGTGTGAAAGAAGCCAGGGGAAGGCTGGAAGGCTGGAGACCGGACTAAGTGGAAAGTGACTGAAAATTCAGCGCAATGGTGAGGGGATGTATCTGCTATCAACTGAGTAGGGACACTTATGAAGGTTAAGGGATAAATAAATGCAGACAAGTGTATCAGCATTCTGGACCATTATATTTGGCCCATTATTGTTAGACAATTCCCTGAAAATGACAATTTTTATAGGAAGACAATGCGCCAGTACATAGGGCTTGTTCAACCAAAGCTTACATAGTGAGAACACACCTAAAAATATGACTTGGCCAGCACAATCACTCAATTGGAATATCATTGAAAATGTATGGTTGTATTTCAAAGGAAACATCAGGTCCGGGTGTATAGAATAAATTCAAACGATGAACTGTACAGGTAAGTATTAAGGATCTGGCAAAGTATTTCTTAAAATTTCATTAGAAGTTTAAAATTGAGCATGGAAATGGGGAATATGTCAAAGAGACAACAACCCGACCAAAGAACAGACAACAGCAGAAGGCCACCAATGGGTCTTCAACGCAGCGAGAAAATCCCGCACCCGGAGGTGGTCCTCAGCTGGCCCCTATATAAAATTGTGTACTAGTTTAATGGAAATGGACGTCACACTAAAATGACTCAATTCCTAGGAGAATTTGTCGTGTTATTAGATTAAAGGGACACCTAACTAAGTATTAAAAGGTTTTGTTTTGTTTTATATTCATTTATTTATTGCATAAAATTACTTTCATTTTATGATGCAGTCAATAAGTTCACACGACAGCCATATTTGATGAATACTTTTGGCCACCCTCTGTTGTTATTCTTGCATAACATGCAAGAATATCTGAATATCTGATATTTACGGTTTGCACTAATCATGTTACTAAGATAAAAAAAGAGGTCTACTTCCTGGTTTTGAAAAATATGCAACTGCATTTTATTGAAGATGGCACACTGTTAGTTTTAAACTCTCATAGTACTTAAGAATTATTTATTTAATAAATAAACACAAGTGCTTCAGCAAATGATAAAAACTTTTTCCCTAGCACTTCAATGGCAAAAATCATGTACAAGACATGGCCTTTCTACATAATTTTCTGTGTTAAATTGATAAAAGGCCTTGTTGATGTAAGTCTTTTGATTTACAAAGAAAATTTTGAATTTGTGCATTAATACACTGAGAATAGCCATGAGAGTGAGAATACTGTTCAAACCACATACTTAAATAAATGTTTGGCCCACACAACACAATGCACTGGTTCTGATGGAGTATTACGTATCGTACAACCTGGAAAAGTTTTCTGTGGAGGTTTTGGTTGACATTCATAACATTCTGTTAAACCCTGTTAAATACATTAAAACATATATAAATTAAATGCAAACATCAAAAAATTTGATTCAGCAAATTTCAGATTTATAGCAAACCATGCAATCAGTCCCTACATGATAAGTCAAAACCCTTATTTGGCAAACAATCATAAAAATGTGAACTTAGTTTCATGTTGATGTGACCCCACTTTTATGGTAAACTACCTTAACCTGATACCAGGCAGACTAATCGACAAACAGATAACATAATGCCCCTCTACTATCATAGGCAGGGCATAATTAAGTAAAGGACATTGTTGACAAACACATTGAAGTACTATGAAGATAACTATTTAGAGACTGAAAATCAAAAGCCCCATATCTAGAATAAGATCTTGAGGAACCAGCTGATAAAGCCACAAACAATGTTGTGTTTGTTTGACGTAGGTATTACAATGCATCTTACATGAAGATATTCAAAATTCTAAATATTTTGTTTCTTTGTTGTATGTCAACTTTTCAGAGTTTGTGTTGGTGGTTGGAGTTGTCTGTTGTATTGTCCATTATTTTTTGGTGATTCCTGTTATCATTTTTTATGTATCATCAAAAATAAAACTCACTATATTTCAATGAAGCAACAAATATAGGTCAGAGAGACATAATTCTTAATAAATTATACATCTAAGACACATTTTTCTACCAAGTTTTATATGACTGTAGGGCATTCAGTATTCTAGATCTTAACTTAAACTTTGAACTCAAAATTACCTACTTTGTTATTGGATTCTAAATGCATCCTTACAACAAATAATATAATTGTAAGTCACTTAGTACCTGAGAAATGAACTAAAATATAAGTTACAGTTTATACATTTGCTCCATAAGATTCAGTCATATAACACAAATGTGTTTGTGGATCACACAGTATCTGAGATCTGAACTCATAGTTAAACTTAATATTAGTCAATTTACAACTCAGACTGGCTTACAATTAAAAGATAGTGGCTATAATCCCCTAGACGCATCCTTATACATGTACCTTATTATATGATGTAGGTCTCATAGTACCAGAGATCTGAACTAAGATGGATAACTAAGTATGTCAATATAGGTCAAAGTGATCTACTTGCTGGACGTTGCTATTATACCGATAATGCATCTTTACATCTGGTTCATAAAACTAAATACAAGTAATGAACACTCAAAATCATTATTAAAGCAACTCAATTGTATAACATAGGTCCTGTGACCTTCATCTAATGGCTTATGAACAGTCTATCTCATAAATGGGAATGCTGGATTACTACAAAAACTAAAATAAAATTAAGAATGGAACTAACTAGCTGAATGTTTTTACCTCTAATATTTTCCATCATTTTTTACTATTGAATTACCTTTTTTATTACTTGAACCTGTCCAAGATATCCAGCTGTACCACTTTCTATGAGGGGAACATCAGCTGATAAACACATACGATTTACATGATTTCTAGCAGCTGAAATAAATATCAGAAAAATATCCAAGGTGTACCTTTAAACTAGGAGATCACAAAGGTACGAGCACTTGCTCATTTACTGATGAGAAATGTACCTGGAGCACTTATAATTGTGATTTTCCAAGTTATTTACATATCCAAGAGACATTACTCTAAAAAAAACAACAATTGGTCAATGGTGCTGATAGTTTGACAGCATGTAGAAATGTTTACATGATAAAATTTAATTAAAATGTCAGATAAATGGATTGTCAAACAGATATAAACATTTGCAAATATTTGTTTGAGGCAGGTGACAAAAAAGACTTAAAAAGGCAGTATTTTTTAAACATTTAATGATTTTATTTCCCTCTATCAATTTTTAGAAAAGAAGAGAACATGGAGAAATTCCTATTCTACAGTTTACAAGAATGGTTTGTTACTGTTTTATATTCAAACTTAAAGAGCTTTTTTTCAATGGCAAGGCTATTTTAAAGATAACTGAACTGGAATGGCATTTAATTTTGTGTGACTTTTTTTGTCTTATAAACCAGAGTACCACAAAATTCAGTAATTCATGTTTTCCAATATGAACTTTTTCCCTTTTGACTGTAGATTCCAATAGGTAGTCATTTCAATTTTGAAACATAAAAAAACATAACAATGAATAAAAAGAGATTTGGGGTATATATTAATAAGACAGCAACCCAACAACATTTATAACCAAAAGACATCTGGAGGTCAATGATAATTTTGTCCTGGTGATAATTTTTTCCGTAAACAGTTTCCCTCTTTCTACTATAGTTTCGACCAAAAACCAAAATTACAGGCCCTTAAGCATGTTAAGAGAACGGATCTTTGTGCATTAACAACATTGAAGACTCGAAAAAATTATGTCTTAGCGGGAGTAAGATCTCATTTTTGTTGATCTTGTATTGCTGATCATTTTTTGACAAAATTTTCTTTGTGCATAAAATATTACTCTGTCTCAAACTCCCTGTAAACATGCAAAAACAAATACAAACCTCTATTGTCTAAGGCATTCATTACTGCATTAAACTGTTTAAAGAAATTTAAGCCATACTCTGGACTGAAAAAAATGGTAACTCTTTAGTTATTGTGTCTGAATAAACAAAAAAAAGAAAAGATAAAAAGTATTTTATCAAATAAATGTTAACAAGGAATATATTTTATTTCATCGTATCTCAAAATAATGTACAATTTTATCAATCTAAGTAACTCAAATCAATGCATTTGTATTGTTATATACATTTAGACACTACTAGGAGATTTTAAATAGAAGACTTGTATATGCATTAATTTTTCAAGACTGCTCGGGGGGAAAATTTTGCTCCATATATCCCATATGTAGGTGCTGTTGGAGTGTTGCTATATATAATGGTATCTTAAACAAATATAAAGTAAATCATAATAACAGAGGTTTAACATATTGGTAATATCTAACAGAAGTTTTCACTTTGAACAGACAGAGCTACAAACACCAAGTTGGACATTCTATAATCTGGTTACCTCATAATACTGTCATGGAATGCCTGTATCTTCACATTAGGATTAAACTTCAATGTACTTTCCATGGCAACCTGCAATTGGAACATAATTTAAAGAAATGAATGTTGGTAATTTAAAGTACATGTAACTACTCTCAACATATTACTGGAAAAAAAAGTTAGTACAAATAAAAATCATTTAATTTTATATTTAACAAAGATGTTTTCTGCTCTTTGGTCGGGTTCTTGTCTCTTGGACACATTTCATGTTTCAATTCTCTATTCTAATAGTTAGTTCTATCATGCATGTCTAATTAAAAATGAAGCAAAATGTTTAATGTGAGTTTCACATCATAACAGTTTTAAGCCAGCCCCACTATCCCACTATTGCGTTTGTAGGCAAGTGGATAGTTGGGACCGGCTTGAGTCAGACTGACATCATAAATATACAATTTTCCAGAGTATAAACGCTAAAATGACCAAGGTGATTCAAAGATAAATATTAGAATTGTACACAAACTTCAATGCATGTTAAAGCTTGATTTTGCTAGTAGAAATCCCCTCTTTGTTAGTCCTAAATAACATTTTTAAATTCAATGTACATTTTTTGTACATTTCAGCTTCATTTTATGAATAATATGTTTTCTGCTTTGGAATTCATTCTCATTTTCATTCCATCTGTTTCAGAGAAGAAAATGTTCACAACTGTTTACAAATAACGAACATACTAAATGAATTATATCATAATCAACCTAAGCAGAGAATTAAAGTGACATCAACAGCTCAAACTGGATAATGTTATAACATTACATATTTAAGGTAACACATATTGATTTGCTGATTTTAGAAAATTTAGAACTTTAATTTTTTACATTTAGCTGGAGTCTGGAGCACTTTAAAACATTCATGACATTCTTGTATATAAAATACTTGCTTACTTTGGCCTTTGACTTGCCAACATGTTCTTTGCGAAAGAGGAACTGTCTATTTAGATTACTAACATCAATTGTGTCTAGATCAATCTGGAAAAAAAACAAAACAGATTACTAACATCAATTGTGTCTAGATCAATCTGGAAAAAACAAAACAGATTACTAACATCAATTGTGTCTAGATCAATCTGGAAAAAAACAAAACAGATTACTAACATCAATTGTGTCTGGATCAATCTGGAAAAAACAAAACAGATTACTAACATCAATTGTGTCTAGATCGATCTGGAAAAAACAAAACAGATTACTAACATCAATTGTGTCTAGATCAATCTGGAAAAACAAAACAGATTTCAACATCAATTGTGTCTAGATCAATCTGGAAAAAACTAAACAGATTACTAACATCAATTATGTCTAAATCAATCTGGAAAAAACAAAACAGATTAATAAAACACAAATTAAATATACATGTACAAATTGTACATGTATTGGATGAAACTTTACAATAGACTTACAGCTTTGATACTGGTTAACTGTTGGCATTTTTTGCTTTTAATACCTCTTATTATAGGTACAATGACCATTTACTGTTACTTTTAAATCTTGTCATTAAATGATAGAATTTACATTTAATCGGAACATTCATTATATGTATTTTGCTTTTGAGTAGAAAGAAGAGAAAAAGGTACATCAAATGAACCAAACACATCACCATTCTGACCATTAACTTGGAAAATATGGAAGGTCCTCTTCCTGTTCCGAAAGTGATCTTTTTGTCACTTGAAACCAATGACTTACATGTACACTATACTGAATTGATGCACATGATGTATTATATACAGACTTCAATTTTCAAATCTATAAATCTTTTCAAATTCCTTTGAAAGAAAGTGTATACTGTAAAGCAAAGTTAAATGTTGCTTTTGTCTTAAAACGGTAAATTTTCCTAAATAGAGGATGTCATAAAGCAATAATGTCATACATGTCATATCCCCACATACATATCCTCCCACTACTTGTTCAATCTATTGAAAATTCATCATTTTCCTATTTTAATCATATCAATCAAAACAGAGTTTTTACAAATGAAGTAAAAGTATTTGGCTGAAGATATCAATGGTATGTTGCTTTTAAGTAATGCCTCCGTTATTGAATAAAACAGCAGGTGACAGCTAGTAACTGGTCTTCCACCAGTACCTGGATATGATGAAAAATATTAGGCAGTGTCTGCTCGACCCCGCATGCAGGGACGAGTAACCAAATTGGCCTTTGTAGGATACGCATACCCGCATCCGGTTTTATAATAAAATGTCATCAGATCGGGAAAATATACACCTTATTTGCGGATTTTGTGAATTAAGTGAAGAGAATGGAAAATAATATTTTTGAATTTATATTTATTAGTTAAAAATACATATGTAGTTCCAGAAACGAAACTGGGGTACTGTCTACACGACCTTAACTTAATATCTACTAGACAGCAACCCAACTGTTTCCTTTAGTCTAAATCTAGGGTAGGGTTCGGCCTATGCTTTCGCTCTAGGACTTCTATTATAGTTATGCCCGACAGGAATATTTTAAAATTTTATTAGGTATTATTTTTACCGGTCCATGCCACCAGTTTATAAGTGATTTAAAATGTGTGTTCTGGAACTAAATGTGTCTGAAGTTCAGTACTCACGAGATTCAGTCAGGAGTGTCTTCTAGAATCTTTCTCCAATGGTGGATAAAGAGGACCTAGACTGCTCCTATAGCCAAACAGGCCCTAACCTTTGTCCTTGACCGTAGTCAGGCTACCATAGTATTGGACTATAGAGACCAACAGGAATAATAATCTGGATCGTCACCAAATATACAAGGATCTGGCGGTATTGGTTTACAAGAGAAATCACAATCCCAAACTCAGTCGTTCTGGTAGTAGTCCAGAAATAAACTACACCTCTATATGAATCTCTCAGTATATTTCCACTCAAATATGAAGTACAATCCCACACTAATACTATAGTATAGACTTTTGTATGTGCTAGAGTAAAAACTAAAACATTTTAAATAAGCCTGGGGTTAAACAATGAATAAAGGGGCGACAGACTGACGGACCAAAAGTAAATAGCCCGACCTAACAATTTTGGACGTTTCAAGCACGGCACCACAAATGTAAAGATAAGTCATAAGACATATTGAAAACTAGTTCTCTATTTCCACCAGTATACCAAATATATAATTAACAAGAACCAAAAAATAAACTACTGAAGGGAAGTTAAAACAAAATAAGACTCGTTCTGTCCTGAATATGCTTTCTCACAAACGGTCTGTAATCAGGAAACACTGAAACACAGGCTCATCAAAAGGGGTTGAGATTTAGGTTGACACCAATACAAAGGGAAGTAACCTGGATTAATTTTTAATCAAAAAGACCAATTCAGGCAAGGGACAAGGCGTTTCTCTGTAATAAAATAATTCAGTAAAGTACAACTTTTTTTAACAACACATATATGAATCAGCTGCACATTTAATTTGTTACAGTTTTGGTGAGTCAATGGTCTAATTCTGCAGTCTCTATAATAGTTTCTTCGACCAAGAAATAAATTGTTTTAGTATCTGTAATTTTCTCTAACGACTCACTCTGCCGTTCTGCTCAGGGCTTGCATTTAGAACTCGCTAGTTAGCGCTTCAATACTTAAATTTACCGTCTTTAAGTTCAAGTCATAGATTTGAGACACGCACGTGAATGTCAACAACTAATGACCCCGAACTTTCACTTTCTTTAACCAGCGATCTATAAATAACTTTAACCTTAACAACTGACTAGCTGAACAGTTAATCGAATCTCGTTATTCACAAACTGACAACTTTTATTCAGTACAAAGAACTATACAAAAACTCAACTCATAAGTTAACTCATTTAACAAGCGAACCACTTTCTAAATAAATTACGCCTCAATGCGTAAATATTCTAAGTTTCCCCTAAATATCCAATGCAAACCCTGATCAAAAACTAGCCAGTTTTAGTCAATCAAAATATATACATAAATAGGAGGGGAAACTTCTTACCTAAAAATACACATTTTCTTCAATACACTAGTTATAGCATATAAAATAGCGCAAGATTCCTCACCGAGACCACTTCCAAAAAATCGTGCACATGGTTGAAAATTCCCTCTTTAACTTACGCCTACACACCTGAGAATCTGAGCTGGGAATGATCACCAGAATACAATCACTGCACGAGCTAATTTTCCCCGGGAACTCAATTGAGCTCTCTGATTGGTTGAGAAAGGAAAAATATTTTGAAGGCTAATGCGAGATTCGTTACGTCACTAAAATTTAATGAATGAAAAAAAAAAATCAGAAAGTAATAAAATAATAATAAATCTTTCTGGGAAAATAATTAAAAATACTAATAATGAAATAAATAAATAAACCAAATAAAGTGACCCACAAACGTTACAATAAACATTGCAAATTAGATGCACACAAAAGAATTAAAACTGTAACGTCCATGTAAAAGAAAACATGATAAAAAATTAGAAATTAAATGTAAATGCACATTAAAAGAATAAAATTTTATACTGAATTTTAAAAAAAATATATAAAAACTCGAGTGTGAAAATAATATTCTAGTAAAATGCAAAACAGAAACTAAAATTTTAAAATATCTAAAACGACTAAAAATAAAGCTGGAGTGTATACATAAATTAAAAGAAGCAAGTAATAAGATCAAATTCCATATGTATTAAAATAGTTGCATTTGATAATTATATATCCATTCAGAACTATGAATTCATCTTTTACTACTTCTACACGCGATTCTACGCCAGAGTTAATGTTAAAATTACGATTCGGTCCCAGTGCTTAAAATCCCTTGATCCTTTAGGGGTTGATTTGGCATACATAAATAAAATACAAAAATAAGTATTAGCAATGAACGAGGTTGTTAAATGTGATATACAAGTGTATGCTTTTTTGTGCTTCTTGGTTAAATATTTGTTTGTTTTTGTTGTGATTAAGATTGTGACACAGTGTTGACTGCTGTACCCCTATTTTGACATTTTTACCTTTTATGTCTGTTTGTTTTATTCATGCATCATTGTCAATATAATGGAATTTGATGCGACTGTCATACAAGTGAGAGGTTTAGCGCTATAAAACCAGGTTCAATCCACCATTTTCTACATAAGAAAATGCCTGTACCAAGTCAGGAATATGGCAGTTGTTGTCCATTCGTTTGATGTGTTTGTGCTTTTGATTTTGCCAAATTTCGATTAACATGATTAAGGACTTTCCGTTTTGAATTTTCTTCAGAGTTCAATATTCATGGTATTTTTGTGATTTAACTTTTTGCAGCTGAAATATAATAAAATATTTCTGGTGTTCATATATAGGTTAAAATGAACAACGTTATGTATGATGAATAAATTAATTTGAATTAATTATGTATTATATATGTATAGATAACCTATTTTATTTATATATTTATTTTGAGAACTTAAACTGTTTTTACAGTCAGGGGACTTACTTAAATGAGTGATTTTCTAAATCACTGATTCAAGTAACATTATGTCCATAAAGGTTGGAAGTAAGGGTTGTCTTTCTTTAATAATCACCTATTTAAGTAGTACAAATTAATCACTAGACTAAGTGATTTAATTTTATCGTAGCTTTAAATATAGAATACTAATGATCCAGGGACTAATTATGTTGCTAAAATTATCAGAACCAACATCTGTGTTGATAGGATGACCAGGTCATGTCAGGTGATGACCTTGTACTAAATCTAGGATAATGACATAAAAATCACTTGTTCAAGTATCATACCTCAATTTTCTTCCAAAAAATCACTTCTTTAAGTTTCATTATTTTAATAACCCCCACTAATTTCAACACCCCCGAACAGTGAAATATTTATCACGAACAGTAGAATTTTATTACATAATCTATAAGATGAAACCTTGAATTTTACAGGAAAAATACTCCCACTGCTGGGAAAAATCTGTTAAGAAAGTATCAGTTCATTATGTAAAGCCATTTTTATAGCATTTTTTCAACTAAAATAGAATTTGCAGCTAAATGATTGCATCAAAGGCATAAACCTTGCTGCTTAAAAGAAGCAAAAAGTTCATTTTTTTCAATTTTACTAATGAAAAGATATTATCTAAACCTATGTGTTTAAAATTTTGGTAAAACTACAAAATCACAATTTGTGACAAAACTTCAAATTTGATACTTAAATAAGTGATTTAAAAATCACTTATTTCAATAAGTCCCCTGACTGTTTTATTTTGTTTTGTTTTTCTCACTTGTTTGTAATGCTTTTTAATTTGATTATCATTTAACCGGAAGCTGGTACGCATAGCCTATGAATGCCAATTTGGGTACTTACCCGCATGCGGGGGTCGCACAGGCACTGCCAAAATATTTAGTAATCGCAGACCACTAAAATTCATTATTAATCTTAGTATCAATATATATGTAACAGTTAGAAGATATAAAACCAACGTTATATTAAAGCCAATATTGGTATCAAGTTATCAACAACGTTTTCATACCGTTACCAGACAATGACTCTCCAGGATGTAAAAAGGGGGGTTTGAATTAGTAATGATCACTGTGAACTTACGACACTGATGTCATTAAATCCTGTCAAAACAAGATTTTTCAATAATTCACACCCGATTCCTCCTGCCCCTATAACAAGAATTTTACTCTGCTTTACACATTCACGTGTATTTTCAATCAGAACTCCCGACAAATTTGCCGCCATTGTTTACATTCAAACTGGGGCTCCGAATGGATCGGGGAGTGCAATAAAGAAAATAGGTTTACAAAAAATTATAACTGTTTATCTTGCAAAAAAACTTATATAATCGAACTATCTTTACAGACGCTCGCTATTTGATGAAAAAAATCAAGATACATAAATTCAGGACGATAACTTGAATAAAAATATTTAACTTAGCAATTATTGATCCGGATATTATACGTGTCTGTTCCTTAAATAGTTTTCTATTAGTTTTACTTTTCATTTTCAACTTCAAAGAACAGAGAATGTTACAGTGTGACAAAGGTTCATTCAACACTATTTTTTAACATATAATGTAAACAAGAAGTACCACAGTGCATACACGTCATAAACTTTTTAGCTTGATCTGGAGTTGTGTGTTTTTATAAAAGATGAATCCACATATACCTATATGTAGTTGCATCTATAGGAGATATTTTGTACTAAAGCCAGACATGCCAGACAAAATATTTATATACCAATTTCGAATTGTCTTTGGTGTTTAAGCCGTCTTCTGACCTATTCCAATGGCTTAACGCATATGTCTACTTGCAAAGACTCATGTCAACCGTTTAGTACGTCTTTACATCAAGGAACAACTCGGATTCTTCATGTTGTTTTGTTTAACAGCTTAAAAGAGTTAACATTAACAAGCCCACAGATTGAAATAAAACAACTATTCATCAGTGCGAAGCAATTTGTCTTTTATGGACATTTTATAGCTTGACTACCTCTTTCAACTGATTTTTATAGTTCATTCTTATGTTGTACTGTTACACCACTGTCCCAGGTTAGGGGGAGGGTTGGGATCCCGCTAACATGTTTAACCCCGCCACATTCTGTATGTATGTGCCTGTTCCAAGTCAGGAGCCTGTAATTCAGTGGTTGTCGTTTGTTTATGTGTTACACATTTGTTTTTCGTTCATTTTTAACCGGATTTTCGAAGGAAATATCGGTTATTAAAATGGTGATATACGGCGGGCGGCTTGGTGGTTTGGCTGCTGCCAAACAGTGTCCGCACAATAACATGAAAACACTTTAACAAATTTTTTTCAAATTTAAATATGTTGTTTCCTGGGACTTGATGAAGGTCTCTATTAATTTTCAAGATTTTAGTATATCTCCTTTGTGAGTTATCGCCATTTTTAATATCCAAAAATAGAATTTTTAAATATTTTACTGTTGTTATTATGTTATGATTTGTCTTATCTCAGAATAAAATTGGAGTGACAGATTTATTTGAAAATTATCTATTTCCTAAGTGGTAATGATTATAAGCTATATCATTAGACATTTTGAAGATTATTACATTTAAATTATTAATTATGTTAGAGTACTATGTTAAACAACCATAGTTCTGTTCAATTAGATATAATTATAAATATTTCAGCATATGATAATGATTTATTTTCATTATTAATTAGATCTTGGAAATATTTTAGCATATGATAATCATTGGAGTGACAGATTTATTTGAAAATTTTCTGTTTTTCTGATCTGTAGGACTGTATATATACAGTTTGAAACTTATTAGTATTACTGTATAAATGAAGTTTTGAATTTACTGTTCATTATTAGACATTTTGTAGATAATTAAGTTAATCATATATATTCTTACCCCTACCCCCCTTCAATTTGATAATGTGCTTTTATCTTGTAAACGGTTGAGATCCCTACTCCTAAACCATATATATTCTTGTATGGGACAATAAAACAAATCAAATGAAATATTGGGATAGTCCTCGGGTTCACAGCTACCCTCCTTTTTTTTTTAAAACTTGTAAATGTGCAAGCTCCCCACCCTGAAACCATATATATTCTTGTATGTTACAAATCAAATGAAATATAAGGTGAGTCCCCTGGGGTCACCCCCAGCAATTTGATAATGTGCTTTTATCTTGTAAACGGTTGAGATCCCTACTCCTAAACCATATATATTCTTGTATGGGACAATAAAACTAATCAAATGAAGTAAAAGGCGAGTCCCCTGGGGTCACCCCAACCCCCTCCTGTTTGAGTACTTGTAAACGGTCGAGATCCCCACCCCTAAACCATATATATTCTTGTATGGGACAATAACACAAATCAAATGAAAATATAGGGGAAGTCTATGGGGGTCACCCCTACCCCCTTCTTTTTGAGAACTTGTAAACAGTCAAGATTTCCACCCCGAAACCATATATATTCTTGTATGGGACAATAAATCAAATCAAATGAAATATAAAAGAAGTCCATGGGGGTAACCACCACACCCCTTCTTTTTGATGACTTGTAAACGGTCGAGATCCCCACCCCTAAACCATATATATTCTTGAATGGGCCAATAAAAGAAATCAAATGAAATTGAGGGGAAGTCTCCTGGGGAAACCCCCACCCCCCTTTTTTTTTTGAAAACTTGTTAACGGTCAAGATCCCCACCCCGAAACCATATATTTTCTTGTATGGGACAATAAAACAAATCAAATGAAATAAAAGGTGAGTCCCCTGGGGTCACCCCACCCCTCCTGTTTGAGAACTTGCAAACAGTCGAGATCCCCACCCCTAATCTATATATATTCATGTATGGGACAATAAAACAAATCAAATGAAATATAGGGAAAGTCCATGGGGGTAACCCCCACCCCCCCCTTCTTTTTGATAACTTGTAAACGTCAAGATCCCCGCACCCCTAAACCATATATATTCTTGAATGGGACAATAAAACAAATCAAATGAAATTGAGGGAAAGTCCCCTGGGGTAACCCCCACCCCACTTCTTTTTGAAAACTTGTAAATGGTCAAGATCCCCACCCCGAAACCATATATATTCTTGTATGGGACAATAAAACAAATCAAATGAAATATAAGGTGAGTCCCCTTGGGTCACCCCACCCCCCTCCTGTTTAAGAACTTGTAAACGGTTGAGCTTTTCATTATTAATAAGATAATACCACATTGAGGTCCAAAGGGTCCTAAATTAAACTTTTGTTTAATTTCATCAAATATTGAATTCTTTGGTTCTTTGATATGCTGATTCTAACAATGTTTGAGTGTTAAATCATATCTAATTTTAGAGAACTTAGTCATCACTGGTTGTTGTTATTATATTATTGATTATAATTTGAAAAATTGCATCATATATTATTTTAGAGAACTTTTTATCCAGTTTGAGTTATTTCCATTTGCACAGAAAATATTATGGATAAAATTAACCTGTGTTTCATTTCAACATAAATTAAATATATATAGGGTTCTTTCAAATGCTGAATCTAAACTCTATTTAAATATTAGATTTTTAGGCCCAGTTTTCAAGTTGGTCCAAATCAGGGTCCAAAATTAAACTTTGTTTGATTCAACAGAAATTGAATTTATGGGGTTCTTTGAAATGCTGAATCTAACCATGTATTGAGAGATTTTGGATTGTGGGCTCCTTTATCAAATTGGTCCACATTGAGGTCCAAAGGGTCCTAGATTAAACTTTTGTCTGATTTCATCAAAAATTGAATTCTTGGGGTTCTTTGATATGCTGATTCTAATATGTACTTAGATTTTGGATATTGGACCATAATAGGTATTTAAATGTCCAATTTCAAATATATCAGTTCTTTGACTACATTCATTTTGTGTCACAAACCTATGATGTGTCAAATATTCAATCACAATCCAAATTCAGAGCTGTTTTAAGTTTAAATGTAGTGTCCATACTTGCTCAACTGTTCAGGGTTCGACCTCTGCAGGAAAATCCGGTTTGCTGTCTCTCTGACAGCCTCTTGTTTGTACATAAATTAGGCCGTTAGTTTTCTCGTTTGAATTGTTTTACATTGTCATTTCGGGGCCTTTTATAGCTGACTGTGCGGTAAGTGCTTTGCTCATTGTTGAAGGCCGTACGGTGACCTATAGTTGTTAATTTCTGTGTTATTTGGTCTCTTGTGGAGAGTTGTCTCATTGGCAATCATACCACATCTTCTTTTTTATAAGTATAGGTTTTGCTCATTATTGAAGACTGTATGGTGACCTATAGATGTTAACTTCTATGCCATTTAGTCTCTGGCAGAGAGTTGTCTCATTGGCAGTTATACTTCATCTTCTTCTTTTTATATTATGTATCTTCTGAAAATCCAACTTGCAAAATCCTCATGTTTTGTCATCTTCCTCTTTTGCTTGCATTTACTTTAGTTAGCAATATTGAAAATGTGAATTAAGCAATATCTATGTAAAGCATTTTGCACAATAAGTAGACAATTGTTGAATGGTAAAAGTACATTGGTAACAGTATATCGACCATTTGCTAAATTATGGAAAAATATTCATCTTTTTGGGTTTTGAGTTTTACAAAGTACATGTACCATGGAATAGTAATCAATCATATTTGTATTTGTCATGTTTCAGTTAATGAAAGTCTACCAGTGAATGTTACAGATGAAGTCATTCAACAAAACCCTGAGTTTTCTAAACTTCTAAATTTGCTTTCACAACACATCAACAGTGATGGGACATGTGTTCAAGCCCAAAAAGACCTCCAGCAGGTGAGTGTTCCTAATCTAATTCTAGACAGTTCATCTACAGTAGGGGAGTTGGAAACTAGCATTAATCTATTTGTTTTTTATCAGACCTGAAATTGGTCTTCGAAAATGTCACTGATCTAAAGCTAATATGCAACTATCTGAATGGATTAGAATCCATATAACAGATGTAGCTGAACTCAATATCAAAATATGCATTTAGAGGTAACTTTACTAAACATCAAAATAAATGCAACTCCATTAAATTATTTGGAGTGAAAATTTCTATTGCATATATTTTAACTTTTAAAAAGTGATTGAAGTTCTTTGCATTGGAAATAAACACATTTATTCTAAAACCAGTTGTTGGCATGATACGGGTTATGTTCTTCTCATATATTTCATGATAGTATGATACTAAACCCCTAACGGGAGGGATTGTGCTTGATTTTCATATAATGAAGAAAAAAACTTTCAATCAGTTTAATTGAGGTCTGGAGCTGGCATGTCAGTAACTGCTAG